ATTCTATAGCACTATGTTAGGGCGCTTGCCTCCAGGAAAATCTTAAAGCAGGACCTGAAGGCAACTTCCTTTCCTGCTTCTCTTCAATAACTTGCATTAAGTAGCATACAGCCTCTGAATTTGAAAACTGTATACAATAGCATAGTAAGCCTGCAACTTACATAGGAGTTCGTTCCAGCGATCTCACCTAAAGCCAAAATTGTATACTGTTTTGGGTTCAATGGCAGGTGGGATTGCCAAAGTCATTTTTCATGGAACCCCATGCCCTTTTCAAAAAAACTTTTTGCCACATATGTAAAGCTGAGACTGCCTGGTTGGCATTGATCCATTGCAGGGCCTTCTTTGTGGCAGTTGACCATTTGTGGAATGCCCTCTCTGGTGAGGTGCTTCTGTCTCCCTTGTAACTAACTTTCAGGAGGAGTTTAAAACATGCGCAAAAATGCCTATGGCTGAGTGATACTATGCCTGAATGATGTTATTCATAGCAACCCAAACATCACTAGTTCAGAGAGTGTTTTTAACTGTTTTAACGTTTAATTGCTTATATAATAGGCTGATGTGTCTGTCACCATGGTCTCCTTGAAAGGAAGGGAATGATATCTGCATTTTAACTTATTATGGTTTTCAATTATCTTTTCAATGCTTTTAAACAGTCATTTTAAATGTTTTACTGGTAATAATATTGTCTTATTCGTTTTACTACTAACAAATCTTGTGAAATAAGCAGGATATAAATGGAGCAACAACAACGTAACTTCCATGACTAGTGATCTCCCCTCACCTTTCAGCCAACAAACACATGCACACTTTATCCCCACAACAACCCTGTGAGGTAGGCTAAAAGAGAACGACTGGCCAAAGGACACCCAATTGAGCGACTACGGCTGAGTGAGGATTTGAACGCAGATTTTCCCCGGTCCAACGCTCCTACATAACAACCACCACAACCTCGACGACGGCTGCCCCCCTCCGCTCTCTCAAGGGAGCCCTTTAAAGCCGCGCGGGTGCGGGGGGGGGGGAGAGGAAGCCCGTGAAGGGAAACGAAGCGCGTACAAGGGCGCCGCGCTGAGGGAGGAGGCCACGTACCTGCGGAGGGGAGGAGCAGATGTCATCGCTCTCCATGGCTGGGTTCTCCACAGGCAGCCAAAGCGGCCTCCGGGGAGGGGAGAATGGAAAGGTGGGGGGTAAAAGGGGAGGAGGCGCTAACGGTTCTTTTCCCTGAGGAGAGAGCCCTGCGGGCGGGGGCGGTGTCAAGGGGCAAAGTTTACAGGGGAGGTCAAGAGAGGTTACTTCCGTTTGGGGGTTTTAACGTCATTTCCGTCTAGAAAGTTTCGTACTACACTAGTTACCTTTCACAAGCTTGTGCGCTCTCTGACTTTTTGGGGACTACATTTCCCATCAGCCCAAGTAGAGAAGTCACGTTGGCCAATCAAAATGGCGATCATCCTTAAGGTTATAATCCTTGTGCGTCCCCTCCTTCCTACAAACCTCCAGGCCGAGACCCTTTTAAGTAAATGTTGACTCTGATTGGCCCCGAGCCTCCCCTCCAATAACATGTCAGAGAATTGGACCTCCCCTCCGATCCCCTAATTGGTGAAATGAAAATATGGAAGACAGCGATTGGCTATGTGCTTATTAGCCAATGAGAACGAGCGGCATTGATGTGTGCCTGAGAGAAGGGGGAATAAGGCCAGAGATCAACGAGGCTCAGGTACTTTCATTTCTCCTTAGCAAGGACCTGCCTATCTATCCATGGGGCTGTTGAGCGAAGTGACGCGGGGCCTGGTGCGCGGCGCAGACCGCACGGCCGCATGGACGAGCAAGCGGGGCCCGCGCACTTTCTACAAGAGCCGCGGCGCGCACCCCTTGGGCTACCTAACGAGCAACCGGAAGTTTAAGCTGGTGCCGGAGAAGGTGCCGCGCCTGGTGGTGCCGGACCTGAGCGGCTTCAAGCTGAAACCTTACGTTTCCTACCGGGCCCCCGCCGGCAGCGAGCAGCCCCTCACGGCCCGCGCCCTCTTCCAGCAGACGGTCGCCTCCAAGATCGAGAAGGACGTCAAGGCCGGTACCTTCAGCCTGCAGCAGCTGGAGAAGTACGGCTTCGAGCCGACCCAGGAAGGCAAACTCTTTCAGCTCTTCCCCAAGAACTTCGTGCGCTAGGACGGCGTTGCAAGTGGAAGGAAAGCTGCTGTGAAGAGGGGGGGGGGACTTCCACACATTTATTAAGCAACAAAATGTTTAAGAAAAGTTTAAAAAAACACTTGAAGTATTCACTCTTCGCAAAACATTTCAGCTCTTAAAAGGAGCAAGACACCAAAGGATTGGAACTAAGTGGAAAGGCTGGGGTATCTTCAAGAAGTTCCTGCTTTCTTTTCATTGATGCTTGAGTCATCTCAGAGGTCTGGGCAAGCAAGCAAGGAATGTAGAAAGCCAGAAGAGCACCGCAGTTTTGCCAGCTGCTGTGTTGGAAAACTATAAGGGATACACCACATACATACCAAATCTTGTGGACACAGTCATGCAAGCAGAGCAGGAAGAATTTATGCAAGTTCCAAGTGTTGGTGGTTTTCGTTTCTGTTGTTTTTGGAAATGCTACTCAGTGGAACAATTTTACTGGATTGTTTGGAAGTTGGCATGTATAGCTTGTGAATCTAGGCCTCCTATCATGGATAGATATTAAAGAGACTGAGGAAGCAGGCAGCAAACACTGATCATCTTTTTGTTTAAATAAAGAGTTTATAAAATGTGGAGGCTCATTCTCTTTCTCTGCACAAAATGGCTGTATAGGCTCTAAACCTTTGTTTTGCGACATAGCAGGCAATAAACTTTCAACTAGGTAAGCTGCCTATTCAGGAAAGCCCTTCAAGGTATATCTTCCTGACCACTGAATTGATTGAAGTGACACAATCTACTCAACAATGGGATAATCCTGCTCTAGAAGCAGTGTTCCTGAAAATAATTCCTGGGAGTCCATTATTATTGTTATGGGAGGGCTTATTTTTAATGTGGAAGCGTTGGCCTCACCAAATATAGTTTATTATCATTTACAGTTAAAATACCAGAGCTATCTTATAGTAAGTAGACTGTTGAATGTAAATTAGAATTAAGTGGAGAAATGCAAAAAAGCTATTCATTTTTAAAATATGTGGTATCAAAACTGATGCTCACTACAGTTGCAGTAATGCCAGCTACACCATTGGTTCATTGAGCAACATACAAGTCTCACACTAATAGGAGAATTAAGCCTGGCTTGCTGTGCATTGCTCAATTAGGGAGGAAAGGGCCAGTCTGCTTCTGCAGCAGCAAGGAACTTCTGCAGCAGCAAGTTTGCAGGTTAATGCCTCACATGAGACATTGTCTGAAAGCACACAAGACTTTGGTGAGGGCCTGAAGGAGTGGAAATAAGTATGCCACCTTGGGTTTTATAATGGAATAAAGGCAATATCTAAATGTATAAAATAAAAATTATAGCATTAATTTGACTCTGGTTTGCCAGAAGCGGCTTAGTCATGCTGGCCACATGACCTGGAAGCTGTACGCCAGCTCCCTCGGCCTATAGAGCGAGATGAGCGCTACAACCCCAGAGTTGTCTGTGACTAGACCTAATGGTCAGGGTCCCTTTACCTTTTAAGGCATCATGTGGTGGCAAGCAACAATACAAACATATCCCCAACACCCACAGTAATTTAGGTCCTACACTGAGAGACTAAAAAAAATGAACAATTGGAAGGTTGTAACCAACAAAAGACATCACTCTTTATTTTAAAAAGATCAAAAATATTTTTTAATTTTGTTTACAATACTGATGTGCGTATTTATACACAAACACCCTACATTGTAGTGTCTCAAATTACAAGTCTCCTTTAGCATGAATTTATGCAGCATTGAGAAACTTGCAAGGGCCATATCAGGGTTTCAGGCAAGTACCCCACTCTTAGCACTGATTGTTGCTGGTGTTGTTCACTTCTGTGATATGGAAATGCATGAGTAATTTGCATCCCTTTTCCCCTTAGCTTATGTGTTCCCAGTAACATATTCAACCAAACCTGAAGCATAAAGCCAGAGTGATACTTTGTCTTTCCTGTGAGGGGGAGGTAGACAATAGAAGCATGAAACAAGTGCTGCTCTGTATTTTAGCATTTCCCCTCCCTCCTCAAGTTCTTAACTGAGAAGAGTTCTCCATTTAGATGGCTACTGAACAATGAGGCAAGATAAGAGACACACACAGGCTGCCACTTATTTTCAGCTGGTGTCAAGATTAAAGTAGCCTGGATGTGTTTACCCCAAGAGGGGCAAAGTAGTATGGAATAGCTTTCCTTGCTGCATAATAGATAGCAGGTCAAGTTTACTTCACTGGAAAAATAGGAGAGAATAGATGATAGCACAACTTTTTGCTCATTCTTAGATCTCCTTGATTACATAGGGAGAGAGACCTTAACTAGGGTTGCGATACATCCAGAATTTCCCGGACATAGACGGTAATTGGCCATCAGAAACAGTGTCCAGGCGGAAATCGCTTAAACGCACGGGAAAATCAGACGTATGGCAACCCAGGTTGGCAGTGTTGTTTTTGGCAATTTCCCTTAAAAGTAGCTCAACAACTTTGGCCCGAAAAAAGCTCAACAACTTTTCTGTGTGGATTCTCACTTTTTAAAATATGGAAACCCTACTTTAACCCCAAACTAAGTGGAACTGCTGTCTGTAGAATATATAGTGGAATAAGAGAACTTCATCAGTGTAATAATCTTATTTCTGCAGCAAGGAATAAAATGGATGGAGAAGGGAGAGAACACATCCCTGAAATGTCTGAGGAGTCTTCAAAGCTCTCAGAGCAATGAAAGACTCCCAGGAATAAAGCTGGAAATCTGATATAGAAGAGGTGATAGGAACTCCATCAGGGCCTTCCTACCAAAAATCTATATCTGTCTTTCAAACCCTAGTACTAAAAAGGCCTGCTACTGAAAAAGGCAGGCATACCACAACTTTAATTAGCCCAATGTTCAGGACAAAGTGGCAGTCTGGCTAGCCTCCCATTTCCAAACATGTAGGACATTATCATAAAAAGAACATGTTGCTAAGAGGCTGGTCTCTTTTTTGACTTTGACCAAGTCTGTTTCACTGTGGGCTTTGGTTTCTGAACCTTTTTCATCAGTACGTGGTCCCAGCAGGTCAAAGCTACTTTCTGCTTGGATCGGCAAGCCAGGGCTTTGATCTTCTTCCTCCAACACCACATCAAAGGTGGCTGTAGGGGATTCATAAACTATCTTCAGGTTCTGGGCTTTGAGATCCACTCGCCTTGCTTCTTGCTCCATAGGAACTACAGGCATCACTGCAGATAGCTCCAAGGGGTTGCTCAGAGAAAGCCTTGACCAATCAGCTCCATAAGCCAAGGAATTATGCAAGATATAAGAGGAAAGAACAGTGCATTCCTCTTTGTTCTCCACTGAGGGACAAGAAAGGAAAGGACAGACACAAGTTAGATGACAATTAAGTTGCATAAGTAATCACCATTTCCAGCAATGGTAGCCATATTCAGTTTTAAATTTTATTAAATAAGCTTTTACTCCAGTTTACAACAATGCTCTAAGACAGAGGTTGGCAACCTAAGGCCCATGGGCCAGATACAGCCCATGGCCAGTTCCGTGGATCAGTGAGGGGAATCTGTGGGGGTTTTCTCGGGCCCGGGCGCCATTTTTCCCCTAGCCAACATTTTCCCCCTTCTCCCTCATTGCAGCAGAATCTCCTCTCTCCTCCTCCTGGCTTAGCAAATCGCCGGCCAATCGCCTGCTAAGGTTTGAAGCCCTGGCCAATGGGTGAATGGCGGCTGCGCATGGCCAAGAGGAGGAAGGGGGCTGGGCTCATCTGGCCAAGAGCATTTCCAGCAGCCCCTCGTTGGAGCAAGCTGTTTGCCGCCGCCGCCTCCACTCTGCCAAGCGTGGCTCCTGTGCCTGCCCTTGCGAGTGGCAGAGGGTGGCGGCAGCGGTGGAACGAGCAGCCCTAAAGCTGTCCTTTGGGCTGCTCGTTCCTCCTCTGACACCGACGCCGCCAGCCTCTGCCTCTCGGCAGCACCCTAGGTAGGCAGGGGGACGGGAGGGGCTGGGGGAGAGAGAAGTCCCTTCTGCCATGTGCGCATGCACACACACACACACACACGCACATACACACATACACACACTCCAACGCACCAGGAGGTGAACCAGCCCACCCCCAAAAAAGCTTGCCAACCCCTGCTCTAAGGGCTTACATTACGAGTCTAGCATTAAGTAGTAATAATAATAATAATAATAATAATAATAATAATAATAATAATAATTTATTTATACCCCGCCCATCTGGCTGGGCTTCCCCAGCCACTCTGGGCGGCTTCCAAAAAAATATTAAAATACTATAATACATCAAACATTAAAAACTTCCCTAAACAGGGCTGCCTTCAGATGTCTTCTGAAAGTCTGGTAGTTGTTATTCTCTTTGACATCTGGTGGGAGGGCGTTCCACAGGGAAGGCGCCACTACCGAGAAGGCCCTCTGCCTGGTTCCCTGTAACTTGGCTTCTCGCAGTGAGGGAACCGCCAGAAGGCCCTCGGTGCTGGACCTCAGTGTCCGGGTAGAACAATGGGGGTGGAGACGCTCCTTCAGATATACTGGACCAAGGCCGTTTAGGGCTTTAAAGGTCAGCACCAACAATTTGAATTGTGCTCGGAAATGTACTGGGAGCCAATGTAGGTCTTTGAAGACCGGTGTTATGTGGTCTCGGCGGCCGCTCCCAGTCACCAGTCTAGCTGCCGCGTTCTGAATTAGTTGTAATTTCCGGGTCACCTTCAAAGGTAGCCCCACATAGAGCGCTTTGCAGTGGTCCAAGTGGGAGATAACCAGAGCATGCACCACTCTGGCAAGGCAGTCCGCAGGCAGATAGGGTCTCAGCCTGCGTACCAGATGGAGCTGGTAAACAGCTGCCCTGGACACAGATTTGACCTGTGCCTCCATGGACAGCTGTGACTCCAAAATGACTCCCAGGCTGGGCACCTGGTCCTTCAGGGGCACAGTTACCCCATTCAGAACCAGGGAATCCTCCACACCTGCCCGCCTCCTGTCCCCCCAAAACAGTACTTCTGTCTTGTCAGGATTCAACCTCAATCTGTTAGCCGCCATCCAACCTCCAACTGCCTCCAGGCACTCACACAGGACCTTCACCGCCTTCACTGGTTCTGATTTGAAAGAGAGGTAGAGCTGGGTATCATCTGCATACTGATGAACACCCAGCCCAAATCCCCTGATGATCTGTCCCAGCGGCTTCATGTAGATGTTGAAAAGCATGGGGGAGAGGACAGAACCCTAAGGCACCCCACAAGTGAGAGCCCAGGGCTCTGAACACTCATCCCCCCCCCACCACTTTCTGAACACGGCCCAGGAGGAAGGAGCGGAACCACTGTATGACAGTGCCCCCAGCTCCCAGCCCCTCAAGACGGTCCAGAAGGATGTTATGGTCGATGGTATCGAACGCCGCTGGGAGATCCAGCAGAACTAGGAAACAGCTCTCACCTTTGTCCCTAGCCCGCCGGAGATCATCAACCAGTGCGACCAAGGCAGTTTCAGTCCCATGATGAGGCCTGAATCCTGACTGGAAGTGATCCAAATGGTCCGCTTCTTCCAGGCGTGCCTGGAGTTGTTCAGCAACCACTCGCTCAATCACCTTGCCCAAGAATGGAAGATTTGAGACTGGGTGATAGTTGGCCATCGTGGCCACATCTAAAGATGGTTTTTTAAGAAGCGGTTTAATAACCGCCTCTTTCAGCAGGTCTGGGAAAGCTCCCTCACAGAGGGAAGCATTCACCACCCCACGAAACCCATCGCCCAGTCCTTCCCAGCTAGCTTTTATAAGCCAGGATGGGCAAGGATCAAGGAGACAGGTGGTTGGTTTCACTCGTCCAAGCAGCCTGTCCAAATCCTCGGGGGTAACAGATTGGAACTGATCCCACACAACTTGACTAGACAGGACTCTAGCACTCTCCTGCCCCGGCCCTGCTCCCACGGTGGAGTCTACCTCTTCTCGAATCTGAGCGACTTTATCTGCAAAAAACTTTACAAAATCATTGCAGGAGATCATGTGGCCTGTACTGGGCCCTGATGGAGCAGGTGGTTCCGCTAAATTGCGAACCACCTGAAAGAGTCTCCTGCTGCTGTTTTCCGCAGATGCAATAGAGGCAGTGAAGAAAGTCTTCTTTGCCGTCGCTATCGCCACTTGGTAGGCTCGACATTGAGCTCTAACCCGTGTCCGGTCAGATTCAGAATGGGTTATCCGCCACCGGCACTCTAGCTGTCTCAACAATTGTTTCATTGCCCTCAGATCCATGGAAAACCACGGGGCTGTCCGGGCTCCATGCAATCGGAGAGGGTGCTTTGGAGCCAAACAGTCAATAGCCCTGGTTAACTCCACATTCCAGCGAGCCACCAGGGAATCAGCTGAAAGGCCATCAACGTGGGATATAACATCCCCTACCACTCTCTGGAAACCATTTGGATCCATTAAGTGGTGGGGGCGGACCATCTGAATCGGTCCCACCTCCCTGCAGAGGGGAAGGGTCGCGGAGAAGTCCAGTTGCACCAGGAAGTGATCTGACCATGGCACTTCTTTGGTTTCGCTTTTACTTAGTGTCAGATCACCAACATCCATAGAGGTGAACACCAGGTCTAAGGCATGCCCGTGGCTATGAGTTGGGCCAGACTTATTCAGGGACAGCCCCATGGAGGCCATGCTTTCCACAAAGTCCAGAGCGGCCCCTTGTAAGGTCGTGTCGGCATGGATGTTAAAATCCCCTAGGACAACCAAACTAGGTGTCTCCAGGAGAACATCCGCCACGAGCTGAAGCAGCTCGGGCAGGGAATCCTTGGTGCAGCAGGGAGGTCGGTACACCAAAAGGAATCCTGTACTGCCCCTATTGCCCAACTTCCAGAACATGCACTCAGAGAACTGGGTCTTTCCAATAGGACGCTTGGTGCAAACTAATGACTTCCTAAAAATCACTGCAACCCCCCCTCCCCACCCACAAGGCCTGGGTTGCTGTGCGTAAGAGAAACCTGGTGGACAAGCAGCGGCAAGGACAGGCCCATCTGCTTCATCCAACCAAGTCTCTGTTACACATGCCAGGTCAAATCCTCCATCCACGATCAAGTCATGGATCACCATGGTTTTATGGATCATTGACCTGGCATTGCACAGCAGCACCTTCAGGTCGTGTGGGTGTCCCTTGCTGATTCCAGTATCCGTCCGGTCAGGACCAGACCTGGAGGCAGGGATAGTCCTCAGACAACGACTAAGCCTGCTTCCTCAGTAAAATAGGAAATAATTTATCTCTCAACTACTGTTTTTAGCAAGAATTAAACTTTTCATCTCTTCTTGCTGCTGGGCAGGAGGAACAACTTAATGGATACTCCATATTACCTTCCACTGATTAAGGAAAAATAAATCATGTTTTTATGAAACGGTATTCTGCCCAGCTATTTATTCTCAGGTAGAATGTATAAATGACATCCTCTTCAACCTATTTGCATTTTCCTTTTCAAGCATCTCCAAGCAAACAGCACGGATCAACACCAAACCAGATCCTTGGGAGTATTATTTAAGCATTTGATCTCATCAGCAAGATGAAGTTAGGAGTGTTGGTAGCTGAATAGAATAAGAATGTTTCATATACTCTGGAAATTGTTTTTTGTCTTTCACTCCAGAAGAAGGCACTAAAAACACAGGTATATGGCTCCAGCCAGCCCCTGAGCCTTTCTCACACATGCCAGGTGCCAGCTACCAAGATCAAAGCACTCACCCATACAGCCTTGGCAATTGAGGATTTTGAAGCCATTGTGCATGCAGGCTGCCAGCAGTAAGTGCTCCTGTGTTGGATGCCACTTTAACCTCCAAACTCCACCCTGCACATGGGTGTCCGCCAGTGGCTGCTTCATATTCCGGGTATCCCACAGCATGACATGTTCATCGTAGCTGGAGAAACAAAAGCAGTCCTCAGAAATCCATAAGAGGTGGTTTTTCAAGGGTACAATAGAGGACTTCAGATTCCTAGCTAGCCCTTACTTAACTGTTGCAGGGCTATCAATAAAGACAAAGGCCAAGCTAGAACCAAACCATGCTCTTTTTCAGGCACCCAGGGTCCCATCCATAAGTTGCCACAGTCTCTAGCACAGACACACACAAACAACCATCAGCTCACTCGTCTATTGCTAACCCAGACAAATGTACATAACAAGATATATCTCAGGGAAACTCACCTTCCTGTGGCCAGCAGATCCTCCCGGAGTGGATGGCTCTGAATACTGCACACTCCCATTGAATGCCTGTCACAGAATGCAAGTCAAAGGTTAGGCAGCAAGAACCTTCATCAGATGCACCAGTTTAAATCTGCTTGAGACAACTGCCCAAACAGTGAGGAGAGATGAGCAATACACCCTCACCTGACAGGCTACTGCTTACCTCTCACTAGTGAAGATGGGAGCTCTCGGGCTGCTCCGGATGTCCCATCCTCGTAGCTTGCAATCATCTCCACCTGAAACAAAGAGAAAACTGATCAAGCTGTGTGACGGTATAGATAGCTGGAGATGAGACACTTTTTTCCTGTGACGCAGAGCCACTCCACAAGGCTAGAAGATAAAGCTCCAAAGGCAGGAAATGTTTTGTTTCCCAGCTCAAGCCTTGCTGCTAATGCACATGAAGCATAAAAATCACCCAACATTATTGCCAGCAATAGTGGTTTGGTGAGCATTAGAGAAAAAACTAAGCACTTCCCATGTGTCATTTACCGCCATCGGATGCAGACCTGAATATACAATAGATGTGTTCCAGTAATCAAATGCAGCAATCCAGGCCTCAAAGTCATGTGCCTTCCACTGTTCCAATATGTGCAGGGAGGCAGATTCATCAATGGACAGCAAGTTCAGCCTCCCTTTTGAATCACTGCTGATCAACTGCAGTGGGCAGCCACTACAAGGGAAATAGTGCAAAATAGAAAGGACAGGTTAGTCTTTAGCAGGAGGGGGAATTTCCTGTGCACAAGGCCAATCTTTTTTAAATCTTCCACAGAAACTGTCACAACCATCACTAAAAGAAGAGAACTGGATTTTAAAGCATTTCCCAGATCAGCTGTGCCTTTCCCAAGGTACCTACAGCCCAAACAGCAATGCAAGCAACTATAAAGGCTCCTGATTCATAAGATAAAGGCAATGGGGTAATGCACTCTGAGAAGTGCAAGGCCTTGCTCTGTTCAGCGTGGGCAGAAAATAGGCTGAAAAGAGTAGGGGACTAGAAATACATATGCCCTCGGTGACTGCATATAGATCCCTTACAAAGCCCCAAAACAGAGCATGCAAACTCAAGGCACAAACTTATGCAGACTCCCATTAGACACAGCTGTCAGGCAGTCCTCCTACAGCAGGGATTTTGTTCAACTTTTAAAACACAGCAATGCTAGCACTGGGCCAATGTCTAGCTAACTGGCCTCTGCTCACCGCTGCCCTCGTCCTGTGGACCAATCAAGAGATAAGGCAAGGCATTCGGCTCCCAGGTCAGCGCTGCACAATGGTTCCAGCTTGCAGCTCTTCTACTGAAGGGAAAAGAAAACTGATCAAGGCCAGACAGGCCCAAGGAGGAACATCAGATCCAACACTCAGTTAAGAAAATACAGCTGGACCCCACTGCAGATTAAGTTTCTTCAGGCAATTCAGAGCATGTGTACAATTTCAGTCACTGTGAGTAAGAGAGACTGTTCTCTCAAGTCCTATTCACCTGCCAGCCTTCACGTCCAAGGTTTTTGCAGCAGTTTCAACTACCCTTGTATTTTGTTTAAATAAATAATAACAATACATTTCTATTTGTCCCTTGCTTCTCCCTCTTTACTGTCCCTTTGTCCTCAAGAATCTTGTGCTTAGACAATGCCCAGTTATTCAATGCCTGCAACATAAAGTCAGCACCCCCAATTGTATTACCTTTCCTAACATGAAAATACACTCAAGCTGAAGTGGAATGACCACACAGAGCTACATCCTATATCTCCTATAAAATGAACCGCTTTGCATAGCTATGGCTCACACCCTAACCATGAATCTCAATTCCGGTTCACTTACCTCACTTCCTGTTAAGCGGGAGAGCTCCACTGCTCCCTTAGCATTTGCAGTGCCCAGAACAGGATGTTCTGCAATGGGAACGTGGCACCTTGAAGAGGAATGAATAATAAATACCTCAGAAGAGTAAGTCCCTGGGCCCTCTCTTTAGAAATGAAATATTAACATGTGTTTAAGAACTTCATCTCCATTTCAAATGCAGTTAATAAGAGATCTACCGTGTTGGCCCAAATATAAACAGCACACGAATATAACCTGCACCTTTAAAATTCAAGGGGGAAAAAAGACAAATGTACCCAAATATAAAGCCGCTCCCTTAAAATTCCGCAGGCCCTCACACCCGTAAATGGCAAATGTAGAAGAAAACCCTATGCGTACTAGAAAGGACCCGCAAGTGGGTTAAATACCTGTTCATAGCACCATAAATGCAAATAAAAAATCAATACCGCAGTGTAAAATACAGGGAAAGCAATGAATGGCATTAGAATTAATTGCACAACAGTCTCAAGCTCACAAATTGGCAATAAAACATTTTTGTTCCATTTTACCATATGTCTGTTTCAGCAGTGATATAGTAAAAGCCAATTTTTGTAGGGTCGCAAATTTAAGCCGCACTTTAACTTTTCACCGTCAAAATTTGGGGGGAAAGTGTGGCTTATTTTCAGGACAATACAGTATATACCATGTATAACACCACCCCCGTGTATAAGATGACTCCTATTTTGGGGGACTCAAAATTGAGGAAATGGGGGGAAATTGCCCAGAGTTGTTAAGCTTTTTTGGGGGGGGGGGATTGCCTCATCTTATACATGGAAAAATACGGTAATACATTTAATTTTTTAATTTTTTTGGTCTAGCTTCTTGTTCCTCCTGTTTTATTACGAATCATACTTATTTTAATTTTTGTAACCTGCCTATATAATATTCATATTGTAATGTAATATTTATGATCAGTTGTATTGGATTGTGGTAATTTTTCATATCCTGAGCTCAGTAGATATCATACTGAGCAAATAGGCTGAAAAAGGCCACCGATCTGCATCACTGTTAAGGTGTAGCAGCAGCGCTTTTTTTCTGAGGGTACTCAAGGGTATGCAGTACTGGCACCTTTCCCCCAAAATGTTAAATGTGTGGCACTTACTGTAACAACTTCATGGTGAATACCGGCACCTTTTTTCTTTTTCTTTTTAAAAAGCACTGTGTAGTGGTGACATGGGTTCAATAGAAAGGGGTACTTTGATTTAGCCACAGGCTTGCCCTCACAACGATACTGCAAGCTTGGACACTGCTCTTCCAATTTTATAGATGGGGAACCAAACCAGGATGACATGACCAAGGCCATAAGCTAAAGTCTATGGGAGAAACAAGCCTTCAGCCCACATCCAACATTTTCTCCAATGGTGGCTCAGGGAGCCACAAATCCAGTGCTGGTGAAAGGGTATAGTGCCCTCAGTGGAAAGTTGTCATTTCCCCTCCAAGGGAAAAAAACTCTTTGCATATGCTCAGGGGCATCTTACCCACAGAGGCTAGTGGCGTGGGGTGCCAGGGCACCAAGTTCTGGAGGGCACCAGGGAAATGGTGGAGGCTGGATGCAGCCGCCCCCAGCATCGGTTCGCCACCCTCGCCCGCCTCCGCCATGCCACGCCAAAGCAGTGCTGTGACCAGAGCCTCCGTCTGCCGTGGCCACTGCGGCACAAAGCAGACAGCTGAGCCGGGAGGCGCCGCGTCCAGCCTCCACCTCTTCCCCACCAGAGGAGCCGCCCCCCAGCCACTGCCCGCCTCCTCCAGCCCTGCCAGCAGTGCCGTCCTCCCTAAAAAATTCTGGGAAATGGGGGGGGGGGTGCCGGAGGGAGCTTTGCACCATGGTGCTGGATATGCTTAAGACGGCCCTGCATATGCTACCAAACAACATGCGGAAGAATTGCTTAGGTGCTGGTCTGGACCTCTGTCTCCAGCATTACCATTTAATGTCCAGCAGGGCAGCCATTTCCAGCCTTTGGATCTCAGTCAGTGGTGTGAAAATTTGTTCTCCAAAGTAATACAGGTAGAGGCGGCCCAGGCGCACATGGGGCTCATTGTTCCCTTCAGGGCTCTCACCAGCCTGCAATGGGAAGCAAAATCAAAAACTATCACTTTGAGACATTGCCTCACCCCCATCTCTTCCTCTCTCCCACATTCAACTACCTGCTGTCCCTGAACTACCCATCAACTGCACAGCTAGAGAACATAAGAGATTCCTGTGCATCAATCCCCTCAGGAAGTTTGCCCCATTGCTCTTGTCACCTCTGCTAAAGAAGACATAGGCCACTGTCACATTTAGGTGGGAAGGAGAGGTGAACAGCTCACTTAAACACATTTGGGAGTTATTTGGGACAAGCCAAGATATGAAAAACCAATTGAGATGGAAAACCGATTTTATTCCAGCCTGAATAAAAACTACTAGTGCTATACACTTCCTGTCAAAATGATTAAAACTTAGCATATCTACAGTGTTCAAGTCTTTTCTTGTACATTATCTCTATATTATCTCATTAATCCCTGCAACAGAAACTTCAGTATCACACATACTCTTATTCGAGAGGGGATGAAAGAAGAATGGTTTGCTTAAGAGCACCTTAAGCTACAATCTTAATGTGTTTTGAGTGGTTGGTTATCTTCGACATTACAGTATTTTATCTAGCTGGATCCTGTTTAAAACAATACAGCAGCAGGTAAGTTAGTTTAATACTATAGTATCTGATGTTCTTGTTGGAGTATTTAGTAGTGTTGGATTAGAAATGGGGTTTTGACCCAAGCAAGGTTTTGAATCAGAAGGACAGTATCCCAGGCATAGGAAATATCTGGCCCACCAAATGTTGCTGAACTGCAGTTCCCATCATCCCTCGCCATACTTGCTAGGGCTGCTGGAATCTGTAGTTCAGCAACATATCGGAGAGCCAAAGGTTCTCCAATACTGCTGTATGCAAGCAAAATCAACTTTTCATTCTGCATGGACTTGAGGTGGATGAGCCAAAAATGGGAAGAATGAGAAAACAAGTTATAGACAATCCATCCTAAGCCTTAACTTCAAAGCACCTTAACAACAACCCCCAAAATATGCTTCAAGGAACTGTTAACTTGAAACTGCTGGAGCTCTTTTCACTGCATAGGCAACACCAGAAAGAAGGGCCACTCACGCTGCTGTCAGGTTTCTTGAGTTGGTAGGTGCCACATGCCAGGATGCTGTGCCAGCCCTCCACAGGGCACCACTCTACGGCATCAGCACTGTATTCTGTGTCAACCACCTGCAAGGTCTGAATCTTACACTGCAGAGCCATGTTAGTGGACACTCATCCTGGTCTGGAAGGAAGGGAAGCACAAGAAAAGCAGAGTCAGCAACACTGACATTCCGAATTAAGACACACACATCATGCATCAACTTCACACTTAATTCCATATAATCTATCTCCAGGTGGTTGGGAGAAGTCCGTCTTTTTAACTCATTCTATCCCCAACAGCAACAGGTTAAAAGAGGGAGCCTCTCCCCCCCACCTATGTATCCTCCACAACCTGCAGAAAATACGGTAGATTGAGGGCAACTGTAAAGTTATATGAGTATGTTTGGAAGAAGAGGCACTCAGAAGGAAGCTCTGTCCCCTTCTGAACACTCCTCCCCGCCCCCAACAAAAGAAAATTAATACTCCTCCACCCCACAAACTACCTCACAGTCACACTCAAAGCCATCTCCTGGAGGACGTGAGGATTTACAATCTCCCTATTTTAACCTACCTCAACACAGCAGACCCCCCATCTGTTGGGCATAAAGAAGATTGAAATATTGTGGGGGGGAAAGTTGTGTTTGGAAGGGGGGGTCCCCTAATTAATCCCACACACACTCACACAAACTACTTGACAGCCGCCCTTAAATCCACGAGGACTTGCAAAGTCCCTCTCCTAATCCACCCTAGCACAGCAGAACCCTATGCTATGAATAAATAAAGCCCCATGGATAATGGGTGTGAAGCGGGTGCGGGGGCACACATTCCTTAATCCTTCACACACACACACACACAGACACACAACTACTTCAGTCACCCTGAAATCCACGAGAAAGAGGCTTTAAAACTCCCCTTCTTTCAACGCACTCCTCACGCGGCAGAGCCCCGCACTATTTTATTTTTACTTATGACATTTCTAGACTGCCCTTAATCCGAGGAACACAGGGCGCTTTTGCAATATTAAAACACAAAAATACATAACGTGGTAACAAACAAAAACTATAACACACACACCCCGCACATACTAGACATCAAGAAAGCCCCACATAAGATGTGCAGGGGTGGGTGGGATGGCCCGTCTCTTAATCCCCCACCCCCACCCCGTTTCCCCACAAAAAACCCACGCAGGCTATCCGTGGGTCGAGGGTGAAGAAGCCCCTCTCAGCCTCCCCATCAGCACCACAGCATGTCCCACCTCACGGCCGTCCCGACTCCCGACTGAGGCGAAGCGGAAACGCGGCAGCCACCCCACAATCTTCTCCCCGCCTCTGAGGGGGAGTGAATGAGGCGAGGCGGCGGCGGGGAAGGGAAGGCGCGGCCGGGTCAGGACGATCGCTCGCTGCCGCCGCCCCCTCGGCCTTTCCCTCCTCCTCTCCAGGCCTGAGACGACCTGAAGCGTCTCCTCCTCCTCCTCTCTCGGTCTAGGAAGGTGGCCATTGTGGGGAGGGCTTACTCGCCCGGCTACTTGGGCCGCCTTTCTCTCCACCATCGTCACCACCACCACCGATGTTGTTGTTATTTTTCGTCGTTAACCCTAAGGTCCCTAGGGCGGGTTTCAACATTTAAAACAATTCTTTTTTTATTTGTATTGTTTTATTGTTTGTTTGTTTAATAAAATTGAATGCACCACCTGATTGTGTTGTCGTTTTTTTACACAAAAATAATCCCTCAAAGCGGTTTGCAAAAAGGTGAAACGGCAGAGAATCGAGAAAAAATTCACAATCCTAGTTAATGCAGACAACAGTGCAGCGCGTTAAAAACTCGCGCCAACTTTTTAAGAGACTGGGGAGCGCCGAAGAAAAGGGAAGAACGAAGGTTGCCTGATCTCAAAAGGCAGGGAGTTCCCCAAGTGATGGCGCTGCCCGCCCGAAGCGATCAAGTACTAAGCAAATGTGGGAAATGGGTATGATGTGGCACCTGGAGCACTGCCAGCCAGTTTGGTCAGAGAGCGGCCGTTTTATTGAGACAACCCTCAAACAGGGCACAGTGAAGTGTGGGGAATAACCCTACGGGGGGGAAACCTGCCTGTTTAAAGAGTAGCAGGAGGACAAAAGGACACAATTTTTTTGTCATATGGCAGGATGTCAAATTAGGTGTACAGAATGTATAGCAGATGACCCGCACAATTTAGAATCCACATCTAGCATTCAGAAGTCTACTGTTGACTGAATGGAAATACAGATGAAAATCCCACATCTCGCCAGATATCCCTCTCTGTATACACCAATGTCTGAACTCAAAACATGGCATCTACTTCTTGCTAATAAATATATAAATGTGCTTCTAATTTGCTTCTAATTGTTTTGTTTTTTTAAAAATAATTTTTATTAACAGGCCAATCACATCACATTGTTCAAATCACATTGGTTCCAAATTATACAGCCAAATTTTAAATTTTTGGGGGGTACCCATATATCAAGCTCCGCACGAGTCCAAAATTCCGGATAAGTCCATACATCACTTATTTTACTGCATTAATTAATCAGTTCTATCCAGTTCACTCCGGATAGTCCTTTATTATTTTTCTTCATCTTGTTGTAATTTGCTTCTAATTGGACCCTTCCCCCAACCAACCCTGACCATTCTTTTGTTTTACTGCATATTTCATACCCTCCAACATTTCTCCAATGAAAGTAGGGACATCCTATTCCGTAATAATAATTTTACTATATATACGACACATATGACTGGGTTGCCCCAGCCACTCTGGGAGGCTTCCAAAATATATATATATATCTATATAAACATAATAAAAAAAATTAAACATTTAAAAAAATCCCTATACAGGACTGCCTTTAGATGGCTTGAGGGTCAGATAACTCAATATCCTGCAACATTTCTCTAATTAAAATAGGGACATCCTACCATACCCTCCAACATTTGTCCAGTGAAAATAGGGAAGTCCTAAGGAAAAGTGGGACATTCCGAGGTCAAATCAGAAACTGGGACATCTTCTGTAAATTTGGGACTGTCCCTGGAAAATAGGGACATTTGGAGGGTCTGATATTTTTCTACTACAGATTCTTGAACTTTATGAGTGAGCTGCATCTTTAATTGTTAGATTTTTATTTAAAAGATCAATAAAAATATTTTTAAATAAAAAGGATAGAAGCAATAAAAGGGCTCCACGTTGGGAAGCTCAAATGGGGCCTGGGAGCCACCCCACTAGAACTTCCCCCCTCCACAGACTTTCTGCATGGTGTAGGCCTGTTGGAAATCAGTGTTCCAGTGTGTTTATATATTGTTGTGTGTATGTGTTTATAATTTTATTAATATTTTATTATACTTTGTAGCCAAGACTGTTATACATCTTTCGTCAAGAAAAAATAAAGCAAGTTATATTAAGTAGTGGGTGAACATAGCAGACAACACAGAGATTTCTCCAAGTACAGTGGTGCCTCGCAAGACGAAATTAATTCGTTCCGCGAGTTTTTTCGTCTAGCGAATTTTTCGTCTTGCGAAGCATGAAATCCCATAGGAATGCATTGAAATTCAATTAATGCGTTCCTATGGTCAAAAAAAAGTCCAAACAAAGCCAAATTTGGTACAACAAGAGTTTATTAAGTGCTCTTTAAAGTCACACATACTGTAAAGAGCATTTCAAAAATTGAAGGAACAATAAATTAAGTTTCTAAACATGACAGAAAAACATTTAAAAATCAACAAAGTGTACAGTACATTTTCTAAGACTCTAGGGGACCACTCGAAGAAGGTTCCTCTTCCACTCTTTGCTTCTTGCTGAAGAACCTGTTCATGGTCTGCTGCTTCATCCGCCTTTTCAGCACCTCCCTGAAAGGCGACATGACCGTCGTATCAAAAGTGTTCGCAAGGTCATGTGCCACATGCTTGTCAGGGTGGTGCCGCTGTGCAAAAGCCTGCACATCCTTCCACTTCATGCAAATGTCCCTCAGTTCTTTGGAGGACAGCCGTTCCTCAGTTGCTTCCTCCTCTTCCAGCGAGGCCTGCTCCTGCGCAGCCTCTGCCTGCAGTTCGACCAGCTCCTGGGTGGTCAGCTCGTGGTCGTGCTCCTCCACCAGATCGTAGACGTCCTCCTCTGTGACCTCCAGGCCCATGGTCCTCCCCAAGGCAACAATGTCCTGCACCACTGTTGACTCTGGTGCATCAGAGTCACTTGGTGCCACACAGTCCGGCCATAGGCTGCGCCAAGCGCAATTCAAATTTCTCTGGCTGATCCCGTTCCAGGCCGTGCTGATCATCTTCAAGCAGGTGACGATGTCAAAGTGGTTCTTCCAGAATTCCCGCAGGGTGATGGTGGTGCAATCAGTCACCTCGAAGCATCGCCTGAAAAGCTCCTTGGTGTAGAGTTTTTTTGAAATTGGCGATGACCTGCTGATCCATCGGCTGGAGCAGTGGCATGGTGTTAGGCGGCAGGAACATGATGCTGATGAAGCTGAACTCCTCCAACAAGTCCAACTCAAGGCCTTTAGGATGAGCAGGAGCATTGTCCATCAGAAGCAAAGCCTTCAGTGGCAGGTCGTTGTCCAGCAGGTACTGTTTGACAGCAGGGCCAAAAGCAAGATTGACCCAGTCCACAAACAGCACACGTGTGACCCAAGCCTTACTGTTGGATCGCCACATGACACTCAGCTGCTCCTTGTCGACCTTGTGTTTCTTGAAGGCCCGTGGGTTCTCCGAGTGGTACACCAGCAGGGGCTTGATCTTCAGGTCGCCGCTTGCGTTGGCACAGAAGAGCAGGGTCAGACGGTCCTTCATGGGCTTGTGGCCAGGCAACTTGGCCTCCTCCTGAGTGATGAAAGTCCTTTTGGGCATCCTCTTCCAAAACAGCCCGGTCTTGTCGCAGTTGAAGACCTGCTGTGGAACGTAGCCCTCCGTCTTCACAGCCTCCAGGAACTCCAATGCAAAGACTTCAGCCGCAGGAACATCACAGCTCCTTGGTGTAGAGTTTGGTGATCACAGCATTCCTTTCTAGGTGCTCACAGACTGTTTGCTTAATGATCTGCTCCAGAATCTTCCCTGGTATTGATGTCAGACTGACTGGGCGGTAATTATTTGGGTCCTCTCTTTTCCCCTTTTGAAAATAGGGACATTTGCCCTCCTCCAGTCTGCCGGGACTTCGCCTGTTCTCCAGGAATTCTCAAAGATGACTGCCAGTGGTTCTGAGATCACATCTGCCAGTTCTTTTAATACTCTTGGATGCAGTTCATCTAGCCCTGGAGACTTGAATACATCTAAACTAGCCAAGTATTCTTGTACTATCTCCTTAGTTATTCTGGGCTGTGTTTCCTTTGCTGAATCATTTGCTTCAAATTCTTCAGGTCGGGCATTGTTTTCTTTATCGGAGAAGACTGAGGCAAAGAAGGCATTGAGGAGTTCAGCCCTTTCTGTGTCCCCTGTTTGCATTTCACCATCTTCTCCTCTGAGTGACCCCACTGTTTCTTTGTTCTTCCTTTTGCTACGAACATACCCATAAAAGCCTTTTTTGTTGCTTTTAACCTCTCTAGCAAGCCTGAGTTCATTGAGTGCTTTAGCTTTTCTGACTTTGTGTCTACACGTGCTGGCTATTTGTTTGAATTCCTCTTTGGTGGTTTCCCCCCTTTTCCATTTTTTGTACACATCCTTTTTTAATCTTAACTCAGTTAAAAGTTCTTTAGATAGCCACCCTGGCTTCTTTAGGCACCTTCCATGTTTCCGTCTCATTGGTATTGCCTGACATTGTGCTTTTACTATCTCCTCTTAACAAACTCCCAGCCATCATGAACTCCCTTTCCTTTTAGTATTACTGTCCATGGGATCTCACCCAGCACTTCCCTAAGTTTTATGAAGTCGGCTTTCTTAAAGTCAAGAAATTGAGTCCTAGTATGCTTGGCTGCTCCTTTCCGCTGTATAGTAAACTTCTGAAGAGCATGATCACTCGTGCCTAATGATCCTTCCACTTCTACCCCACTAACCAGGTCATCAACATTAGTTAGGACCAGATCTAAAATGGCTGTTCCTCTTGTTGCTTCTCCCACTTTCTGGACAATGAAGTTGTCTGCAAGGCCAGTGAGGAATCTGTTTGACCTTATGCTCTTGGCTGAGTTTGACATCCAACAAATATCTGGGTAATTGAAGTCCCCCATTACTACTATCTCTTGGAAAAGCTTCAAAAATCACCAAAGTCTTCTAAAACCTCAAATGGCTGCAAAAGAAGTTTTGGAAAAGCTTCAAAAATCACCAAAGTCTTCAAAAAGCTCAACTGTTCCCCCAGCCACCCACCCACCACACAGAAATTGCAAACCCCTCCCCAACTGTTGCAAACCCCTCCTCAACTGTTCCCCCAGCCACCCACCACACAGACATTCAAACCCATATTTTATTTTTTAAAACAACATGGCCCAATGGTCACAGAAAATCATAAAAATGCAGAAAAAAACCACACAAGCTCCCAGATTCTTGCAAACCCCTCCCCAACTGTTCCCCCAGCCACCCACCACACAGAAATTTAAACCCAGAATTAAAAAAAAAAACAAGCAACATGGCCCAATGGTCACAGAAAATCATAAAAATGCAGAAAAAAACCACACAAGCTCCCAGATTCTTGCAAACCCCTCCCCAACTGTTCCCCCAGCCACCCACCACACAGAAATTCAAACCCAGAATTTTTTTTAAAAAAACAACAACATGGCCCAATGGTCACAGAAAATCATAGAAATGCAGGAAAAAACCACACAAGCTCCCAGATTCTTGCAAACCCCTCCCCAACTGTTCCCCCAGCCACCCACCACACAGAAATTCAAACCCATAATTTTTTTTTTTAAAAAACAACATGGCCCAATGGTCACAGAAAATCATAAAAATTCAAAAAAACCGCACAAGCTCCCAGATTCTTGCAAACCCCTCCTCAACTGTTCCCCCAGCCACCCACCACACATAAATTCAAACCCAGAATTTTTTTTAATATAAAACAGCAGAGTGCCCCAATGGTCACAAAAACTCATAAAAATGCAGAAAAAAACCACACAAGCTCCCAGATTCTTGCAAACCTCTCCCCAACACCAAGTCCCTGAATTCCAAACACCCCAACCCAAAATCCAAAAACCCCCAAAAAAGTTTTAAAAGTTTAACTTACCAAATGGCTGCAAAAGAAATTTTGGAAAAGCTTCAAAAATCAGCAAAGTCCTCAAAAACCTCAAAAAAGGCTACCACACTGCGTGCAATGTGTTGCTCCTCGAAGTCAAGTCGCAACTGCACCTCTTCAAGCAATGCACCCTGGGTATTAACGGTTTTACGAAAAAGGAAACAAACTTGCAAGACGTTTTCATCTTGCGAAGCAAGCCCATAGGGAAATTCGTCTTGCGAAGCAGCTCAAAAAACGCAAAACCCTTTCGTCTAGCGAGTTTTTCGTCTTGCGAGGCATTCGTCTTGCGGGGCACCACTGTAGTTCTTTATAAGTAAGCTGGAACTGAACTGAACTGAACAGCTCAGCTGGCCTGCTTTTATAGGCAGCCAGCTGTCAACATTGTAACAACCACCACCCAGGGTTTCCCACCTAAATTAACTGATGTGGACCTGAGTGAAAACTATATACACAATACCCCTGGTGGTCAGGGTGAGAACTTCAACACCTAATACCCCTCCCCACCGAGATAAGGCATTAGTTACAATCATAGTGGTTCCATTACATACAGCAATACCCTTATTGGTTTCAGTAAGGCACATAAGCATATTAATTGACCCTATTCACCATACAGCTTTACATGTGCAGTTGGTCCGGTGAACATAGTCTTTTAAATAAGATGGGCGCTTGGAAACCCTGCCAGACCGCCGAGGGCCAGTACCAGAGTCCGGGTGGCCGCCCAATTCTGGCAGGGACTGTGATGCAACCAAATGTGGCGTTGAGCCCGAGTTCCCTGGCTCCACTGCTGTCGAAGGAACGGCCATGAGCGGACTCGGTGGACGGTCAGGCACGGCGGTGGTCCGAATCTCTGGAGAGCCAGGCAGACCCACCAAAATGGCTTGGCTCTGCTCCATGCCCTCAGTTTGTGAGGAAGATGTAGGTGGAGCCTCGGCTTCCATTAGCAACTGCTCCGGAGCTGGGGCCACAGTTGGGGGCACAGCGGTAATGTCCAAATCCCCAACCCTGTGCCTTAGCTGGTCTATGTGCCAGCGCCACAGCTGTCCGTTCTGGAGTGCCACCTGGTACGAACGGGGCCCCCTGACTCCCACTACCATGGCCGACACCCAAGGAATGTACCCCACAAAGTTCCAGGCAAAAACCTTATTCCCCGGAATAAAGGACCGTGGCACGTTAGTACAGCCCGGGTGTCACACCCGGAGGCTTGGCCATACCAAAGTCCCGGTGCAGCCGGTCAAGCAGAGACCTGAGGCAGCGGCCCATAAGCAGTTCAGTCAGGTTCTGCCCTGTGGCTACATGAGGGGTGATGTGCTGCACAAGTAAGTATTCAGGGACCCGCTCATGCCAGTCCCTCTGTTCTAGGTGCTCCAGTGCCTCTTTTGCTGAGCACACCATTCTCTCTGCCTGCCCGTTGCTGGCCAGGTGAAATGGTGCCATTAGGGCATGGTGGATGCCCAGCCCCAAGAGGGACCTTTCAAAGGTGCCTAACGTGAACTGGTCCGTTGTCCGAGACGAGGACATCAGGACATCCATGAGTTGCAAACAGGCCTTGCAGCACCCGGATGACGGCTTCAGTAGTGGTGGAGGGTATCAGGGCCACGTCCAGCCATTTGGAACAGGCGTCCACCACTACCATAAAGGTCCGGCCGTGAAAGGGGCCGGCAAGATTGATGTGCACCCTCGACCAGGGTGCCTTGGGCATCTCCCAGGTGTTGCCCTTAGTTGCCGGCGGTGCAGGTCTTGACTCTTGGCATGCATGACAGGAGGCAACCCACAAAGTGATGGCATCGTCCGTGTTAGGCCACCAGACATAACGCCGAGCCAACGCCTTCATTTTTACAATCCCCGGGTGGCCGATGTGGAAAAGGAGGGAAATAAATGACATGTGGGAGAAAAGAGCAGCAAAGCAAAAAATAAACAAACAAAACCCAAACTCTAAAATATGGTGAATAGATTAGAGGATTGGCATTCAAAAAATGTAAAAAACAAAGGCAACCTCTCAATAAATTTGTTTTATTATTATCTGTTGTGTTTCTCTCATACTGTAAGTTTTATCATTAAGATGGTTTTCCTTAAGTTATAGTGGGGGGGGGCGGGTTTTCATTTTTCCATTTTTGTGGAAATCAATGTGCTGATGTTTCAGAGCCACATGTCCCACCTGTTTCAATGGGTCTTGTTTATTTTGGACAGTTTCGGTGTCTCGGCTTCTTCAACCCATCCGCGAAATGTTTTAGGAGTCTTCCACTCCCCATTAATTTCAAATAATGTCGTAGAAAATTTAATTTGATTGCATTTATACTCCCCCCCCCTTCTCCAAGGAGCTCAAGGTGGTGTACATGGCTCTCCCCTTCCTCATTTAATCCCCATGCAGCAACCCTGTGTGATAAATTAGGCTGAGACTGTGACCCCAGTGTGAGCTTTATGACTGAGTGGGGATTCGAACCTGGTCCGGGCTTAGTCTGACACTCTAACCACACTGGCACTGTGTAAATATGGTGAATAGGTAAATATTCACATTGTTGTGTGATGCAAATCAGATCAAAAGTGGATCAGGACAATGCCTGCTTTTCATGAGCAAATGCACATATTAATTTCCATATGGTACTTACTGTGTTCACCTGAATTGCTCACAGTGACTTACTTGTGGCTTCTATAACTGTATTGCATTTATATCCCACCTTTTCTCCAAGGAGCGAAGGGTGGCATTACATGGCTTTCCTTTTCTTCCTTTAATCCCCCCACAACCACCCTGTGAGGTAGATTAGCTGAGAGGCAGTGACTGTGACATCCACTGTGGGGATTTCAACCCTGGTCTCCCAGGTCCTAGCCCAGCACTCTAACCACTACACCACACTGGCCACAAATCCTAAAAATTTAGAGGAGCTGCAGGGGCACAGGGAGAGCAATCCTATGAACCAAAGCCATAAAAAACATGTTACAGGGTGGAGCTGCTTTCACACTTAACTAGAACATGCATGCAAAAAACCTCCTAAATCTATTGTGTGAGGAAGCAGTCCCATGGGGACATTTTTTGGATGGGAAGAATTCAGGCAGCAGAACCGTCCAAACTAAACAAGGCAAGTGTGAGTGCTTAGCAGATTTGTAGCGGTGGTGGTTGTAGGTGCTTTAAAATACACATGCAAAAGGAGAAACCCATTCCCTACTGACCCACAACAGGCATGGGGCAGAAAGAAGGTGATGCACATGTTATACAAGGAGCACAGGTAAAGACCAATCAGCCTTTGCAAACCTGGTGCCCTCTTAGTACATTTTGGACTACAACTCCCAGGCTGGCAAAGGTTGCATTAAATACACCAGTTCACAAATGCAGAAATGCCACACCCTTAACACAGGCCTCCTTTCAGTCTCTTTAACACAAAATTCAATGAACAACCATAAGTTGGGCAATCAGTAAAGATTGGCTTATGTACATATGAGGTGGAGCAAACTACTGCTGCTTGGAAGTGTAGATATGAAGGCACCTGCGAGGAAGGCACAAAGCCTATGTGGAACAATTTTAAAATGAGATTGAAGAGACAATGATGTTTATATACTAAATACAGTTGTATGGGAGGATGCACTGAAAACAAAAAGGTCTTGACTTCAGAACTCTCTTGTATGTATTTTGAGTTTTGATAGCTGCAGCTGTTCTTTTCTCTGCTTATCCTGCTCTTCTGTTAGCCACTCAAGTATCCCTTTGGTGGGAGAGAAAAGCGACGCATTTCCCTTGTTCAGTATAGCTACAGACAAAACACAGAAATAACTGGCCAGATTAAAGTATACCCAAGAAGCAATGATTTCCTTTGACTGGTAAGTCTTGAAAAATAGGCTCAAATTGGGGGTGCTTCAGGGCAGAGAAATATTGGCCACTGTCAGGAGTGCCTAAACTAGCATTCCACAGCATTGATTCCGCAGAAGGCAGTGATGGCCACCAATTTAATGTGATTAGAGACAAATTCACAGAGGCGGCTATTAATGGCTACTAGCCACAATGCCTCTATGCTCTGCCTGCTGTCAAAGGCAGGAAGGCTTCTGAATACCAGCTGGTGGAAACCAAAGGTGGGTAGAGTGCTTTTGTATTTGAGTCCTTTGCATCAGGTTGGGCACTGTGAGAACAGGATGCTGGAGTAGATGGGTAACTGACCTGATCCAGCAGTCTCTTCCTATGCTCTTAATCTTGTGCCCTCCAACTGCTTTGGACTACAACACCCATCAGGCCCAGCTGGCAGGGCTCAGTTGATTTAAGCTCTAGTCCAAAACGGCTAGAAGATGCATCATCATGGAAAGCTGCCTATAAACCACTGCTAAGGTTGCAGTACAGGCCTGCCCAGCAACTACAGTGGTACCTCAGGTTACATACGCTTCAGGCTACAGTCTCCACTAACCCAGAAATAGTGCCTCGGGTTAAGAACTTTGCTTCAGAAAGAACAGAAATCGTGCGGTGGCGGTGCGAGGTCCCATTAGCTAAAGTGGTACCTCAGGTTAAGAACAGTTTCAGGTTAAGAATGGACCTCCAGAACGAATTAAGTTCTTAACTCGAGGTACCACCGTACTTTTATTGGTGGGTCACACATCTATGCCGCCACCACCCCAGCCCACAGTGAAATGCCAAAAACCCTCCTAGTTGGCTAACATCCAGGTTGCTGCTAGGAGGGCCACAAGGTACTGTTCATGGAGACTGAATTGGTGACAGGCTTTTCAGTTACTGATCCCTACACTATAGATAGATGAAAAGGATAGGTTCCTACTCTGGACTTAGAAACTGGCCTACCTGGACTTACCTGCCTTGGATCCAAATAGCAGACAGCAACACATGGGCTCATTGTGGCTGGGTGGAGGTAGTCTCAACAGGAACCATGCTCCCCCCATGATTTACATGGATGGGGTCTTCTATGTTTGCACACACTAAGGGTCAAATATCAGGTCTGTTTCCACTTACTGCTGATGGTGGTAAACAATTACATTCTTCCACCCAGCCCCAATTCTGAGCCATATACTGGTATGGGCATAAATAGAACCTGTCACACAGACACCTGGTTTTAAGTCAAGTGTCTCATGGAGTTCCACACATAGATACGTGCAGGGTCACTTAGTTTTTGCAACTTTAAAATACCTTGCTTTGGGAAATGTAGTGGCATCCCTTCACTGGACCACTGGCCTGTCTCAGAGAATACACAGCTTATTATTCTACCTACTTAAACTACTCAAAGCAAGTTTGCCTTTAAAAAAAAAAAGTCTTACACTACTTTTAAAAGGTTTAGGTCTCCAGAGGCAGGAATGAGGAATCTGTTGCCTTCCAAACGTTGAGCTACAACTCCCATCATCCCCAACCATGCTGATTGAAGCTGATGAGTCCAACTACATCTGGAAGGGCAGATTCCCTATCCCTAAACTTGGGGTGGGGGGGACAGAGGAGAGATGTGGAGGGGCAGCCGCCAAGTAGGTCCGCTAGAGTATGGCAGAGAGTCATGGTTTGGCACACAGATGCTGCAATAAGAAACTATTCCTTGTTCATCTTAAAAGATTACAGCAGGACAAAAGGGCAGGGGAGGACTAACAATGCTGTACCGGCCTAAATTCAACAGTGACATGCCAATATACTTTCCCATGACTATACGCCTTTCAATGAGAAATGGGGTCATCAGTCACCAATCCCAAACCTCTGCTTATGGAAGCCTGCTTGCACCTTTACCTTACTGCCCATGGTTCCTTATGGAGTGGTGGAAATACAGTGGTGCCCCGCAAGACGAATGCCTCGCAAGACGAAAGGGTTTTGTGTTTTTTGAGTCGTTCCGCAAGACAAATTTCCCTATGGGCTTGCTTCGCAAGACGAAACGTCTTGCGAGTTCTTGCGAGTTTGTTTCCTTTTTCTTAAAGCCGCTAAGCCGTTAATAGCCGCTAAGAGCCGTGCTTCGCAAGACGAAAAAACCGCAAGACGAAGAGGCACCACTGTATCATTAGGAACTATGACAACCAGGATGGGGGGGGCATGGTTGCCTCTACAGACAGATGGGGAAGAACAGTGATGGGAAGCAGCTAAGCAACTCAGCGGCTTTTGCAATCTTCAGAGGAAAGTGTCACTCATGGTGGGGAGGGCGGGGAACAGACCAGCAACATGCTGTTGATGGTGGTGGACAATCATTCACAGCTGCTCAAGTTTTTAAATGAGCAAAAAAGGCAGCCAATCCATTCCAATCCTTTACTTGAAAACACAACTTTCCATGCAGAGTTGTTCAGATTTAACTGCTGATGTTCTGAGCTAGCTCCCCAGGCCTTCTGCTAGCCACAGGGGGAGGAAAAACTTTTTTTTGTTTCTCTTTTTGCTACTGGACAGTTATTTCAACCAACAATGTGTTCTCACTTGAACATTACAGTAAATGAGTCCTATGCAAGAGAACTTCTAACAAAAAAGAACAAAAAAAAAACTCTGTACACAACTTTACAAACATATTAACATATAAATAACAGAAAGCTTCCAAGCAGGAGAGCTTCCCCAGTAGTCTTTTTTTTTTTTGCTTCAGACGTTTTCTTTTTTTTTAACACTGGAAGGGAAGAGTCAGTCCCTTTCCTCAAGCATCACAGGGATTGGTTTGTCTTTTTCATATATAAAAAAAAAAAAATTCTCCTCTCTCTCTCTCCTTTTTGTCAGTGCCTCTGGCTTCAAGTGAGCAGTTCGTGCAAAGTGGGCACCTCCTCCTTAACCTTCTGGGAAGGTGCCCTGTGGGGCTAAGGCCTCAGCCAGCTGGTCATCGTTCTGGTCCAAGCTCTTGCTGGAAGACTCGCTTCTTCTCCCGACAGTGCTTCTTGTGGGCCGGCCAGTCTTTCTGCTGGCACTGCGAGCCGCAGTACCGTGCGACCTGGCACCGCCCACAGATGTTAAATTCACGTAACTGGAGAGAGGAGTACGGGACAAAAATCAGTATCCCTTTTCAGGGCCCCTAAAGAAAACCATCCCCCACAAAAGCAAGCCAACCAAAAGGGTCCTAAGGTGGCCAGTCCCATGGCAATCTTTTTAGGAACTAAAGCAGGCCTGGTCAGGATCTGGGTAGAACAGCCTGGGAACCCGACAAAATGCTGCCTTGGTTTTCATTGTGGATAAAATATTATCTAGCCCCCACTGGTGCATTTCTCTTGTTTATGAACCTGAAGGTCTCATTATGAGTATCATCTTCTTTTTCTCCACCCCCACCCAATCTTAGACATTCTGAATTCAATGGGAATGAGTCGATTTCTTTCCCTCATGGTCTACAACAAGGATAGGGAGCTGTGCCACCCGCCACCCCCACCTACTGCACTGGCCAGGCTGGCTGGGGCTGAGGGAGTTTCGAGCTGCAGTTCCCCACCCCTGGGTTTATAACTATGGCTTTGGAACATAGAACACTACCTGACACCAAATCAGACTAGTATGGCCCAGTTCAGTGTACCACCTATGTTGCACAGAAGAAGTGCTCCAAAGTTTTGAGCAGGGATCTTTCGTAGCTCTAGCAAGAGACTGAACCTAGGACTCAAAACCGATGCTCTCCTGCTGAGTTGGAGACCCTTCTATATCCACAGACCTATTTACATATTTCCCTCCACAAAAGCATCCAAAACTGTCATCAGAGGAACAGATTCCCTTTGTACAGGTTATCTTTTCGGGTGACTTCTATCCATCCTTCTATACAACAAAGTTACTTCAGTGAGGTTTAAAACCAGAGCTGTTCATTCTGATCTTGTTTCCCCATGACCCTGTCCTAAGAAAAAGTGGGCTAGGAAAAGGGGGGTTTGGCCTATGGGCAACACTGACTTTTCCACACCGAGAGGTAGGGTGAAGAGTTATCCAAATAGAATGGTAGCACAAAGTCAGTTGTACTTCACAGAACACCATTGAGAGAGAGACGTGTCTGAAGCTTGGAAGCCGCTGGCCAGGATAACTATTTAGGCTAAAAACGGTGCAGTGAAATTCCTTGCAGGGGGTACAAAGAACACACTAGCAGTGCCTAAGGACTTTTTGGTTTTTTAAAAAGAAGCAACCACACTGAAGAGGGTGAACTTGCAGCAGCCAGCCTAGAACAGGGACGGTCTTATCCATGACTTGCTTCTGGTTTTGAACGCACCTGTTTCTCAATCACTGTGCAGGGAGGGTAGTGACATTCATAGTATGTGCACGAACTCTCCTCTTCTTCCACAACATCCCCATTAGCGTTATAATAGCGTGTCACATTCAGCACCGGAAACTGTTCCTCTATGGGGTCTGTGGGAAGCTGCTGGATCGCCAGCCAGTATAAGCTTTGTTCCCTTCAAGAAAAAACAGCAAATTAAGTATTTCCGCAGCAAGCTTGTGCTGCACCGTAGCAACATGTTAAAACTCCAACCCTCTCAAAGCAGAAAGTTGACAGTAGCCACAATCACAACATATCTTTAAAGTACTCTGATACAGTCTTAAACAGTTATGTCTTCCCCTAAAGAATTATGGAAACTTTAGCTTGTTAAGGGTGCTGAAAGTTGTTATAAGGCCCCTGTTCTCACTAGCAGACATACAATTACCACAGTAGTTTAACAACTGATTCCTCATTCAAGGGAATTCTTGAGAATTGTTGCTGTGTGAGTGGAATAAATAACCTAGGGTGGGAGACATATCCTCCCCTCTATGGCCAGGTCAGAGAGAACTTAGCACCACAGTTTCTTCAGATGCAAAGAAACACACATAAAAAATCATCAAGGGGCTATGCAAAAAAACAAGTTCTGGGGTTGTTTGACTTCCAGCCCCTTTTGTCCCTCTTGCCTGTGATACTGTTATTGAGAATTTACCTTTGTTTACTAGAGATTTCTTCAGCTTTGGGCCTCCATCCCCATGGAACCAATCGCAGGTTGTCTAGACGATTGTCCACTGTCACTGCATTCAGATGCACGACTTGAAAGCCAGGGGCGATGCCCCCCCTATGCCTCTCCCTGAAAGAGAAGACGAGCCACCTGCAATTCCTGAAAGGAAGCATTCAGATGCTTCTAGTTGCTTGGACTCCTATAATACATCATGGGCTGCCCTTGGAAGGCAGTATGGAAACTCCAACACACTCAAAGAGCTGCTACCAGGGTTCTAACCAGAGCAGGTCATTGGAGACAACACATCTCAAAAGAGCTTAACAAGCTTACTTTGACTTCAAGGTGCTGGGTCTGAAAATTTAAAACCTTACACGGCTTAGGACCCAAGGCATAAAGGACACCCACCCCCTGTCCAGTTCTTAAGATCATCTGCTGATGACCTTCAGCAGGCATCCCTGCAATTAGAGATACAGTGGTACTTTGGGTTAAGAACTTAATTCGTTCCAGAGGTCTGTTCTTAACCTGAAACTGTTCTTAACCTGAAGCACCACTTTAGCTAATGGGGCCTCCTGCTGCCGCCGTGCCGCTCCTGCATGATTTCTGTTCTCATCCTTAAGCAAAGCTCTTAACCCAAGGTACTATTTCTGGGTTAGCGGAGTCTGTAACCTGAAGCGTCTGTAACCCAAGGTACCACTGTAAATTGGGTGGTGATCAGGGGAAATGCCTTAGAAATACACCTCACATCTTCTAGGTAGCAGGCAAATTCTTTTTTCTTTTAAGTCACCCAAGCTGTTAAAGGGAAAGGATCGTAGCTCAGCAGTAGAGTCTCTGGATATTGGAACCCTGGCTTCAAGTTGTGGGTAGCCCTGTGGCACTTGGATGGGTTGGAGCATTTTGCATGCAGAAGGTCCCATGTTCAATCTCCAGGATTTCCAAGTGGGACCAGGAATGTCCCCTGCCTGAAACCCAGGAAAGCTGCTGCTGCTGCTATCAGTCAGTCAGTCAGCATAGACAGCACAGAGCTAGATGGATCAACCTAGATCTAAATACATGGCAGTTTTGTATGTTCAAACTATAGAGAGAAAAAGGGAGGGGGTAAAGATACTTTAACACACAACACAGCCCACTTTCCTTTTACATGGCGGCTGTTTGTACATCACAGTATACCTTAGCTAACGGTTTACTGTGAATGTATTTGTCTCCCCTCTGCTCCTACTAGAAGAAAACAAACCATGATCCCTTGGGCTTAGAAGATGTGTCCAAAGTAGGGACTATGGTTTGTTTCACCTCCAACAAATCACAATCAGAAAGCTAAAATCACAATCAGATCACAAACAAATCACAATCAGAAAGCTACCATTGCACTGTGGAGAGCGTATTAACTTATGGTCTGTGTGTGTGGTTTGGGAGCTGCATGGCCAGGGAAAAAACAATGCTATCCAGGGTTGTAAAGACTGCAGAGAGAATAATTGGGTACACTCTTCCCACCTTAGATCAAATCTATGCTGCCAGGTGCCATAAGAAAGCGGCAGAGATAGCGCAGGATAGTACGCACCCTGGAAATGATCTCTTTCAGCTTCTGCCTTCTGGAAGAAGGTATAGGGTTATAAAGGCCAGGACTAGCCGCCAGTTTCTACGCAAATGCAATTCTGGTTCTAAACGCAGCATAAGGGGTCTCTATAGTATAGTGTATTTTTAAATGGGGTTTCAGAGTTTTTAGGTGTTTTTGAATGTTTTATGTAGTTTTTCAGTTTCATTGTTCTGCATGGGACAAGGACAATAAAGATATCGTATCGTATTGTAAAAACAAACATTGGCTACACACTGTGGGTTGTCAGGAGAAAAGCAAACCACAACCCCTGGTTTGGACACAATGCTAAGCCAGGGATTGTGGTTTCTTTCTTCCCACCATGAATGGGGAGAGGTAAGACAGACGCTATCTGCTCATGCACAGCAAACCACGGCTTATGGATTACCCTGACACGTGAGAGTTGCCATTATAGTGCCCATCTCCAAAGACTATGCATACACATGCCTCAGCAGTCTGGAAACCTGCAGCTATGTTATCCCCTGCATAATGATACCTACCACAGTAACTCGTGCAGCAGGCGTCCAAAGCCTCTTCCTCGGTTTTTGTCAAACGCAAAGGCAAATATTCTAGCACCATTTCCATCTGCGTCGACCTCCATTCGAGCCTGGCCAAAGACAGAGAACACATCTATTCATGCATTTTGTTTAAAATATTTGTATGCTCATCTAATCATCATAGCAGCTTCAAATACAAAACACAGTGAAATGTAAGTACAACTATTAATGGACAGAAATGTAACAGTCATTAAAACAGAAAACTGCAACCCAAGTAACAGAAATGTTAAAAAACAAATAAATGGCAAAATATTAAACACTTGGGTTAATAAAAGTTTTCTCTTATCACATAAAAGATATTAAATGATGGCGCTATGCAAATTATGACTAGGGGAAATGTTTCAGAAAAAGGGTGCCACCAGACAAGGGACTCTGTTCCCAGTCAACAAACATCTGAAGGCAGAGGTACACTGAGTAGAGCCTCTAAAGTTCAAAATCAGTCAGGTCTATATCAGACGAGAGAAAGTGGGTCAATAATGGACATGGTAAATGTCAGATGAGATGCATCCTCTGCCCCGGGAACCCAGTTTCTGTGCTTGAGTCACTCTGTGGTGAGTTAACAGACACTCTATATAAGATCAGAGCCTTCTTGTTCAGCGAGCCTGAGGATATATATAAACCATGTCGAGTCTCTAATTTTTCCCCAGACACCTCAAAAGCCTGTGCAGAACCTGTTGATATCAGGTAAATGAATGGGTGAAAGTGTAATGTCAGTGTATTTCAAATTGGCCCCTTTTCCAAGAGCAATACATTTTCTATTAAGCTCCACAAAATCCAATCTAAAAATACATGAAGCCTATATAAAAGAAAATTCATTCTAAAGTAAAGCAACTCTTGATTCTGCAAGTGAAGGACAACTTGCCTGGTTATCCTACTTCAGAGAACAGTTTGAGTCTTTGGAGAACTTGGTATTTTTCATACAAGTCCTTGCCCAAACCCAGATGTCTGGATCGGGCTGAGCTCTTTTATGACCCACATGCTGTTTCAAGGGAAAATGCCTCCTCGTTCTCTCTCTGCCAACTTATTCAGATAGTCATTATATGAGACCACCGGCTTTCATGAGTTAGATTAAAGCAGGTTCATTAGACAATCAACCTGCCTGTTTTTGATCTACCCTAATTACTGGCCATGTCAGGTCAGGGTTCATATGGAGAGCCACAGGTTCCCCATCCCTGATCAAGAGGAATAATAGCTGACATGTGGTCCTCCCAATGCTCTTCAGCCATTGGATATGCTGACTGGACCTGATGGGAATTTGAGTTCAACACTTGGAATGTGGAAATAAGGTAGATAACATGGTTCTTACCTCAAAAGAGTAACTCTCCACAAGTGGAATGTCTTGCTCGTCAATCAGTGTGTACTTTGTCTAGAATAAAAAAGGAAGGGTAATTAAATACTTTATATTGCGGATACTTTTCCAATACCTAGCAAGGCACTCTTCATTCATTTCAGCAAAACAACAATTTAAGCTATTCCAGGGCACATCTTACACTGAAAAGAGAAGTTTTACACCTTAAATAAGTCATTCATCTGACCGGGCATACTTCACACACTTGTCTAAACCAGGGGAAAGCTGCTCCAGGGTTAGCCTTGAGCATTCTGGGATCTCTACCTACCATTGTGTCCACAAGCCTTCTGGGAAGTCCAAATGCCAGAAAGGGGTGTATTGCCTTTCTCTTGCCTTTGGAAGTAGGATAGGAGAGGAAGAAAGAACTGTAAAATGCAAGTTCTTGCTCAGAGACCAAAATCTGCAACTGAGAGGGGCAGCTCTGGCCCAATATAGATTATACCACACAAATCAGTTAGCCTTTAAAGGGCAGTTTTGTGTTTCAGTTTTTGCTGTAACAGATTAACATACAAAACTTAACCCAAACAACCTGTAAAGCAAGACATTGCACCAAGTATTGGTACACATCCTTTGTGGTCCATGATTATTCCAAAAAACAAAAATAGAAAAGCACAACAACAAAAGAAAGTTACAACAAACATGTATCAATAAATATGTATCAAATCTGCACAAGAAAATAGGAAGCTACTTAGGATCAGGTCAGACTATAAATCTGTCAGTATCACCTAGTCTAACCAGTAGGCACACTCCAAAGCAGAAAGAAACCTCTCAGAACACTTGCTATGTAACCCTTTGAAACTGCAGATGCCACCTCCATGTGCTCTGCCAGTGAGCTATGGGCCCCTTTATATCCTGAATGCAAAGGATATAAAAAGAAAGAAATCTCCCCATTTGAGGTCCACCAGTTCATTACCCTTCTACAGGGAGAGATGCAAAGAGAGTAAAAAATAGAAAAGGGACCTCTAAACTAAAACCAGCCTCCCGCATCCTTCTATCTTTAATAATAATAATAATAATAATAATAATAGGCTCATGGAACCCCAATGAACCCAGTGACGTCACAGAGGGGTCCTGTGTGACGTAACGGAGCAGGTCAGACGCGCGAGGGGGCGGTGAAGTGATAGAGGAAGGGGCGCGGGTTTCCCAACACAGAACACGCGCGGGCACGGAAACACACGCACACCGCATACAGACGCGCAAAGCCTACTTCTCTCACCCCGCCCCGCCCCACGGGGCCCCACGCATACCTTGCCGGCCACCCGGCCGAGCCGCACGATGCCCAGCTTGAAGTCGGTCATGGCCTTGGCCTGGCAGGGAGCGGAGAGGAGGGGGGAAAGGGGAAAGAGGGAGGAGGAGGAGGAGGGGAGGAAGAGGCGCAGGCTGGAGGGAGACCCCGATGCCACGCGCCGCCGCCTCGCGCACGCCTCGGGCAGGAGGATGGGGAGCGGGGGGCGGGGCAGCGCGCACCGCCGGCGCCGCCGCTGATGCTGCCGCTCTCTTCTTCTGCCGCCGCCACCAACTCCTCCCCCCCTCCCCCACCAATATGAAGCCGCGGCCCGCCAATCAGCGCGCGAGCCGCGGCGGCGCGTCATTTCTACCCGCCCGAGGGCCGCCCGGCGCGACCGAGCGCAGCCGCGGCGCCGCGTCACGTGTCCGGCGGCGGCGGCCGATGACGCACATCGCACTCGCGGGAATTCTCTCTCTCTCCCTCCCGTCCGGCGAATGGGCACGACTGAGCAAGCTAGGAGAACCTCCCTCCTCCGCCTTTTAAAGGGCACGTCCCATATTAGTGCGCGTTTAGTATATATTTTATTATTATTATTATTATTATTATTAGGTTGTTTCCTAAGGATCTATTTTTTTTTTATTCAAAATTATAACAAGACATATTATCCAAAAACATATCATCCTTGTTTCCCCATTTTCCTCCCTCCCTCCCACACCACACCCACCCACCCCCACCCCACCCTCCGACTTCCCTCAGTTCCAGTCTTTGGTTTCTCTGAGAATGCTATTTTCTGCATGTTACAAAGTTGTATAGATCCTCAAACTATTTAGCTGATTATTATCAATAACAAGTTTGTGAATGTTTATTCAAAACCTGCCAAGGAGTCCAGTTCGCTTTGTTGCGTCTTCAGATACTTTGTAACGGGTTTCCATTCATCCTTAAAGTCACAGTTATCCTTGTCCTGTAGCTTATATGTCAGTTTTGCCAGTTCTGCATAGTCCATCAAATTTTCTTGCCATGATTCTTTAGTTGGGGTTTCTTCAGTCTTCAATCCTTGTGCTACCAGAACTCTCGCGGCTGTTATCGCATACATGAAGATGTTTTTCAACTTCTTTGGCAGGTCTTTCCCTACAATCCCCAACAAAAATGCCTCGGGTTTTTAAACAAATGTTAAATGGAACATTTTCTTCAATTCGTTTTATATCATTTCCCAAAAATTTTAAATTACCTTACAATCCCACCACATATGATAAAATGTCCCCTCCTTTTCCTTACACTTCCAACATATATTTGAACTAGTTTTGTACATTTCCCCTAACTGCACTGGTGTTGTATACCATCTGTACATCATCTTCATGTAATTCTCCTTCAATAGGGAACAATCTGTAAATTTTAAGTCAGTTTTCCATAATTTAACCCAATCTTCCATCATAATGTTGTGACCTACATCTTGTGCCCATTTAATCATAACTGATTTTACCTCTTCATCTTTCGTCTCCCATTCTAATAGTATGCTGTATGCGGCCTTCAGTAGTTTCACTTTCCCTTCAATCACTTCCGTTTGAAACCTAGATCTAGTATAACTAAATCCTTTCTTGCTGTCTTCTTTGTGTATTTCATATAGTTGTTGATAATGCAACCAACTCTGAAAGTGGTCTTTGATCTCATCATAATCTCTTAATTTCCATTTTCCATCATGTTCCTTTAATAAATCAGCATATGTGAGCCATTTTCCTTTCTTTCCAAATGGTTTGAGCAGTAATGCTTCATGTGGTGAAAGCCACCACGGGGTCTTTTGTTCCAATAAGTCTTTGTATCTCTCCCATACTCTCATTAGTGATTTCCTGATTAAATGGTTGTAAAAACTTCTATGAACCTTCCCTTTCCCGTACCATAAGTATGCGTGCCAGGCAAATCTGTTGTCATGTCCTTCTAGTTCTAATGCCTCTTGCTTGTCCAATCTCATCCAGTCCCTGATCCATACCAAACAAGCAGATTCATAATACAATTTAAGGTCTGGGAGGGCAAACCCGCCTCTATCTTTTACATCTGTAAGTATTTTATGTTTTATCCTTGGCCTTTTGCCCCCCCCCCCGATAAATCTTGAAATCTATTTCTGCCATTTTTTAAAGCATTCATCTTTCAGGATAACTGGTATTGATTGAAAAAGAAATAGAATTTTTGGCAACACATTCATTTTAATCGCTGATATTTTTCCTAACATTGAGAGATTCATTCTGCTCCATATTTCTAAATTTATTTTTACCTCAAGCCAATTTTTTCATAGTTTTTTTTTAAGTTAGTTATTTTTTCATAGTTATTTTTTGTTAACCAAATCCCTAAATATTTGACCTTTTTATGGACTTCAGTCTCAATGTTTTGTTCTAATTCGGTTCTTTCTTCTTCCTTCATGTTTTTAACTAATAATTTAGTAGCGCGTTTAGTATATTTTATCTTTCTCTCTGTTTATATAAATCCTGTACGTATTACTGCGTGTCTATAAAAAATAAAATTTACGCCATATATCTTAGTGTGCGCCGATAAAATAGATTGTGACATTGTTCTAATAATTTTATACACACATTACGGGCCACACTCCACATAAAACCAATCCCTGTCCTTCAAAATGAGGAAATGCCCCCCACCAATTCCTCTCACTACCAAGGAAATGTAATAAGCGGATATAAAGAGAACCTACCCAGTTGACGCTGACAAAAAACCCCACATGCACACTGTATAAAAGAATGTTTCACCACCCCTCCCCTCCTTTTCTTTCCCATTTAACTCTAATCAATTTTAAATCTACCACTATGCTGAAGTTATCTTTCAGCCTTTCCTTGTCATCCTCTGGAATACAAATCTCTACACTTAGTGTGTTAAAGAGAATCCTGAACGAATGCTTTGAGAATAAGGCTGACTTTCATTCACTCTTTCTGCTCTGCTGTGCTAGCACCCAATGATATGTAAATGTAATGCACTAAGGTACCCATTCAATCTTATTTGTTAGAATAGTTCTCGCATCTAAAGTGGGTCTTCTTCGTTTTCTTCCAAGGGTAACCTAGCCAGCACTTCACTCTGAAGTTTCAGGGGGGGAAAGTTTGTCCTGGAATCTGTGTGGTTTCTCATTTAGAATCTATTTTGTATTTAGCCTAGCAGTTTGAAAGCGCGCCAAAGTGCAAGTAGATAAATAGGTACCGCTCCGGCGGGAAGGTAAGCGGCATTTCTGTGCGCTGCTCTGGTTTCACCAGAAGCAGCTTAGTCATGCTGGCCACATGACCCGGAAAAACTGTCTGCGGACAAATGTCAGCTCCCTCGGCCAGGGAAGTGAGATGAGGGCTGCAACCCCAGAGTCGTTCGCGACTGGACTTAACTGTCAGGGGTCCTTTACCTTTACCTTTTTAAAGTTGCAGTCTATGCAAATTCCAATGAAACAATAGAGCATATGCAAGAAGTAAATGTGAGATATACACTAAGAAAATATGCATCTGCTGCCAAGTGAGAAGCTCCCAGCATTCAGTGCAGGCTTCTTTAGCCCTTTTATCATTGTTGTTAAGCCATGCTTAAGCTGGGCAGCAGAAGCAGAACATGGACTAACCTTCTGTTGCTTCCTTAGAATTGCTCATATCTAGGCCAGGATCAGCTAAGCTGTGATCTTTCACACATTGCTGGACTCCCGTCTTCCATCACTCCTGACCATTGGCTATGCTGCCTGTGGCTGATGGAAGTTTGAGTCCAACAAGATCTGGAGGGCCAGAAGAAGTTAGCGCCCCCCCCCCCACTATGCCGTAGCCTAAAGCACAACAACCAACTCTCCTTCCTCCACCTTCTTTTTTTTTTTTAATTAATATTTATTAAAGTTTCAGAAAGAATAAAATCACATTAATAAACAAGAAAATTTTAACAAAAACAAAGAAAAATACATCATACAAAATACAAAGTACAAAATAGAAAAAAGTAAAAAAAGAAGAAAAAAAGAAAAAACAGTTAAAAATGGTTCCGTCCTTTCATAACCTCTTTTAAATTTACTTGTTTCCCGGACTTCCTCATACCTCCCTCTTTTGTATTCCAATTCAGTTTATAAGCCCAGCAATTTCTTTCCCTCCTTTTTAGTTCCAGTTCTAAATCTTAATATATTATGACATTAGATTTTTACCTATTTGAACCAATTTTTCCATTTCTCTTAGTCTTTTTGGTCCTAATCCTTAATCTTGATATATTTATAGCTTTAATGGAATATTTATAGCTTTTTCCACCTGGAAGCCAATTTTCTTGTCCAAATTGTATGCCTCCATTATCTGATAATAATGAAGCCAGTCTCGAACTTTATTTTTTAGTTTTTCAAAACTCTGCAGTTTCAATCTATCTCCATCTTGTTCTAAAATTTCCCAATATTTCGGCCATTTGACCTCCATATTGAGCTTTTTCAAGGCTTTCACTTCCATCGGTGACAGCCAACTTGGGGTTTTATTTTCCAATAAGTCCTTATATCTTATCCAAACATTAAACAAAGCTTTCCTGACAATATGATTTTTAAATGCTTTATGTGCTTTGACCTTATCATACCACAGATATGCATGCCATCCAAATACATTGTTAAAACCTTCTAGATCCAAAATGTCAGTGTTTTCAAGAAGCAGCCATTCTTTCAACCAGCAAAAAGCTGCTGATTCATAATAAAGTTTAAGGTCTGGCAGGGCAAATCCACCTCTTTCCTTTGCATCTATTAGTATTTTAAATTTTATTCTGGGCTTCTTGCCCTGCCAGACAAATCTAGAAATATCTCTCTGCCACCTCTTGAAACAGTCCATTTTGTCCACAGTTTGCAATGTTTGAAACAAAAACAACATTCTAGGCAATACATTCATTTTTACCGCAGCAATACGGCCCAGCAGTGAAAGCTTCAAATTTGACCAAATTTCTAAATCTTTTTCACTTCAGCCCAACATTTTTCATAGTTATCTTTAAATAAATTCCCATTTTTGGCTGTCATGTTAATCCCCAGGTATTTAACTTTCTTAACCACTGTTAAACCTGTCACATTCTGAAACCTCTCTCTTTCCATTGGTGTTAGATTTTTCTCTAAAACCTTAGTTTTTAACTTATTCAATTTAAATCCTGCAACCTGACCAAATTCTTGAATCAATTCTAAAACCCTTTTGGTACTAGATACTGGCTCCTGTAACGTCAATACTAAATCATCTGCAAATGCTCTCAATTTGTACTGTTTAGCTCCAACCTGTATACCTTTAACCAACTGGTCCCTTCTAATCATGTTCAGCAAAACCTCCAGGACCGAAATAAAAAGTAGTGGGTAAATTGGGCAACCTTGTCGTGTCCCTTTTTCTATCTTGAGTTCTTCCGTCACCACATTATTTACAATTAATTTAGCCTTTTGTTCTGAATAAATTGCACTTATACCATTTTCAAAGCCTTGGCCTACCCCCTTCCTCCACCTTCTTGTCCTGTTGGGCTGCCAAATGAGGATGAGTAAAGGGATAATTAAAAACAATAAACATTCTACTGCTTCCTCTAAGAATAGAGCACATTTTTGCATTTCTCTGGAAAACTGAAAGATTACTTAGGAGGAAGTTTGCCTTCTAGGTAAATGCATTTGTAATCACCAGGCTGGTTTAAAAAATGCTAGGAACTTACTATTGCTTACTATTTCAGTATTTTTTGGCTGAGCTGACAGTTATGAGCAAGCAATAGTTGGACATCTAACTAACTCATGAATGGGATGCTAACTCATGAAAGAGAGAGAGAGAGAGAGAGAGAGAGAGAGAGAGTGTTAACATCATATGTTAGACTTGGGGTGGGGAGGGAGGTGGTTTTCTTTCTTTGTACAGATCAGCACTTTTAAAAAGTCTTAACTGTGGATTACAAATTCTAAGAAAGCTAATGTTTGGCAGAACTGTAATACTGTTTACATTTACCTTTTATTTAGTTAGTTGTGCTGAATTAATTTTGTAAATAGCAACCCTTATCTGCATAAAATAAAATATATACATTTAAATAACCAAAAAGAAGCCAGAAGTTGAAAACAAATAGTCCTAAAAGAATCAAAACATTAATAAAATCAGCAGTTAAAATATGCATACAGTGGTACCTCAGTTTACAAACTTAATCCGTTGCGGTAGTCCGTTCTTAAACCGAAACCGTTCTTAAACCGAGGCATGCTTTCCCTAATGAGGCCTCCCGCCACCGGTGCCCTTCCACCATTCGGATTCCATTCTTAGACGAGATAAAGTTCACAAACCGGGACACTACTTCCGGTTTTGCAGAGTTCGTAAACAGAATCATTCTTAAACAGGACTGTTTTTAAACCAAGGTACCACTGTATTTAAGAAACACATATTGAATACATTGAGGCTTGCATTGCAGGGGGTTGGACAAGATGACACTATGGGTCTCTTCCAACCAAAATGGTAAACTGCACAGGCTCCGTGTATTTGAAGAAAGAGCAAAGTGTGATGGCAGAACACCTGCTTTGCATGCAGAAAGTCCCACATTTGATCCATGGCACTGTATCGGTCTCCTTTTTGTGCTGCTTTCATGTTTGCCGCAAACACTGCAGAACACTGCAACTTCCTATGCTCCTTCTTGAACTCCAAGGAACTCGGGGGGGGGCCATCTATAGCTTCCTCCTGCCCTGTTATCCTTCCAACAAGCCTGTGAAGGAGGTTCATCTGAGAGTGAGTGAATGGCCCAAGATCTCTTAGTGACCACTATGGCTGAGTGGGGATTTAGTTTCTAGTTTCCCTGCTTGCTGCAGAACTGCAGCTCTTGGTGCATTTCAGGGGGTTGGACTAGATGACCCCCAGGGACCCTTCCAACTCTCCGATTCTATGATTCTACATTTTGTGGGTCTTTAAAAGACTGGCCATTGCATACGCAATCTCTGTTGGGCTGGTGTTGCGAATAAGTGTCTTGAGCTTTTTAATTAACCCCCTTTGAGGTTGCAAATAAATGTGTTAGTCTTTGAAAGTGCTAACACAAGGCTGTGAGCATGAGGATGCTGTAACAGACTCAGAAGCGTGTGTGTTTTCCGTCTGAGTTCAGTTGATAGGACTCAGGAATCAGGCATGGCAACTGAGCTGTAGGCGTGTTGCCTGTGTCAATCCCCTTCTAGCATGTGTGTATGTGTGCCATCATGATGTGTATACATATGTAAAGGTAACATTGAGCGTATAGACTGGCACCTCTCCCCACCCTGATGTACCGGCAGAGTTAGTGTCCCTTTAACTGATGTGTGACAAGCAGAAATTAAGGAGGTCAGAACCAGCATTTTTAGTGTTATTCCTTGGAAGCCTGTGGGTTTTTAAATTCCCACTTCTAACTGTTTAAAAGGGTTGCAGATCCTTTTGTGTTCTCTCACTGACTTGAATGGGACAAGATTTCAGACGTGAGCACGCTTGCATTTGAACTTGGTGGAGCTTACAGCTTGAACAATGCACAGTTTGAAGTTCAAACTCTGAACCAGGCTTTGAACCTTACTTAAAAGTAAGTCCCACTGGGGCAGCTCAGCTAGCCGTGCTCTTTCCCCCATATTCCACCAGCAGTTTGATGAAACACATAGGGGGCGTGGGCTGGGGGGGAGACACCCATGCATAATAGGATGTCCCTGTTTTCATCTGAGAAATGTTGGATGGTATGGAGGGTGGTAGCGTTTGTTGAAACAAGCCGGCTTGTTTCCATACTAGGATGCGGCTAATATAAAGCAGATGCTTTCAATCTTGCGGCTGAATCCAAATGCAGTCAAGTTGGAAGTGATCTTCTCCGTCTAGCGTAGGAAACTATCAAGTATATCTGAAAATATCTGAAGGACTTCTGGCAGGGCAAGATGGCAGGCGCCACGGGTGTGTGGAGCTCCTGAGGACAGCCAACACCAACTGCGCTGCCTGGCTGGTCCCCAAGCTGTCCAAACCGCTGCCACCAGAGGGGAGCTGGGGACATCTGGTGCATCAGCCAGGAAAGTTGCCCAGAGGCCCCCCCCCCCCCGTGACTTTAGCTGTGCTGGGACAGGGAACACCTGACCAACAGCCCAGTGGAGCTCTGGGGCCTGGAGCTGAACAGAAACAAAGCAGAAAGAAAAAAGTAGTCCCCCACCAGCCGAACACCATCTTACCGCTGCTGCTGCCTCCACCGACACCAAAAGGAGATAGGAAAGTACCAGGAGGGCCAGGAAGGCCGCAAATAATTGCTTGGCGTAGCCTAGACCTGATCCAGGCCTAACTTTCTGGCAGCTGGCCTGACAAAAGTAGGCCGGGGCTCGGGGGGAAGCTGCACACCAGAGGCCACCACAGGGGAATACATACACAGCATGGGCCCTCCCCAGCTATGAATATTAATATATATATTTATTTCTTTTTTATAATATTTATCCTGGGTTTTTTAAAAAATCATTTCTTCTTTTTCTTCTTTCTTTTTCTGTGAAGAACTGTAAAAGCACCCTAGCAGGAAGCCTGAACCATAGAAGGGAATACCGCCTTAGCCTTTACCCAGGGATCTGACAACCAGTGAAATTAAAATGGCCTGTGAGTCAAAATTACTACCAATACATTCTTTAAACATATACACAAACCCCTTTTTTCACTCATTAATTTTATTTTTTTATTCAGTTTTACACCTTTTCTATTATTACTCACTTATTTATTTTTTTTACTGGGACGCGGGTGGCGCTGTGGGTAAAACCTCAGTGCCTAGGACTTGCTGATCGCGATGGTCGGCGATTCGAATCCCCGCGGCGGGGTGAGCTCCCGTCGTTCGGTCCCAGCTCCTGCCCACCTAGCAGTTCGAAAGCTCTCTTAAGTGCAAAGTAGATAAATAGGTACTTTATAGCGGGAAGGTAATGGCGTTTCCGTGTGCTGCGCTGGTGCTGGCTCGCCAGCTGCAGCTTCGTCACGCTGGCCACGTGACCCGGAAGTGTCTTCGGACGGTGCCGGCTCACGGCCTCTTGAGCGAGATGAGCACGCAACCCTAGAGTCGGACACGACCGGCCCATACAGGCAGGGGTACCTTTACCTTTACCTATTTTTTTACTATTCTTGTGGCTATTCTGTCTTGCGGCTGAGTCCAAATGCAGGCAAGTTGGAAGTGATCTTCTCCGTCTGGTGTAGGAAACTATCAAGTACAGCTCTACTGCTGAGCTACGATCCTTTCCCTTTAACAGCTTGGGTGACTTAAAAGAAAAAAGAATTTGCCTGCTACCTAGAAGATGCAAGGTGTATTTCTAAGGCATTTCCCCTGATCACCACCCAATTTACAGTGGTACCTTGGGTTACAGACGCTTCAGGTTACAGACTCCGCTAACCCAGAAATAGTACCTTGGGTTAAGAACTTTGCTTCAGGTTGAAAACAGAAATCGTGCTCCAGCGGTGCGGCAGCAGCGGGAGGCCCCATTAGCTAAAGTGGTGCTTCAGGTTAAGAACAGTTTCAGGTTAAGTACAGACCTCCGGAACGAATTAAGTATTTAACCCGAGGTACTACTGTACAAAATCCTGTTGAAGAAATACTGTGCGACTGGTATGGGTAAGCGTTTCACAATTGGTATTTTATGGATCTGTTTATGACATTTACAGTATATCCCTCTTTTCTTCCAAACAGCTCAAGGTGACGTCCGTATTTCTCCTTCTCCCCATCTTCTCCTGACAACAACCCTGCCAAGCCGGTTAGGCTGAGAGGGAGTGGCTAGCCCAAGATCACCCAGTGTGTCTCATGGCTGAGTGGGAAATTGAGCCCTGCTCTCCCAGGTCCAAGCCCAGCACTCTAACCACTCGGCCACATGGACTCTCCTGGAATTTTGGCATGCTGGCCGTGCGTTCCATGTCACCAAGCAACGGAGGCTGTGACTGTTTGAACTGAGGTTCTGGCATCCTCAGCGTCAAGAGGTTGGCAGAGGTTTGCTGTAGTGACCCTTGCTTATTTGGATTAGAATATGGCATCTCAAAGACTCCTGGGGGTAAGTGAAAGTTGGCATTTCCAGGGGACTTAGCTTTAGGACGTAGAATAATGGTATCATCAAGTTTGGCAAAGAGCTATCAATGGTCAAAGGAAGCTTCTGTTTGTGTTTGTTGGTTTGTTTATTCAAATGTAAGCCTGTGACTAGGGAGTGTCTTGTTTTTGATTTTGTATAAGCCTCTCTGGGAGCCTTTTTGGCTGAGAAGAGGAGTACAAATGCTCTGAATGAATGAGTACTTTCTCCCCGTGGCCATCTCTGACCTTCATCTCTTGTTTCAGGTCACCTTCCTTCCTGCGGAGCAGCTCTTGGAGGCCAAGTGCTTCCTGGCCAGTGACCTTGCTGCTGAGAGCATCTTCGAGCCTTGGACATCTCCTACTTGCTGCAAAGAGTTCAGTGGCAAAGCAGTGGAGGTAGGATGCTGCCAGGGTAGGAGAGAAGAATCTCCACCTTGAAGTAGGGGAGTCCACCCCATGCCATTGGGTGGCCATGACACATGTTTGTTGGGAGGGGCCTCACAATGTCAGAACAAGAACCTCAGCCCAAAGGTCCTGAGACAGCCCCACTTCCTGGTACTATATGAGTGACCCTCTCCTTCATGTCTGACAGGTGGAGGTGCTGCTGGAGGCCTTCCATAAGATCACTCCAAGGTCTACAATGGAGAGCAGAGAAGTGGCCATCTTACCTTAACATCACCTGGATAAAGTGGTTGAATACCTCCTCCAATTTTCTTTCATGTATGAGGCACTCAGGCTTCTACCAGCCTAAAAGAGATGTTGGGAATTTGCAGGGCTTGCTCAGAAAGTAACTCTCTCCCCGAGGGGGGAGGCCAGGCAGCTGGAGAACCCGCTCCCCACAGTGTCAGCAGCCAGTCTCCAAATCTCTTCCTCCCTCTGGATTCCCAGCTGATTTGGTGCCTCATGGCAAGAGACAGAGGATTTGGAGGGCTCCCGCTGTGGTACCATAGCCAGGATTAGGTCCTTTAACAGGAAGAGCAACAGAGCAGAAGCCAAGAAGGCAGGGACAAGTCTCTGTCCTCTAGGCGAGGCAGCAAGGGGTGAGATTGGTGCAGGTTCCCCCTCTCTTTTTGCCATCTGCAGAGATGCAGCAGCACAGAGGGGCTGATCCAGATCACTGAGGGATCCTTCTGGAGTGCAGGAGACCAGGGAAGACCAAGCCATTTCCTCTCTGTGACATGGCAGCAAGCAGTAGAGTTCCTGATGGAGCCGGACCACCTGTGGAGGGGTCAGGTTTAGAGGCAAAGCGTCTTTCTGGCCCCCGCACCACTGCCCAGAGAACCAAATGGTCCCCTCCGTGCAATAATGTGCCATCCCTGAGCCAAGAGAGCTGACTGTTGCTGTGCCTGCAAGAGAATATGGCAGGAGGTTTTGGCTGACCAACAACAACTACTCCATCTGAAGACTGAGCAGCTGCATCAGAGCCCCTTGGCAGAGTCTGCCACCGCTGTGGTAAGGACGAATCCCCTGCTTTCTGGCTTCTTCTCCCCAGAGTAATATCAAGGGGTTTCTGTATTCTGCAGAAAAGCAGGGAAAGTGACTTGCACTTCTCTCTCTTCCAGCAACACCTGACCAGCCTGTTGCACACCATCCGCAGGATGGATGAATACAAGGTACCTATGCGCCATCACTTTCCACAGCTGCTGATAGCTGCCAACTTCCTGCCTGCCCAGGAATTCCTCAACTCAGTAGTGCATTGCAAAGGGACAAATTGAGTCCTTTTTCCTTCAGCCTATGGTGTTTCTTGTCCAGCTTGATTTTCCAAGGGAGACTATCCTTCAGGTGGCTACTAGGGAGCAAGGATGCAGAAGGAATTTGATTCTGTTTGCATGTCAAGGCAGATCTGCATAATTCATAATTTCTGGAAATATCAACTTCTGGGGGGAGCCTTGTAAATGTGGTTTTTCAGTTTGGTTCTTGGTGTTCTGGTATGGGGTACTCACAAAGGAGAAAGTGGCTGGAGCAAGGAGGCCCCTGCTTGGTTTCGACTCTTTTGTTCCCACCAACAGCAGAGAGTCCCCCCATTCTTGGTCCCTATTCTTGATCCCTATGCCACAATCATGCCATCTTTGGCTACATTGAAGAGACTGCAAAGCCAAGCAAGGTCTCTGCCCAATAGAACGTAGCAAAGGCATCTTTATTGATGAGATCTTTGCCAGTGAAGGGGCAATTGTAATCTCCTACAAAAGGCCTTCCAGTAACGTTGTTATGGCTGGCTCCAAGAAGTATCGTTCCCAAGGTTCCACATTTAAAGTCTTTCCTCTGGATGCAGATAGCAGACATCCGCCCTCCCCAATTTAGACGGCAACCTCAATGGGGGTTCCCCAACATGCCCCCTTCAGAATTTGGACCTCACCCCTACTATGTACTCGTTTACCTTAAATATTCTGTGGCTCATGTCAAGGCTACTTAGGTCCATTCACTTCAGTGGGTTTGCTCAGCGCAAAACATAGTTGGATCCAACTCTCCATCTGTAAAACTACAGATGGTGGATAAAACAAGAACCTGTCTAAACCTCCATTGGGAAATGTTTTGTACAAGGAAAGCATCCTATCCCTTCACCAAAGAGTTTCTTTCTCTTTGGGTCTCTTGAGCTGCTTAGCTACCAAATGTGAGTCTATCCCTGCAAGGAAGCACTGGACCACCTGCTCACCTGGCTGCAGCATGATCACCTGCAAGTCTGGAAGCTCAGCCTCAGAGGGATATCCCCGCTTTTGGACTCTGACATGGCAAGTGATGCTCAGAGGGAGAGGGAGGGATTTAGATTCGAATCACAGCCAAGCACTGTTTGCAGGCAGAATGGTGAAGGGTCTGTGCTAAAAGAAAAACTGTTGGACTTTTCAGATCTTTGAAAAGATTCTCTCCTTTTTATAGGACCCTTTGGTTCGGTGGCCGCTTACTGCTAGATTTCCTCCCTTATGCAGAATAATAATAATAATAATAATAATAATAATAATAATACCCCGCCCATCTGGCTGGGCCTCCCCAGGCACTCTGGGTGGCTTCCAACAGGGTATTAAAAACGCAAGAAAACTAAAACATTAAAAACTTCCCTAAATAGGGCTGCCTTCAGATGTCTCCTAAAAGTCAGATAGTTGTTTATTTCCTTGGCATCTGGTGACATACTTGAAAAGCTGATGTCCTCGCAGAGCTGATGCACCCAGTAGAGCTAGCTGACCTCTCCAGGGAGCTGGGGGAGGAATGCCTGAAGATGCTGGCTGAAAGCTCCTGTGGTCTGGCTGCCCATGTGCGTATTATGGAACAACCGCTTTCTGGATTGCACATTACATAATAGACTGCATCTGGTAAGGTCACTTTGCTTTGTTTGCAGCTTTGCACAGAGTTATCCCATTTCATCTTCCCAACAACCCAGTAGAGGTTAGTTATGATCCTCTACTGAACATCATAGCCATAGCACAAAACTGCATGGGAAGTTACAATATATGAAGTACAAAATACATAATAAAAATAATCAGTGCACAAAATTCATAATAACAATAAAAATAAAACAATTAACAAGAGTAATATATACACACTGATAAACCATAAAAAAGCTGTTATGGGAATAAAATTAGGAATAAAATAAGCTGAAGGCTTTTGCCGACAACCTAGTTTTAACATTACAAGAACCCCAAATGAGAGGGATAGTAGCGCTGCAAATAATTGAAGAATTTGGATTTCTAGCAGGATTTAAAATAAATAAAGCTAAAACAAAAATGATGGTTAAAAATATGAACGAGGAATTAATAGACCAACTACAGAAGGAAATGGAAATCAAGGTGGTAAAGAAAGTTAAATATTTAGGTATATGGTTATCTCCAAAGAATATAAATCTATTTAAAGACAATTATGTAATAATTGAAGTGCAAGCTGGATTTCAAAGGGGCAGAGGAACCAGAGACCAAATTGCAAACATGCGCTGGATTATGGAGAAAGCTAGAGAGTTCCAGAAAGACATCTATTTGTGCTTCATTGACTATGCAAAAGCCTTTGACTGTGTCGACCACAGAAAACTATGGCAAGTTCTTAAAGAAATGGGAGTGCCTGATCACCTTATCTGTCTCCTGAGAAATATCTATGTGGGACAAGAAGCTACAGTTAGAATGATATGGAACAACTGATTGGTTCAAAATTGGGAAAGGAGTATGGCAAGGCTGCATATTGTCTCCCTGCTTATTTAACTTATATGCAGAATTCATCATGCGAAAGGCTGGGCTGGATTAATCCCAAACCGGAATTAAGATCGCCGGAAGAAATATCAACAACCTCAGATATGCAGATGACACAACCTTGATGGCAGAAAGTGAGGAGGAATTAAAGAACGTTTTAAAGAGGGTGAAAGAGGAGAGCGCAAAATATGGTCTGAAGCTCAACATCAAAAAAACGAAGATCATGGCCACTGGTCCCATCACCTCCTGGCAAATAGAAGGGGAAGAAATGGAGGCAGTGAGAGATTTTGCTTTCTTGGGCTCCATGATCACTGCAGATGGTGACAGCAGTTACGAAATTAAAAGACGCCTGCTCCTTGGGAAAAAGGTGATGGCAAACCTAGACAGCATCTTAAAAAGCAGAGACATCACCTTACCAACAAAGGTCCATATAGTTAAAGCCATGGTTTTCCCAGTAGTGATGTATGGAAGTGAGAGCTGGGCCATAAAGAAGGCTGATTGCCGAAGAATTAATGCTTTTGAATTATGGTGCTGGAGGAGACTCTTGAGAGTCCCATGGACTGCAAGAAGAGCAAACGTATCCATTCTTAAGGAAATCAGCCCTGAGTGCTCACTGGAAGGACAGATCGTGAAGCTGAGGCTCCAATACTTTGGCCACCTCATGAGAAGAGAAGACTCCCTGGAAAAGACCCTGATGTTGGGAAAGATTGAGGGCACAAGAAGAAGGGGACGACAGAGGACGAGATGGTTGGACAGTGTTCTCGAAGCAACAAACATGAGTCTGACCAAACTGCGGGAGGCAGTGGAAGACAGGAGTGCCTGGCGTGCTCTGGTCCATGGGGTCACGAAGAGTCGGACACGACTAAACAACAACAATGTAATAATATGGAAAGAAATTAAAAGAAATTTAGACATATGGACATATTAGACATATGGAGTAGACTGAATGTGTCATTCTGGGGAAGAATAGCCGTGGTTAAAATGAAGGTGCTCCCCAAACTATTATACTTATTTCAAACCATCCCAGTAATTACAGGATTAGGACAGTTTAAGGAATGGCAGAAAACAATCTCAAGATTTGTGTGGCAAGGGAAGAAGCCTATTTAAGTTGTTAACTGATAGAAAAGAAAGAGGTGGATTCTCCCTACCTAACCTTAAACTCTGTTATGAAGCTGCCTGTATAACATGGTTGAGGGAATGGATGATACTTGATAACACTGATGTTCTAGACCTGGAAGGATTTGCAAACAGGTTTGGGTGGCACGCGTACCTATGGTATGGAAAGGTCAAAGTACACCAGGATTTCTTAAATCATGTTATAAAAAGACCATTATATGAAGAATGGATGAGATATAAAGACTTGTTTGAAAGGAAAACACCGTGGTGGTTGTCACCCCAGGAAGCCTTTTCAGTTAAAAAATTAAATATGAAAGATTTGTTGAAAGAACCTATAGAGATTTGTTGAAAGAAGACAATAATATAATCAAAATCAGACCTGATGAAGATCTAAAACCTAGATTGTCAGGATGGATGGAATATCACCAAATTAATGATATATTCCTTAAAGATAAAATAATTATGGATTTAATCCTGATATATCAATACTGGAGACTGGGGTATTACAAGGTCGTACAAAGATGTTGTCTACTCTAAAGTATATGAATTTTTGTTGGAATGGCATACAAAAGATGAAAAAATTAAGGAGGCCATGACTAAGTGGGCAATGGACCTAGGATATAATATCGAGTATGAGAAATGGATGACTATGGAATTTAGGAATAAAATTTACCGCATCCATGACGTTAAAAGAGGATTTGTTTAAAATGATGTATAGATGGTATTTAACACCCACCAAACTAGCAAAGATGTATAAAATGAAAAATAAGAACTGTTGGAAATCCACTGTAAAAGAGGGAAATTTTCTCCACATGTGGTAGTTGTGTGACAAGGTGAAGACTTTTTAGGATAGTGTGTATAATGAGTTAAAAAAGATATTTAGGTACACCTTTTATAAAAAAACCAGAGGCATTTTTGCTAGGAATGGTTGGAGAGGACATTAAAAGGGAAGATTATAAAATCTTCCTGTATGCCACAACAGCAGGAAGACTACTCCTCGCACAGAGATGGAAACAACAGGATATTCCGACAATTGAAGAATGGCAACCGAAAGTATTGGAGTATGCGGAAATAGCAAGGCTAACTGGAAGAATCCGACAGCAGGACGATGAGAAATTCCAAAAAGAATGGTCCAAATTTATGGTATACTTAGAGAAAACTGTACATAAATAAAGACACTCACAGGACTGAAATAAAACTCATAACGTTTATTGTAAACATTTGGTTAGACCACAAGATGTAATGCTTTAATATAATAAGGAATGTATGTCTAAAGTATAATACAAAAATTTATTAAGGAATTATAGACATTTATAGAATGTATATATAGTAATCACGCTTAAGTAAGAGCAATGTAGAGAAGCCAGAAGAGGGGTGGAGGGAAGTTAATTCGGATAAGATATAGATTTAAAGGAGAATAATATTGTTAAGCTGTATTGTGTTTAAGATATTTGGGGAAAAATAATAAAAATTATTGGGTGTGGGGAAAAGCCTCCTTCTTTTTTATAATTTATTCACTGTTATGTACTGAAGTTCTCACCCTGGGCCAGCAGGGGGATACTGTAGATAGTTATGCAAATGAAGGATCGAAAGTGACATTCAGTGATTGGATCGTTTGTATGCAAATGAAGGATCGAAAGTGACGTTCAGTGATTGGATAGTTTTAGAAAATGGCAACAGTTACATTGTTCTGGAGCTCTATATAAGCAGGCTGACTGAGCTCCTCAGTCAGTTCTGTTCCAGCTTACAAATAAAGAGCTGCTTTGGAAGAATCGCTGTGTCATCTGATATGTTCGCCCACAACTTAACATTCACCATCAGCGGTGATAATTTCTGGAGCAACAAGAGGGTCTAACGTTACTGATATTCAGTACCCTTCTAACAGAACCTCCTTTCTGTCTTTCCTGCATGAAACGATGAATCCACGCTGGAAAATGGCAGCCTATCGACTGGAGCCTGGGAGGAGGCCTCTGGAAACAAGAAGACCCACACAAGAATGTCATCTGCCTGGGAAGGAGGCTCAGCAGAGACGCCGTCTGCAACCCCGATCCACACCCTTATGGTGACTTGGGGGATTAGACACTTTTTACTGAGTATTTACTACAGCAAGGTTAAAACGCAAGAAGGACTTGAAGTATGAGCAACAGCTTCCTCAACCGTGTTCTACAGAAGAACATATATAGTGTTTGGGCAAGACTGAAAAATGTCCTGGGGAAAAAGTCACCATGGTGGGTGTCCCCCCGTTGAAGCAGGGCCAGTCAATAAATTAAATGTGAACAAGAACTGGGGCACATACAACAAACTCCTTGATCTTAGAGAGGGTGCTATCAGGCTTAAAAGAGAGAGGAGGTTGAAATGAATGTATTGAATAGTATAGGAGAAATAAGCCACATTCAAGGGTAAATAACTATCAATTTATGTAAGAATGTATGAGAGTATATTATATTGCATTTTTAAATATCATTTTCTTTTTTATATGCATCGTTGTTCTCCCCCCTCACACACACCCTTTTCCTTTGTATCAATTTATTTCTTTATAATTGGAATTCTTTATATAGATATAGATATAGATATAGATATAGATATAGATATAGATGGGTAAATATGGAAACCATGTAAGGGCAGGATGGGAAGAAAATACATAAAGTACCAGTAATTTACAGTTTATGTTAACATTTGTAAAGTTTTTTTGTGAAAAATCAATAAATAAGCTTTTAAAAATAATAAAGAAAAATAGATGCTTGGTTAAAAACTCTTCATTGAGACTCCTCTCCAGCACATTGTCTCTGACCTAGTCCTGGGATCCCCACCTTCTTCTTCTTTGTAGCTGAGTAAGATTGTCTTCCATGAATACGGTCTTAACAGTGAGTCCATAAGTGACTGTGGAGGCCAATTCTGGATCCACACGTGGGGACATTGGTTTCCAGGAGGGAGTTGACCATGGTGTGGATTTGCCAAGTGTGCCTTCCTCTTAGCATGTTTCTCCCTTGCGTCCTGAGTTTGAGTGTCTTCAAAGCCCATGACACCTTTGGTATAGACTGTTCTCCAATTAGAGCACTCACAGGCACATGTTTCCCAATTGTTGGTGTTTATACTACATTTTTTAAGATTTGCCTTGAGACAGTCTTTAAACCTCATTGTTGAGCACCAGCATTACACTTTCCATTTTTAAGTTCAGAATAGAGTAGTTGCTTTGGAAGATGATAATCAGGCATCCACACAACATGACCAGTCCAACGAAGAACCACTGCTTCGGCACTGGTGATCTTTGCTTCATCCGGTACACTGCCATTCATTCGCCTGTCTTCCCAAGTTATGTTTAAAAAATTTTGGAGACACCGTTGATGGAATCTTTTGAGCAGTTGGAGATGGCATTTATATGTGGTCCACATTTCACAAGCATACACAAGAGCTTTTTAACAAGCATTTTTATTTCTCTGCGAATGTCCCAGTCCTCAAACACTGCACTTCAGTTAGAAGAAAGCTGCAGTCACAGAGCTCAGGCGATGCTGGATTTCATCACCAGTCTGCCCTTGTGAAAATTTAACTGCCCAGGTAGGAGAAGTGATAGACACTTTCCAACGTTACACCATTGATTTGGATTTATTGTGCTGCAGAGGGGTGGTTTTGTCCTTGTTGGTGCAGCACTTTGGTTTTTTGGATGTTGAGTGACTGGCCAAGCTTTTCATAATCTTCTGCAAAGATATTTAGGATGGTTTGGAGGTCATCCTCTGAGCATGCACACATTACGTTGTCATAAGCATACTGAAGCTCCTCTGTGACAGAAGTTAAGGTAACCTTACACTTTGTTTTCAGCCTACTCAAAGAGCTTTCCATCTACTCCGGTGGGGAGTTTCCCTTCAACAAAGTGTAAGATCATGGCAATGAAAATAATTAATAGAGTTGGGGCAATAACAGAACCCTGATTAACAGCTGATCCCACTGTGAATGGTTCACCTTGAGAGCCATTGTTATCTGCAATTATTGCTGTCATATTATCATGGAAGAGCCGAATGATGTTCGCCAATTTATCTGGGCAGCCAATTTTCAGAGGGACAGCCTATAGGGCATTACGATTTACAGTGTCAAAGGCCTTAGGTCAATAAACACCATATACAGAGGTTGGCTTTGCTCTCTGCATTTTTCTTGAAGCTGTCAAGCAGTGAAAATTTTAGACCCCTAGAAGGTCTAAAATAATTTTGGGATTCAGGAAGGGTAGCTTCGGATATTGTTAAGAGATGGTTTGCTAAGATCCTTGCAAGAATTTTGCCGGCTGCAGCTAATAAGGAGATGCCTCGATAGTTCCCACAATCCGTTCTCTCACCTTTTTAAAAGAGATTGATAATTTTGGCATCCCTAAAGTCTGCTGGGATGTCTCTCTCCCATGAGCTTGTGAAGTTGTGTAAGTTCAATTCCGTCCACTTTGAATACTTCGGCAAGTATTCCTTCAGGTCCGCTGGCTTTGTTGTTTTTCATTTGGTTAATAGCTGTACACAGCTCTCCCAGATTTGGAGATACTGCAAGCTCATCTCTAATTTGTTTTTGCAGAATTTGTGAGAGGACATCAGCAGCTATGGGGGAGTTACGGCTTAGGAGATGCTGGTAATGTTCTTTCCAGTGCTGTCCAATAGCTTCTTTATCTTTTAGAAGTGTGGTACCGTCTGTTGAGCATAGAGAGCATATTCCATGATTTACTGACCCATAGATGGTCTTTGTGGCTTTAAAGAAACTCTATGCATCATGAGAGTCGGCTAAGTGCTGGATTTCTTGAGCTTTTTTAATCCACCAGGTGTTCTTTAGTTCTCAGGTTCTTCTTTGAACCTCAGCCTTAGCATAGTTTTTTTTTCTTAGTGGCACAGTTTCTATCTCTTTGCCAGCTCTGCAAGGCCTTCCTTTTCTTGTCAATCATGCATTCAATCTCACTGTCATTTCATCAAACCAGTACTGGTGTTTATTGGTTTGGTATCCAATAGTTTGTTCACAGGCTGCAGTAATGGATGTTTTTAGATTGGTTCAGTGTTCGTCAATGTTATCAGAGAACTCCAAAAGCAGATGGTCCTTATGAATCATTTGGAAGCAATCCCGATTAATAGGCTCTTGAAGGGATTGAGTGTTCATTTTGCACCTTGGTTCCCTTGAAGCCTGTGTTGAGGTACAAGCTTGATAGCCATTGTGGAGCATATTAATCGGTGATCTGTCCAGCATTCGTTGGCACTCGTCATAGCTCTGGTAAGGAGCACATCACGGCAATCTTATGCTTGGACAACTACATAGTCTAAGTCAAAGGTACCAGTGGTTTTAAATTTATTTTTTTGATGAAAGAGTGTGTTGTTAATAACAAAGTTGTGTGCTGCACATATAATAAAAAGTAAGATTCTGTTCTGGTTGCTGTTGCCAATTCCTTCTTTCCCAATAGTCCCAGGCCACAGATCAAAATCTCGCCCAGATAGGATGGTATCCAGCTGAGAGTAAAATTTTTCTTTAATGTTTTCATCAGCATCCAGTGTTGGTGTGTAAGTGCTTAGACTAGTAGCCTGTTGGTTTTTTAGCGAGTTTTATTCGAAGTGTTGAAAGTCGCTCATTAATGCGACTTCTGACAAGAGCTTCACAAGATTGTTTTTTCATAGCAAAGCCTACTCCATGTATTCGACATTCTTGTTCAGGTAGACCTTTCCAGAAGAAAGTGTAGCCTCCTTTTTCTTCCTTCAGTTGTCCCTTACCTGCTCTTCGAGTTCCTTGAAGCGCTGCAATATCAATATTAAAATGTCGCAGCTCTCTTGCAATGATGGCAGTTCTTCATTCGGGACACTCATTATCTGTGTTATCTGTATATTCTATCTTTCAAAGTTCAATTGTCATTTATGACCTCCGGGTGGTGACAGCACTGGGCACAGTAATCCTTGTCAGGGAAAAAGAGAGGCAGACTATATTTTGTGTATAAATAGGGGAGGTCTGTGAGAATGGTTTCAAGAACTAGAGTATTTACCATTTCAAAAGAGTGCCTCAAGACCGGCCAGGATAAGGCAATCAGCAAGCATTATCAGGTATCTTGAGAGAAAAGAGACAAGTCACACACTCCTTGTATGATGCCTTTGGGTGGCCTTTGGCTAAGGGGTTGGGCAATTTATAAAGCCGTTAAAAGCTGTTACACATCTTTCTCTGGGTCTTCACCTGCATATAAGGAGTGGGTGTGTTGATGGGATGGGACGCTGTTGTAACAGAAAAATAAAAATCTTGCTTTTCTTCTACTGGTTCCTGCCTCCACTCATTTCTCTCTGACCAATAATGGATGACATTGAACCCCTTGTTAAGGAATTGCACACTAAAAGCCAACTGCCAACCCCAATTTCTCTCTCATTCTCATATATATATATATATATATATATATATATATATATATATATCACTTGATTAAACAACTCAGTGATAGCTGCAATCACATATTCTCCTGAGAGGTAAGATACATATTTGATCAGAAATAAGTCCCACTGCTTACTCCCAGGGAAGTGTGTATAGGTGTTTCAGAAGGCACCATGTCTGGAAAGGCATCACCTCCCAAGCAATAGAGAGAAGCAGCAAGGCCTCTTCCTTTTTAAAAATAAAATTTTAAATTAAAAGTTTTCAGCATAAAATACCAGAAAATCAAACTAATCTAAATGAAGGAAAACAATAAGAAAGAGAAGAAGTAAGAAAGAGAAAAGAAGAGAAAAGAAGAGAAAAGAAGATAAAAGAAAAGAAAAGAAAAGAAAAGAAAAGAAAAGGGGAAACCCATAAAACAGAACATAATTTGTTGATATATCTTATATTGTTGATATACAATGTATCAACAATATATCTTAACCTTTATTCCAAGGAGGGTGGACCCTCCCAGCTCTCATGTGGCAGTTTTGCCTTCTTCTCTCAAGAAGAAGGCCTAAATTATAGTTTTGCCCCGTCCTCCTCCCTGCAATGGCAACACTGAACCTGAGGAGGAAACAGGCAGCCAGTGTTACCTCCTGGGCTGGTTTTAAGCAAGAAGGCAGGCAGGTGGCTGGGGGAAGACTGGGGTTAGTAGAACAGTTAGCCCAAAAGAACCTCTGTTGATCATAGGTCTGCACCTAGCTGGACCGCCCTGCCTCATCTATTCCCCACCCTTGGGGAAAACAGACACCACCATCAAACAGCACAGAACGCATGGAGCCATGGAATGAGAGAACCCACTGATGTCACACAACCTGCAGCAACCATTCTGCCGGAGGGGAAGCATGGGGCGAGTCAACATTGCCCAGCTGTGGAAAATGGAGTTCCAGCAGAAACACATCAAGTTCATGGCCCAGATGTACCTGGACACCAGCCAGAAAAGGAACACCAAATCTCAGTTGCTTTTAAAGAGGCACCATCATTTGTACCGGTAATGCAGGCAGAGAAGGCCTCAGACACTTGCCACTATCCCCTACTGCATGCCCTGCAAGGCCAGATTCTCACCTAACCCCATTAAGTTAAAATGGGATGGATGAGTCTTGCTGGAACAGAACCAACAGTCCATCTAGTCCTGGAATGGGGAACCTCAGGGCTAAGGGGCCACACACAGCCCCTGAGGCCTCTTTCTATGGCCCCCAAGACTCCCCACATGCCACAAATACCCTCCCCATACCCTCCCTCAATAGCCCTGCATCGCACCCACCTGCAGGGATTTTGCCTGGGTGGAATGTGTCCTTGAACTCTGATCATGCCTCTTGCCTGCCTGAATGGAGGATAGAGGGGGGGGGGGTTGTGCAGAAACTAGCCTCTTTTGCCTCTGCCCCATCCTGCAGCACAGTGGCCAACTGGATGCCTGAGGGCAAATAATATTGATGCATTCTTTCTATTTCAATTTGTTTTTACTGTGCTGCAATTCTTTTTTAAAAATGTTGTCAATAGCCCGGAGTGCTTCCCACAAGAATCTGGTTGGCCTCTGTGAGAACAAAGTGATGGATTAGATGGGCCTTTGGTCTGATCCATCTGGGCTTGTCTTATGTGCTTACATAAGGAGTGTCAGGAGTATAGGGAATAAATTTCAGTATAGCTAAATAAAATGGTGGGATCCAGCAAATGCCTGATTTCGCCCACTACTGGCACCAGTAGTGGCATTTACTTTTTCCTTCCATTTCCAGCTGCTGGGACAGCCTCTCCTCATTTGTTGCTTGTGTTTTGTTCTCAGGGGTCGCCTGAGCAGGGAATCTAGCTCAACACCATTCCTCCCAGAAATTCAGTTCGGAAAGCAGAGCAGTAAGTAGGAAGGAGGTCTGAGAGACAGAAAAGAGCAATCCAAGGCTTTCTCCCCATTGGTTTGTGGGTGCCCAATAGGGAAACCAATAGTGCAATTTCAATGTAATTCTGTAAGGTAGAATTGGCAACTAGAAGCCTTCGTCTGCCCCAGTAGCAAGAAGACCTGTCTTTCCCGTATTGGTCTCTACAGCCGCAGCAGGCACTGTAACCTTCCAACAGTTCCACTTCATCCCTAAAGGCACACTTCTCCAGTCTCCTGAGACAGACAAATGTCAACAATCTGAACTAACAAAATCCACATTTTAGCTCACAACAACCTTGCAAGGTAGATTAGACTGAGAGACAGTAACTCACCAAAGATGAACCATTGCATTTCATGTCTGAGAAGATTTCTGAATGCAAGTCTATTAATTGCAAGTCTAGCCATTGTGCCCAGAGGCAGAACTAGGTGCCCCGGCACCCGAAGTGGCATGCACCCAGGGGGCGGGACACATGTCCCAGGGGATTTGCTGGGTGCCGCAAGGCTCCGGGGGGGGGCCGCCGGCCACCTCAAGCGTCCTGGGAGGGCGCCGCCCACGGCGAGGGTCGGGTAGGCGATGTCACCCGGGGCAGGCCACACCCTCCTTGCTCAGCCTCTGATTGTGCCACACTCTCTCTCAATTTCAGGGCCTCTCTGTCTTCCTTATTTTAGACACTTGCAATACCTATTGCCTTGATGGGTAGACAAATCTGCAAAGCCCTGCAGCAGGACTGACAGAAGCAAGTACTGTATTTCTTGCATGGCATGGTCAGCTTAAAAGTAACCAGTAAAACCAGCAACAGATAACATGGTAGGGCAAACATCACATATTTCTCTTAGGATCAAAAATACAGGGTCACCATTAAAAAGGCCCTGTTTATAGAGCTGAGGGACCTTGATGGTAGGTAAAGCAAGCAGAGCCTCAGAAGCTGGCCTTATGGAGTACAAATATGTAACACATGCATCGTAGTCCAGAGCTGGGGAAACTCCAGATGTGGTTGTTCTCCCACTCCCAACAGTCCCAGTAAACATGGCCAAGGCTCATGGATTACTGAAGTTGTAGTCCAACAACATATGCAGGACCACAGATTTTGCATTATTGTGTTAAAAGCATAGGGGCAGGAGGACAGGCTCTTGGGGCAGGGGCAGCCAGGAAGCCTCCTTGCAGGGCATTCAGATCCCAACCTGCATCAGCTGAATGATCTTCTCTTTGCTCCAGGTGGTCGCATATCCCCAGAAGGCCGCTTGTCAATGGCAGTGAACACGGACAGCCCTGGGCCAGCAGCTTACTCGGCCTGCAGTGTGAACTTCCGGCAAACCAGTGCTCCATCCTACACCTTTGGGTTGAAATCACCTTCTAAAGGTGCGAGTGAAGGGAAGGGATTAAGAGAGCATTCTTTCAGTTTCCACCTATTCATGAATCAATATAGTCTGTGTTTAGGCCACTAGACCAGAGGTTTTCAACATTTTTGAGAGGCCATCTTGGATCTATCCTCCGAGAAGAAAAGCACAAGCCTTTGTTTCCTCTTGGCTAGTTAGTTAGTTTAGGATTAGAAACTCTTCTGTCTGAGTTACGTCCTTTCTACCACAAACAACTTCATTGTTTTTATCTACCAATATTGCTTGGTGTGTTGTTACAGATGAGGCTATTCATTTACAGCGTTGCATGAATTTGCAGAGCTTCCTAAGAAAAATGGCTTATTGGATGCAATTTCTCCAATGCAGAGGGTAGGGGAAATCCTAGGGCTAGCATGCTTGCAGCTGAGACTTTGAGAAGGGAGGTAATTTTCTCGCTCTGGGTAGAGCCAATAGAAACTATCATATTGTTGTGCCTACATTTCCCAACCTTCCTTGAGGTCTAAAAAAGGGGGAAAGGCACTACAGTGGTACCTCGGGTTACATATGCTTCAGGTTACATACGCTTACATACGCTTCAGGTTACATACACTCCACTAACCCAGAAATAGTACCTCGGGTTAAGAACTTTGCTTCAGGATGAGAACAGAAATCGTGCTCCGGCAGCACAGCGGCAGCAGGAGGCCCTATTAGCTAAAGTGGTGCTTCAGGTTGTAGCAGGAACCCCCCCACCCCAATCATTCAGTTTGTACAAACTTCACACACTCACACTCACACACCACATATGCCACACTTCTGTTATAAATTCATAGAAAAATCAACCATACATTGGATTTGCACTGTTCCATTTTTATTTTACTCCATATGACAAGGACTATCAAAGGGGGGTGGCTTGGTTCTGGTCAGCCATAATCCCTTCACCATCCCAGCACATCCACCGGAGCCCTGCCCAGTTGCTATGCCAACCCTGATGGTCCCAGACAGAAGACCATCAAGATCACAAAGAACTTGCATATGGGAGTGGATTCAGCATGGACTGAAACAAAGGACAATGATCAGATCTTCCCTCTGGGGGCAGGAAACTGCCAACTCCCTTTGTCTCCTGGAAGTGACTCATGGGCCGGGGAAAGGAGGAACCAGCCAGGTGACAGGACACTCAGGTTACCACCACAACCCCTCCTTTCTGTAATGTATGCATGATGTCAACCCCTCCTTTCTGTAATGTATGCATGATGTCAACCCCTCCTTTCTGTAATGTATGCATGATGTTTCTGGGGGTGGGCTTGACCTAGAGGAGGGGAATTTCAAAAGTTTTTATAAGGTCTTGCACACCATCTTTCTGGGTCTTTCCTCTCTCCTGCAAGTGAGGGGAACACCCTGTTGCAACAGTCTTTTCTTCAATAAAGACCAAGCCTACTGGCTGCTGATTTGCTTCCAATTGCTCTGGTTGGTGTCTTTGTTTTTGTCCAAGGGAGCCCTCAGATTTTCCGTTAACAAGGTTAAGAACAGTTTCAGGTTAAGAACGGACCTCCGGAACAAATTAAGTACATAACCTGAGGTACCACTGTATCTTTTCTTAAAGGAGCAGCATTGTTATTCCTTCTACCTAATATAAGTGCTTTTTTTCTAAAAAAAATGTTCAGAGGTACTCTCATTTTCCTACTCATGTCGAAATACTGCCCCTCAATGAGGCCAAACTTATATTCACAAAATGCTTAGGGGTATGCGTCCCCCTAGGAAAAAAGCACTGCCTAAATAACTGACCCTTGTGGGGGCAGAACATGTGTGATTACAACTGGTAAGGCCTACTTTCTGGATACTGTATATTCACAAGTCACACTTTCCCCCAAGAAGTGGGGAACATGAGGGCCACATTTTCTAGTAGGCAACCTCCTGGGGGCCACAATGGCAAAGGATGTGACATAGACTTACTGTAACAAAAAACAAATGAATAGCTTATTCTACCAGCATGCGGCAATGGAACAGCCTGTTCAGCCCTGCTTTCTGTCACCTCACCCTGTTACATGAGTAGATTGAGGGTCATCCCACCTATGAGGCAAGATGAGGCAATCGCTTCAGGCGGCAGGATCCACAGGGGCAGCAGATGTGGCCACCAAGAAATGCATCATCCAACCCCACTTCTGCTGCCACTGCTGTCACTGACTGTGGCATGCTTCATAGAGGCCAGATTTGCTGTCTCCTCAGCAGCCCCACCCTCAAAGCTGCCTCTACAACAGCCTCTTGGTAAACAGATGGCACTGCTCTCCTCCCCCCCCTTCTGTAGATCTTTAGAATTGTAGAGTTATAGGGTTACAAGGGTCCCCCAGGGGTCATCTAGTCCAACCCGTTGCAACTCAGGAATATCAGCTAGATCATACAGTGGTACCTCGGGTTACATACGCTTCAGGTTACAGACTCTGCTAACCCAAAAATAGTACCTCAGGTTAAGAACTTTGCTTCAGGATGAGAACAGAAATCGTGGTCAGGCAGGGGTAGGCCCCATTAGCTAAAGTGGTGCCTCAGGTTAAGAACAGTTTCAGGTTAAGAACGGACCTCCAGAACGCGGTACTTAACCCGAGGTACCACTGTACATGCTCCTGATGTAAGTCTTCACTCACCCCTTCATCCCAGGTTGGGGAGGGGATGCCATTTTGTGGTTTGCCTCAGCTGCCAAAGTGTCTTGGGCCGGCTCTATGTAGGCTGGGTCCCAAGTCTCTTGGGATGACAGTTGGGGGCCTGGTTCAAAGTTCAAGGCTCTGTGACAACACTGATGCTGCCTCAACCTTGTCTGTTCTGTTTCTCCAGAGGGCGGAGGGCGGCGTTCTTGGCAGAAGTCTTGGTTTTTGAGCAATAACCCGTTCATTAAGAAAGTGGATTTTAGCAACGAGACCAATGTAAGTGTCACGCATGGGGGTGTCCCTTTTGTGCTATGCCCCACCCAATTCATATAGTTCAGTGACATGCTTCATTCATTAATTCAATGGAATATTTACAATCCTCCCTTTCAAAAAGTGCATCAAAGCAGTTTACAACATGCAAAACATAAATAAAATAACGGTATAAATAAATAACTCCATAAATATTCATAAAGCGTAATATAAAGAATCAAAAGATGCAGGTCCCAGGGTCAGTCTCCATGTTGCAAAGATCAGGTAGCAAGACGTATACTGTATAAATGCTAGTGGTGGCCTTGTTGTATTTGGAAGCAGCCAGAAATTGAAGGCCCCATCTGCACTATGCATTTGAAGCACCTCATACAAGTAGGGTCTGAACATAAGAGTGCACTCTCTTACTGCAATTTCCAGCAGCTAGTTTTCATACCCTCCAACATTTCTCCAAGGAAAATAGAGACATCCTAATTAATAGTATAATAGTAATACCCTATGCATCTGACTGGGTTGCCCCAGCCATTCTGGGCAGCCTCCAACATATATAAAAACATAATGTAACATTCAACATTAAATAACTTCCCTATACAGGGCTGATTTCAGATGTCTTGTAAATATTGTAAAGTTACATATCACCTTGGCTCAGGGTGTCACATAACTCAGTTACATGACTGCCTCTAACCGTGGAAGGCAGGGCAGAGCCGTCATGGTTAGTAGCAATTGATAACCTTATCCTCTTTGAATTTGTCCATAGAATTCTTTTAAGCATCATTTCAAGCCACCAGGGCCAATCCCTGGGGATAATGGGAGCATCTGTGGACCAAAAGTTGGGCAAGGCTGCTTTAGAACCACAGATTTGGAGTCCTATTAGCACCATACATTTAAAGCATGTCTTCCCCAAAGGAATCCTGGGAACTGTAGTTCCTTAAGGATGCTGAGAGTTGTTAGGAGGCCCCCTACTCCCTGTCACAGAGTTACCACTCCCACAGTTCCCTGGGAAGGAGGATTGATGGTTAAAGCATTCTGGGAAATGTAGCTCTGTTGAGTCTCACTGGTCATATAGCCTTTATGCCCCTCCACCATGTGGGTCCCCCTCCCCAGGAAGGATCATGCAGCTCAGCTGTCCCTCTGTTATTTGCAGTGGCCCTCTCCTTTCCACTACGGCCAGCCCCTGGATGTCAAGCCAGCCAACCTGCCAAACAGCCCCCATTTCACCATGGGACAGAAGGGAGAGTTCACTCTTGTCAGCAAAAGTAAGAACATAATGGGTACCTTAGTTTATCAAGAGGTATTTATTTCATAGAATTGTAGCATTGAAAGAGATCCAGGGGGTCATCTAGCCCAAATCCTTGCAATGTAATTTTTTATATTTTTTTTTACAAATATGGGTCACAAAACTATGACCCTGAGATTATGGGTCTCATGTTCTACCAATGGAGCTATTATCCTTATCTGGGTCAAGGTGTGCCCCAGGACTCTATTCTCGCCCTTTATTGCCAGTCAGGAAGCTGAGCACTTGCTGAGTGCAAATTCCAGATTTTTACCAGAAATTTGCCTTCGGTAGGGTTCCTCCCTTTTTAGTGAGACATTGCCAGTAGCTAACACCTCCACTCAAAGATTTGTTATGAGGCCAAGTTATTTGGGACCTGTTACTTGCACATTGCCTTCTCTATATAAACCGATTTGACCGCTTCAATTTGCAGATCTGACACTGTTACAGCTGCCACATATTTGTTCTGCACTTGCAAGAAAATAATTCTTTTGTTGTTATGGGACCCACTTTGGAACTCCTTGCCTATTGACACCAGGCAGGCACCTATGTCGTACTCTTTCTACCACCTGCTCAAAACATTATTGTTTAGGCCAGCCTGACCAGAGACATGGATGCTGACAAGATCTAATCTCTTACTGTTAATTTTAACTACAGTATTTTAAATTACGTACATGGTTTTAACTGTTTATTCCTCAATATTTTAAAACTGTTTTTGTAAGCTATTTAGCGGTTTTCCTACGTTCAAACAATACCATTTTGTGTGGGGGCTGCATTCCTGACCATGCATGAAGGCATGTAAACCTGCTCCACCCATTATGCCCCTACCCCTTTCTGTCCCCTTTTCCAGCCACTTCCAGGCTGCAGGTATGCACGTGTGTAGGGTCAAACTTTATTTGAATGTGTGCAACGGGGGGGGGGGGGTTGCCTGTATATAATTTTTGTTTCATAAATACATATGGTATCTACACTGCCCATTTAACTTGCCCTCTTCACTTGGGTCCACTCAACACTACAAGGGGGTGGGCAAGAGCAGCATAAGTTGCTCCTGGCAGTAACAGTAAGGGGAGCTATGCTAAGCATATCCAAGAGGGTCTCTGTCGGGTTGCAGCTCTTCAAGTCAGTGCCTGGCAATGCCAACTTCTCCCCTCCCTCTCCATTAGTATCTGGCACCACAGATTGGACCGGCTTCTCTCTCACCCCTTTTCTCTTTCCTAGATAATATGATGGATCCAGCACCCAATAAGTACAACACAGAAAGTGCATACAAACATGTGATGTTTAGATCACCCTCTATCATCATCAGCCCTGCACGAAACACTATGCACAAGTGGGCCAGGAAAGGTGAGGAATGGTAACAGGTTCCCTCCCACCACTCTTTTAACTACCGTATTTTTCGTTCTGTAAGATGCACCAGACCATAAGATGCACCTAGTTTTTGGAGGATGAAAACAAGAAAAAATATTCCGAATCCCAGAAGCCAGAACAGCAAGAGGGATCACTGCACAGAGATCCCTCTCACTCTTCTGGCTTCTGGGATAGCCACACAGCCTCTTCAGGGCAGTGGGATGACGGCTCCCCCTGCCCTGAAGAGGCTGCACGTGGCTAAGCCAGAAGCTAGAACAGCGAGAGGGAGCGCTGCGCACCTACACTTGTACCTTGGAAGTCAAACAGCCTAGCTCTCGAACGTTTTGGCTCCTGAACAATGTTCCAGTTTTCGAACGTTCTTTTGGAAGCCAAACATCCAGCGGGGCTTCCGCCGCTTCCAATTGGCTGCAGAAGCTTCCTGCAGTCAATCAGAAGTTGCGTTTTGGTTTTCGAGCATTTTGGAAGTTGAACAGACTTCCGGAACAGATTCCGGTTGACTTCCAAGGTATGACTGTATATAAAGGGGCAAAGATTGAATATTAATAAGAGTTAGCAGTACCCCTGACCATTGCTGCCATTATAACATTATGATGACACTCAGCTCTATCTGCTGATGGATGGCCACACCAACTCGGCCCCTGACACACTGACCAGATGTTTGGAGGCTATGGTGGGTGGTTTCATGGGAGCCGATTGAAACTAAATCCTTCAAAGACAGAGGTCCTCTGGCTGGGTCGGGACGGCATGAGGATGAGGGACCAACTCCCTTCTCTTGCGGGAGCCCAATTAGTGCCAGTGCCTTCCGTTAAGAATTTGGGTGTTATCCTTGATGCCTCCCTTTCCATGGAGGCACAGGTTACAGCAACAGCTAAGGCGACATTTTTCCATCTTAGAAGCATTAAGCAGTTGGTCCCTTACCTTTCCCGCCCCAATCTGGCCACAGTGATCCATATGACAGTCACCTCCAGGCTTTACTGTAATTCGCTCTACATGGGGCTACCCTTGAAACTGTCCCAGAAACTCCAGCGGGTGCAGAATGCTGCAGCGAGGCTCCTCACGGGGTCCCCGCCATGGGAGCATATTCACCCAGTGCTTTACCAGTTGCACTGGCTCCTGGTGGAGTTAGGGTCAGGTTCAAATTACTGGTTTTGACCTTTAAAGCCCTTTGTTGCTTGGGGCCCTCTTATTTATGGGACCACCTCTCCTGGTATGCCCCACAGAGGACCTTAAGGTCCATGAAGAACCATAGTTTAGAGGTCCCAGGCCCTAAGGAAGTCAGACTATCCTCCACCAGGGCCAGGGCCTTTTCAGTGATGGCTCCGACCTGGTGGAATGCTGTCACATGAGACTAGGGCCCTTAAGGATTTAACCTCCTTTTGCCGGGCCTGTAAGACAGAGCTATTCCACTTGGCCTTTAATTTGAATTCAGCCTGATCTTTTATTTCCTTTCTCTTTCCTCTCCCTCCCCTTTTATGAAGATTACCAAGTAGGACTAATTCAGCCAGCTAGCCCTGGTGACTATCTAATGTTTATTGGATGGATTTCCTCCAAATTGATTTTTCAACTTTATTGTTATTCATGCTTCTATACTTTCATGCTGCTTCTATGTTTTATTACAATTAAGTGTTTTAAATTTGTTGTTAGCCGCCCCGAGCCCGGTTTTCTGAACCAGGAAGGGCGGGGTATAAATAAAATTTTATTTATTTATTGTAAGTGAAGCATCACTCAGCAGTTGGTTCACAGCCAAATATCTTTTTGTCCAGGCTTTCCCTAACCTAACCAGGATGGTTAAAAACTATATATATATATATTTATATATATATATAAAATAGACAAATTCATGGAGGATAAGGCTATGTTCTCCGTTCACTGTCAAGAGGCAGTATGTATCTGAATGCCAGTTGCTGAGAATCAGTGCTGCTCCTCTCAGATCCCACTTTCAGGTTCCCAGAGGCATCTGATCAGCCACCATGAGAACAGGATGCTGGACCAGACAGGGCTTTTTGGCCTGATCCAGTAGTGCTGCTCTTATGACTTCTGCAAACTTTTAGACGGTGGTGTGATGTTCCTTTTTTCTTGCGACTCCCAACTCCCACCGGCCCCAGGCAGCATGACCAATGAGCAGGGATGATGGAAGTTACAATCCAAAAGCACCAGCAGAAGTTTCCCCACCCATTCTAAAATGTTTACCAAATAGACAGGCTAGGTGAAATCAGACTAACCTTTGCAAGGAGGTAATGTTTTTTATAGTGACTGCTGGTTAAAAGCTTCAGTTGGTGCTGTTGCCATGCCTGCTTGTTGAGTCTGAGCCCCAAAACATTTATGTGTGCAGTTCTGGCCACTGCCATTCAGTTACCTTCTTCCACTTTCTTCCTTGGTTGCAGACACCACCCCTGGTCCCGGCACTTACAATGTGGAGAGAGGGCACATCGCTCGCCTACCTTGCTCCCCCAGCTTCTTCATCCAAGGCGTGAGGCGACCCAAGAAGCACGAGACAGGGCCATTTTCAACGCTGTGACACCCCACCACCAGGAGTGTGATTAAAAGCCTGATTGCCCTGACGCTGCATGCCCCATTTCTGCCCAGTGTTTAACATTCCAGGCAGCTCTTGCAACTTTCAATACAGGCTCAGACTTGTTAAAAGCACAAATCCTGTTATCTCAGCCATCTGGGTATCCACCTAACCTGAATTAAAGCGAGGGGGAATAATGTACATAAATTTAAAAAAAGCTGCATGGGTATACTAATTTAACAGCAAAGCAGAGAAATCTTATTTGTGCAGTTGAAGGACCAACAGAATTTCATTCTTTTTTTTCTTTACAAAATCAGCTTCCTCAATCTCTGCTCCTGCAGTGTCCCACCCTAGCAACGCCTTAAAAAATAGTGGGGTGATGGGACTCTGTAAAGTCTGATCAGAATATATACCATTCAACTTAAGCTGCCGAGTTTTATAACCTGGAAGGCTCCACAACTTAAGCTGAAGTTCAACAGTGAGACTATTGATGCCACCGTGATGTTGTGGGGCTGTTTCTTTTCCCCAGTCCTGTCTTAAGACCTTCTAACAACAGTGCTGCACCGTGGAGAAATGACACTGTCCAAAAAGTAAAAACAAATTAATTTTATGGCTGAGTGGGGACACCAGCCCTAATTTCCAGGGTCCAGATCCAAAACTCCATAATCACCCATGGTGTTAAAGCAACCTGTGGTCCTATAAATGGCAAGGAAATCATGTTGATGTAACTCTTTTTTACAGGCTTACACATCTGGTGTACATTTTTATTTTTAAAGTGCAGAGTATAAACACAAGCCTGCTCACACTCTAGGTAACTGGGAAGAAACCCAGCAAGAACAGCAGCAGAACCTCTAACACGAGAAATACTCTTGATAGAAGTACACATCAGAATGAGAGCCATTATCACCACAAGTGTGAAACTGCATTTATTACCAATATTCACCATACACCATACAGAACTTGCTTAAGTTGCATCATGTCCATTCAGGTAGCAGCCTTAGCTCTGTAGGGAAGGAAATAAGTTTGGAATTAGAAACAGATAATTCAATTTGGTACCAAGGTAAGGAGAAAAAAAAACATATGCAGCCTGTTTCATGGGAAGGCAGGCACTTACTGGAGGACATTCAACTGCACCACTATTGATGTCATCGATTACATCATGAGGGTGTCGCCCATCGATATTGCAGCCAACAGACTGGGCTGTTCCCAAGATCTCCTTAATGGTTCCTGTAGATGGGGCAGGAAAGTACATTATGTCATGATGGCTGCTGCGCTCATGACCTTACTGCCAAATGGTCAACAAAACATAGCTTCATCCAGATTAGACTCCCTGAATTGAGTCACTCCAGCTCCAACTTTACGGAAGGTATGGGTAGCGAATATAGGTAGACATTGCTGTTGGGACTACAACTCCCAGAATCCCTGATGAAGGGCCATGCTGGCTGGGGATGATGGCAATAACTTGAGTCTCACAGGACATTCAAAGAAATCAAGCAAAACTTGGGGGGCTTTAATAGTGAGGTACAAGGGGGCCTGGGAGCCAAATTAAAAAAAAGGCAGCTTCATTTGTTTCAGCATTTGTTACATGGAACTCATGAGCTTGTCATACATCCAGACCCTCCACCCTCACCTTCCCTGCTTTTACCTGAGAGTTCCCGGGCCAAGGATCGGTGCCGCATCTGCCGGGCGATGTTCACGATCTCCTCAAAGCTGACATTGCCGCTGTGCTTAACTGTAAACAAAGAGAGAACTCACATTAGTCAGGCTTTGGGAGCAGACGAGCCTCATCAGCCAGCCCTCTTAAAAAATAAAAAGGGACTGTGGCAGTGTTGTTCTTGCTCTGTTCCCATTCTTCGGCACAGAGTTACCCATGAAGAGAAATAACCCTGTTTCCTTGAATGGGGATTTCCTCTTAGCTCACCACTGGAATGTACAAGCCACAGATGAAATCAGGCAGGCACAGTGGCGGGTGGCTGTTGCAGACAGAACTACAGCATCACACTGATCCATATAATATTTCAGCTGTTTTGGTGCTGTAGCTTTCCAAATTTCCCATCTACCCTCATACAAACTAGATTTTTAATGAGCATGATTGAGAACATTAGTACAGTTCCTCGAAAGGACCTCCTGGTTCTTAGAGCTAGTTGGGAATTAAGTTTTTAATCACTCTATCCTAAATCTCTGCAAAACAAACCATGGTTCTACTTCCATTTTCATAACTGCCCAGCTGCAATTCACCACCTAAGCACACCACCACCACCGGACACTCACTGTTTTTCTGCTTTTTGCGATCACGGGGAGGCTCCTTCAGAGCTTTGATGATCAAGGCAGAGGCTGATGGGACCACCTCGATCTAGAGAGTAAAACAGTCCAGATTTGAGACTTGTGTGAGGCAGGGATGGGAAGGAGGAGCAATACACTGACTACAGAAAACCTGGCATGGAAAGAAAAATCCCACCCTCCACCACAGCTCCTCCCAACTCCCAGGGCTGTATCTAACAAAGTTTTCTCATTCACATAGGGACTTCTGCTTGTGCAACAGAACACCCTCCTCCTTTCTGCCTTCTGAGCACCTATTCAATCTGTTCAGGGGCCCATGAGAAGCAGACATTCTGTTGCAAAGGCAGAAGGCTTTGTGCTAGTAGAACGCTGGATGACAAAGCATTATTTCACATATACACTCCTAAAACTTTTTAATATGAATTTAACTTATCATGAAACAAAACCACCCTCTTCTGTAAGGTTTGTGTCCCCAGTTTTTCGGCACAGGACTCTTCATGGGTCAGATAGAAGAGTTCTGCTTCCTAAGCTGGGGTTTGTTATTAGCTCACCACTGGAACATGCCAGTCACTGTTGCACGAAAGGCATGGTGGCGGGTGGCTGTCAGGAAAGCCCAGGGCCCCCCAGGATCTTAGCTCTAATCCAGGGTTTATCACGTTTCGGAGGTGACTCAAGGTACACATCTGTATAGCAAGGGACGAAAATGACTGGCCTACCTCACAAGGCTGTTACAAAAAATGATGCCAATGCTAAAAAAAAGGCAGCATGCATAAATGCCAAATATTGCTAGGAGCCAAGGGGAAAATGTTATTTGGGGACTAAAAGTCAAGTTCAAAAGTTTCTCTAGCCAAAGGCCGTAACAAACTTATAGCAATAGCATTAATAAAATAATATTGACCATAGATCTGTAAAGTAAGCCAACATCCATGATGAGAAGATACCAGAGACACCAACAAGCTTAAATCTAGCTTGATTTCAGATTAAATGTAAAAAAAGAGCTCAGTTGAGGAAAATAATAATAGTCTAAATCATCTTGACAAGCTGTTTTCCAGAGCTTGCAATCACCCAATTCCACATAGCACAAGAAAACAATCAATATACTTTAACATAGAATAGTGTCTGACATCCCTGAACTACAACTGCCATATATCCTGATCACTGGTCCTGCTAGCTAGGAATGATGGGAACTGTAGTTCAACACCTGGATACGTTGCAACCGCCTAATGACCAGGACCGTGTTTTTAAGGTCTGGATCCAAAGACCTCCCACACAGCAAGCTGCATGGCACTCATTTTATCGACCTCGGAAGGATGAAAGGCTGAGTCAACCTTGCCAGGATCATGGCTCTGTGGCACTAGCACAGCTGGGCATTTTCAAATGCCAGTGCTTTTGGCCGCAGACCCGTCCTTTGTGGCGTTGTCTGTACCTGAGCTTGCCTGTTCTGGATGGTCAGCTTAACTGTGATCCTCAGGCCCTTCCAGTCGCCGGTAGCCTTGGCAATGTCATCACCCACCTTTTTGGGAGACTAAAAGAAGAAACAACAACAGCAGGTATAACTAATGGGATACTTAAGTCCTGTCCCCCCCAAACCTCCCCTCTAATGCAGCAACTGACCACAGATTTAGGTGCTTCACTAACTACATTCTGCCTCCTTAAGTCTCAAGCCTTGCAGCAGCACCCAAACAAGACATGTGGGAAACCTGCACTCCAGACATACAATGCTTGCCTTGCAAACAACCTTAAGGTTTCTATTTGTTATTATTTATTAACAAATTAAATTTCTATGCTAACTCAACGATCATAGGGCGGTGTATAATATAAACAAAATATCTATCTAGTCCACAAGATATTGCCTGAGCCTCATCTGCATAGGCAGGTGGTGATACATTGCATTGAGAAACTGCAGGGGAAACAAATTCTGAAGAGCTTCCTTGCCTACTGTGTCCTAAAGGGGTGTCCAAAACCAGCAAATAGGTAATTTAAAAGCCTGCAGGTATGTATAGTTATACTTCAAGTATTTCCACTCCCCAAATCAAGTTGCATAAAAACAGAAATTAAGAAACTGCTGGGGAAGGAGAATTTAACTTACCAGTGTACCACAATTTCATTTAAACAATCCAAAAAATTTACAGCAGAAGCATTGCAGAAAATGTGCAGCTGGCTTAGTTGCCTGCCTAAGCCAACTGGCACCGAAAAGTTTTCTGCACACGTTTAAACTTTAAAAAAGGTACCCTGCTGAATCTCTATGGGAAGAGCCTTCCACAGGAAATGGACCGATAGTGCTACTTTGCCTTCAGAATTTGAATTGTCACCACTTGCATTCAGCAGCAGAACTGGACAAAGTTTTCATCACAAGGCTTTGGGTTCTGAACAGAGGTCTGGATAGCTGCAACTGGCCCCTGAACATGTGGCTCTCTATTCCCACTCTACCCATTAGCATTTCTGTGGTTGAATAAAAAATGACTTACCAAACCCAGGGGCCCAATTTTTGGAGCCAGAGCTGAAGTGGCACCAACTTCGCCCCCAGTGCATCTTAAGAAAACTGTAAGGAGGGGGGGGGGAGAGAAAACCAGCACTTTAAATATAATTATAAGCCACTGTGGTATCATGGCAAAACACCAATACAAAAATTCATACAGGGGATAAACTGCTGGAACATGGTAAGAGCATCACCTAAAGCAAGGTCTCACTTCCCTTTAGCTGCGATTCCTGCACTGCAGAGGGTTGGACTAGATGACCCTTGGTGTCCTTCCAACTCTATAATCCTATGATTCTAAGAACCATGTTCAAATTTCAGCTAAGCCACAAAGCTGGGTGACTTTTAGTCTGACATTCACTTGTCTTCCAGCACAGCCTATTTACACAGGGTTGTTCTGAAGATAAAAATAATGCATGCACGTAAAAAGAACCATATCAATATGCTGCTTCAGGGCCTTTGAAGAAAGGTTAAAAATGAAGCAAATCCTGTTGGCTGGACTAGATAGGGCTAGTATTATGTTCTTAATATATCAAAAGAGCTGAATAGAGAGTTTCAATCAAGACTATGAATCCTACCACTCCCGAACGATTTAGCACTCTTTGATTTTTATGTAAGTGTTGTTAATGCACTTAACACAGAAAGTGAGAATATTCAGTTGTTGGTGTTCCAGAGTTATAATAATCAGGTCACAGTGCGGTTTGCCAGTCTGAGTACTTTAATACTCTTGGATGTGGTGCAAGGTATCTAATTTTCAAATATCGGAAACTATAAACATAGTACAGAAAATAAACGCAGAGCTTGTCCGCTGTCATGTACAGGTACCAATACAAATGCATACAAGAATAGATAAAATAAAACAAAAATACAACGGGGAGGAAAACCTAAAAACCGAGAATACAATACACTTATCATTTATAATGTATTTTGTATGTGTTATATCTATCTATCTATCTATTTAAAGTACCGGTGGCATTTGAATGAGATGAAAGAACACTAGGTAATTTTAAAAATATGCCACTAACTTGAAAAGGGGCATGGAAGGTTCTGTGGAGAAGCATAGCAAATAAAGGCTACACGTGCCAATCGGCCCCCCACCCCCACCGAGATGTAGACGTTACCACTCCATAGGCCAGCCCAGGCGAGTTGATCGGGCCCCAACCCCAAATAAGCGGTCCTCCAAAACGCTTCGAGCCGAAAGACTTACCGACTTTGATCTCGTTGGGGTCGAACTTGGGCGGCATGACTGCGAATTGGATGCCAAGCTAAGCTCCGAGGAGGATGGCGTCGGATTCAGGAGAGCGACCAACTCTTCCTCGCCCGTAAGATCGATGTGTCAAAAGGACCGGTTGCGTGCGATCCCGCGGGATATAATATCTAAGATCTCGCGAGATTACACTCACCCGTCCTCTGAGGCTTTGAAGGGTGAGTCAAAGGAAGTCATCTTAGGTTTGGCCAGGAGGGACGGACCAAACTTCCGGTCCTTTACTGAAAAACCACCGTGTTCTCTTCGAATTCATAGTACGTAGTGCTTCTTTACACTTTAGTATCTCTACTGTGCGTTGCTACGTCCTTGCCCACCAACCCTCCCGCCGTCCAATAAGCACCGTTGCTCTTCCAGCCACAACCTCGCGAGACTCAAAACTCCCTGCCGCCATGTCCACTATGGGCATTCACTGTGGAGGAGCGAGGCTGCGGTCTTCATTTTAGATGTGGGCGAGAGACCGAAGTTTGTAGGCACAAGAGATCGTTCTAAGGTGTAGCCTCTGTGTAACAGACCGCGAATATTTCCTGAGCCGGTTCGATGTTTGTTTCTTCGTTTACGGAAGAGAAGTGGGCAGGGAGAAAGACAAAGAGTTTGGCGGTGGTGAGGGAACGGTATGAGCCGGTGAGTACAGGGCGCGGGAGGGGACATTGTCGAGGTGGGCGTGGCCTAAGGCGGAGCTGGAGGCGGAGCTACTCCTCAGCATTCCCCCTCCCTCCCGCACTTCTGGGTGTGGCCAAGGGAGCTGCTGTTTCTCTCCCCCACCCCCGCCGTGTTGCAATGATTGCCTGAGAGCAGCCAAGGCTGCCATTGGGGCTCCTTCTCCACACCCCCTAGCATGACAGGCTTGGCAAAGCCGCACCTGTTGAGCTTCTGCCTACCCGTCGAGCCCTCCAGCGCCTCTTGAGTGACAAGCGCAGCCCTGGGCAGTGGGCATGTTTACTTAGAAGTAAACCCCACAGTGCATCCTCGTCTCCCCCCCCCATGGGGATTTCTCCCAGGTAAGTTACTAGTCCTCATGTCCCTGTTTTTCACCCGCACCTCTGATTGCCCGTTGCTGGGGAAACCGCAAGCGCGGGGAGGGTTGCTGCGTTCGGGTCCTGCTTCCTACTGGGGCTTCCTTTCGGGCTTCCTACTGGGGCTTCTGGCCAGCCTTGGACCAGATCCTGCAGGGCTCACCTTATGTTCTTCAATGAACAGCCCAAGCTCTGCATGCAGCCCAAGGCGGGGGCTCCCTAGGAAACAGAAGCGAGAGTCCTTGTAGGGCATGGGGTGGTGGCAGTGAATCTGACGAAATTTGGTTTGAACCCACAGGATAGAAACCTAGCTTTTATCCCATTTGAATCTGTAGCTTAACAACTGTCCATCTCATTTAGACACCTGTTTGGATGTATGGACTGTGTACTGTACATTAATCTTTGATGGTTAAGTCAGCATTGAGGGGATAGTCTTCATGTAAATACAAGCTAGGAAGGTTTTATCTTTCTTCTTCTTCTGATATATGTGCAATCTTATGTTAAAAGCAAAAGCTACATAAACAAAGTGTTCAAGGGCACAGTTCTCGTGGAGATTTTGGGGAGTCAGGAAAGATTTCTGCGCCAATTTAGACCATATTGGGGAACGCTTACGATGTGATGCTCTTCCACTGAAAAAACCCAAAAGCTGAATACAGTATATTCTTTTAAAAATAGTCTAGTAGAAACATTCTGGCAGGTTCCCTACATTCAGGGATCGGAATGGAGAAAGTCAGGACCTTCCTGCAGTTTGAAGTAGCGTAGCGCTGCCTGCTTCATGATAGATGGAGATAGGTCAGATCCAGCATTGCCTATCACTGCTGGGAATCACTTGATTAAATTCCTGTCTGCTGGTAGCACTCAGGACTGTGGCTCATATTTGCTCAGGGGAGCAGGGGTGTGTGTTTTGTCCTGGAAGACCTGTTCCCTACCTTGCAGGGCTTTTTCCACTTGGACTGAGAGGATGGGGCCTTGGCTGTTTCCAGCTACAGAAGAACTGACTCTTGGGCCGGTGTGTTGTTTAGGGTTTTCTGTTGCTGTTATTTATATTAATTTTTAATATATCTATTTTAGGTCTTATGATGATTTTTGTGGAAATGGTTCAGTTTGGTTGTGTACTATCTGACACCCTGGAGAGTCAGTCAGTGTAGACAATAATGAGACTGAGGAATCAAAGTGACTCAGCATAAGGCAGCTCACTATGTTATTATGGGAGCTTTTCCTGTCAGTAAACACCCATGCTATGAAAAGCTGCCCCTGTTGAATTTCTGACTTTCAGACAGGTGTTAAAGGCACTAGTTTAACTCTCATGCTTTGGACTTTGCACCTCAACCCCATGCTCAGTGCCCCGGGCAATGAGCTACCTGATGAATTTTCTAGACCCACTACCTTGCCAGGCTGTTGATAAAACAATGACAGTTGTCAGCATTGCCACTATCTCCTTTCCTGCATGTTAGAATGTGTGTGAAAGCTCTCACACACAGCAGGAGTCAGTTGTCTTTATTGCACTGGGAGTGGGAGGATTACAGGCACGTTTTGGTCCAGTGGCTATCGGTGGCTGACCCCTTTCTTATACAAATGTCCCAGCTTGTGTAACTGAGGTGCCACGACAGCGCAGGAATGTGGAACCTCAGGTCCAGGGGCCAAATACTGCCCTCTAGGTGTCTGTATGGCCCTTTGCACTCATCCCAGGCCACATACCCCTTAAGCCAGGCCTCTCTGCACCACCCCCACCCCCTGGCCAATTTTATGTGATGGAGGTTCGCAAGTGGTATCTGTTTGGCTACACCCCACCACTGCAGCCCCTGGAAGGTTTCTCACAAGGGAATGTAGCCCTTGAGCCAAAAAAGGCTTCTCCACCCCTGAACTACAGAAGGGTTATGAGAAAGAAAATTCATAAATGTGTTTTGATTTATTCTCTCCCCCCCACCCGCCCCCAACTTCTCCAGAGGGAGGCACCTTGAGCAGAACTCGTCCGACATGAGCAGCTTCTTCTCAGACTGACAGAGATGTAATTCCTGTTGCTCAGGTTGTGGTTGCCTTCCTGCCTTTTGTTTCCTTTTTCCATCTCTGAATTGGGATAAAGGGAAGACAAGAGGAAGATGCCGCTCTTCTTCCGTAAAAGGAAACCCAGTGATGAAGCCCGCAAGCGCCTTGAGTACCAAATGTGCCTGGTAAGTCGGCCAGAGCTAGGTGGGCCAGCTGCTGGGACTCTTCAGGCTAGCAGGGGCTCCACTAAGGTTTTGAGGAATCTTCTGGAACCATGAAAGAATGTCATCACCTGGTCTTTTCTGGCCCTTGTTACAGATGAATCCTAAGCAGGCTGGATGGATGTAGCAGATCCACAGTATAAAAGCCCTGCCGCCATGTCATAATTTGTTTCATAAAACTATGCCAACTCTGGGATGATGCAGCTAGGGGGGTTAGGGGGTCAGGCCCTAGACCCTCAGGGGATCAACTGGTGCCTACTCCACCCACCCACCCAGAAAAACATGCCCCTTATTGGTGGAAAACTCTGCAGAAGAGTCTTTCCACCAGGAGTGGGGAACCAAACCAGCAGAGTTCCCAGCAAGGATCAGGTGAGAGGCAATGTCAGAGCACTCCAAGATCAGGTTTGGCCTGGCAGAAGCTTGGCTAGCAGGCATGGCACCGAGCTGGTATATAGACATTCTTAGTAGCTCTTCCAATCCTGCGCTGGTTTTTGAGCTGGAGTTGGTGTAAGCACACCCCAACCACAGCTGAATCCTATCATCTCCCTTCTGTACAGGGGTCTGCTTGAGAAGATGGTCTTACATCCCAAGGAGACCTTGCCTGTAGTTGGGCACTTCTCCAGATGGACTGGGATGGACCTGGTGTTTAAGGCTTTCCCTTGGGCTTGGGACATGTCCAAACTCAATGCCAGAGGCCAAACTCACCCCTGGTACTGGTCATCTGTCCTAGGCCTCATCACTCCTCACTCCCAGATGGAGCGTGACCCAGGGCTTGGTGTAAGGCTGGAGCCTCCTGGTCCTTCTCTGATGAGGAGTCACACTATCAAGGCATGACACCCACCTCTGATTGGGACTCACCCTGTTGGGACACCACATCTGTATTGCCTGCACCGACTGATGGTGGCTCTCTAGGGTTTTCAGGGAAGGGATGCGCCCAACGCAACCTGGGGATGCCAGGGATTGAACCTGGGACCTTCTGCATACAGAATAAATGCTGTGCCACCAAGCTACAGCCCTTCCCCAAAGTATTTGGCAGGGCTTGGAGCACACCTCTGACAACTGGAGACTTGTAAGCAACATGGGCGCAGTGGGGCTTACTCACGCGCCCCTCCCTAAATATACATATATATTACTTTGATTACATTCAGTGAGCAATTGAGATAAGGCCGGCAACCATCTGATTTCTCATTTTTGCAAATGCAGCTCACCTGTCTGTCTCTCAACAGGCAAAGGAAGCCGGAGCTGATGATATACTTGACATATCCAAATGTGAACTCTTAGAGGTATGTTTCCGGTGATGCTGACTCCCAAATGTTGGCCAAGTGGTTGGGTGGGAGACATGCTGTTGACATCAGAACCTAAGAAGGGCCCTGCTGGATCAGACCAATGCCCCATTTTGCTCAGCATCCTGTTCTCACAGTGGCCAGCCAGATGCCCCAGTGGGACAGCCGCAGGTACGACCTGCGCATAAGAGCACCCACTCCTCCTGCAGCATCGAAAAGCATTACTGCCTCCAACTGTGGAGGCAGAGCATAGCCATCATGGCTAGTTGCTATGCATAGCCACCTCTTCCATGAATCTGTCTAATATTCTTTTAAATCTATCCAAGTTGCTGGCCATCACTACCTCCTGTGGGAGGGAGTTCCACAGTTACTATGCATTGCATGCAGAAGTACTTTATTTGCAGCGATGGTTAAGGATCAAAAGCTCTGCTGGTTTCACTTCTGGGCGTTGCTTTGGAACTAAACCCCCCCCCCCCATCCTTTGGGCATTATCTTTGAGTTGTGGTGCCACATTCTGAAGAGTGATACCTTTTATTATCATCCTTCAGCAGAAGATGTTATGCAGGAGCGGGTTCCTCTTTCCACCTGTTTCAGAGGCAGAACTGCGCTTGACACCCATAACCATAGGATCTGTGTTGTATCTTGACATCAAGGACTAGGAGCCCTCCTGATGTTGTTGGACTCCAACGCCCATCAGCCCCGGTCAGTGTGGCCAATGGTGAGGAATGATGGAAGTTGTAGTCCAACAATTATCTGGAGGGCTGCAGGGTCTCTGTCCCTGGGTGGATCTTCTTGTCATTCTTATCATCAGGAGGTCTGTCCTGCATAATACAGGAACAGGGCCTTTTGGAATGCCCTCCCTTTAAATATCAGACAAGCGCTGCCTCTGTTGTCTGTTCTGTGCCTGTGATGACCTTCCAACAAGCCTTCTAAAGCAGAGATCTTTCCCCATCTGCGTCTGCATTTCAATTGCTTTTATGTAGTTTAATGGTTATAGTGCTTCTTGTTTGCCAACCAGGGCTCCTTTGGGCAGAAAATGGGGGCCTATAAATCTGATAAATAATGGTAATATGCCCCAAGACAAAATGACCCTTGCATAAAGTACCGTATTTTTCGCTCTTTAAGACGCACCAGACTACAAGACGCACCTAGTTTTTAGAGGAGGAAAACAAGAAAAAAAATATTCTGAAACTATTCTAGTTTTTAGAGGAGGAAAACAAGAAAAAAAATATTCTGAATCTCAGAAGCCAGAACAGCAAGAGGGATCACTGCGCAGTGAAAGAAGCAATCCCTCTTGCTGTTTTGGCTTCTGGGATAGCTGCGCAGCCTGCATTTGCTCCATAAGACGCACACACATTTCCCCTTGCTTTTTAGGAGGGAAAAAGTGAGTTATAGAGCAAAAAATACAGTATCTCTTTTGTATTTTTTTCTGATCACCCCTCTCTCTCTCACAATAACATTTTATCTGACCAGCATTTGGTTTTGTTCTATGCCTGCTTTTAGATTCCGTATGGAGCCTTGGCGACCTGTAAAGTCTTGCAGAAGAAGGTAAGGGACATGTTTCAATGCGTTAGTACAGGCTTTGTCCACTGGGCAAAAGCCCTCCAGACATTGTTGCCCTGCAGTTCTCATCATCCCCAGCCAGCATGGCAGTGCTGGCCATGACTGCTGGGAGTTGTAGTCCAAAATGGCTCTGCTGACTGGGGCTGATGGGAGTTGTGGGCCAAAATATCCAGAGAGCATTAGGTTGACAAAGCCCATGTCGACACACAGGCCAATATCATAAAATTAGGTGGTGGCATCTCTATGCATCAGACTCTTCCTGTGTCCTCCCCTGCTAAATAATTTATGAGGCTGGAGAACCCTCTTGTCCACACAGAGCAAGAAATGCCTGGTGGCCTCAAACAATAGTCAAAGCCTCATATGTCCATAGGCAGAAATGGGACCCTTTGAGTCTTGGCTTTTGAATGTGTAGCGATTCCCTCTCCCTGTTGTGTTTTAACTTTCCTCAAACACCCTGGAGGGTTTTTCTGGGAGCAAAAGCAGTTCAAGCCTATACAGTGTCTTGCTGGCAAGGTCCATTTCTTCATTGTCTCCCGCTCTAGATCACTTGTTGCACTGGTTTCCCAAATCATAGTGGCAGTAAACCATGATTTAAATGGGTGCACTGAAACTGCAGGCACTTCACTCCCTCTGCCCCTCTGTCTCCACTCCCAGGAAACAAGTCTGGGTTAGCGCTACCTCTGAACCCAGGTTCACCATTTATTTCTCTCCAAGCAAACCACAAGTGAGTTAGCCAAGAACAAACCTTGATTATGGCTCCCAGCATCACTCTGATAATATCCTCTATGTATCTTTCATTGCTTAGGTGCTGATTGCTCACACCAATTGCTTGACATCTCTGACCCCTAAATCCTGTAGCATCCTGAATCTCCTAACTGTGAAGGTAACTTGAAACTCTTTTTTTTTTTTTTTTTTATTGCAAATGACTCAAGAGGTAGGAATGAATCATTGAGTGGAAGCTTCTGGACCTGATAGTGAAGAAGGCACAGAACCACTGTGTGTGTGTTGACAGAAGGGGGGCTCTTGAAACCAGGTCCCATTCCAATGTGATTTTGTTCCTGGCCTGTTTAAATATACGAGAGACCTTGGAGAGAGAAGGGGAAGGTGTCAGAGATACACAGAGAAGAATGGGAGGAAGAGAGAAGCAGGGTGTCACAGACCAAGAAAGAGGAATAAGGGGATGTCAGGGACAGAGAAGTTTGTGAAAGAGAGGGGAGGGAGTGGGTGCCAAAGACAGAGAAAGAGGAAGAAGCAGTTTGTCAGAGGCAGAGAAGTGAGTGGTCCGCTCTCCGCTGGCTTTGGCCTCTAACAGGTTAGTGCTGAGGAAGTGTGGCCCTCAATAGGGAAAAAAAGTGTTCTCCAGCCCTGCTATGAAGGCTTACCAGATAAATGAACGGCCATTTTCCTTCTCTGCCCTTCCAGGTTTTAGATCTACATGACAACCAGCTGACCTCACTTCCTCCTGATATTGGCCAACTGACGTCTCTCCAGGTAAAAGAGACAAAACACATCCTGGGGGAGAATTCTGTTCAGAATTGTTTCTCGTGTGCAGTGTCAGTGTGGTGACTCAGAAAGTATGGGAACTTTTCCATCTCTTTTGGGACCGTGAAGGCTCAGACTAGCCCCTCAAAATGGGATAGTGAAACCAGGGCCTGAATGGAGAGCCTCCTTATTGCTTGAGGCTAGGACCTTGCTGGGTGAGTTATTACAGAGCAGAAACAGAGAGAAACCTGTGTGGAACATCAGCCTGTGTGACTGGCTGCCAGTGTGAAACCTGCTGATTGGCCAGGTCTCTATGAATACCAAGAGCTGGACATTCCTTTTTTTGTTTTTGTTTTTTTGTTTTAATGTTTTTATATCCTGACATTCTCTCAAGTTGGGATTCACAGTGGCTTCCAACATTCAAAACAATCATTGTAAAATACAAATAAAATCAGACGAGTTTAAAAAATAGCTTAAATACATCAAAACACAATTAGAACCAGCGGTTAAAATCCAGTTTGCCCTGACAGCAGCTGAATGATCAGTATCATCTGCACCTTAGTTTCCAAAGGTCCATCCGAACATGAAGATATTAGTCTATTGGTGGAAGGATAGCAAAGAGGGAGCCAGTATAACCTCTCTTGGGAGGGATGCTACAATCGGGGTGCAGTTTCTTTCTTGTGTCACCACAAACAATGCTTCCAATGTTGATTGGGCCATGAGAAGGTGCTGCCATGGACTGGCTGGACACAGAGGAATGGTAGAAGGCACCAGCTGGGGAACCCCCAAGGGACAAAGTTCTCAGAGTCCGGGGATTGGTGGTGGGACGACAATGCGTGGTCAGAGGGAGAAGCCTGGAGGAGGAGGTGTTGAAAGCTGAAGCACTAACAGGTTCTAGTGAGCAGGGAGAGTCTGTGACAGAGAGAAGTCCAGAATCAGAAGTAGAGGCAGAAGCAGGACAGGAAGAAGACCAAGAGGCAGAGAGGAGTCAGGCTGGTGAAGATACCAGGATGTCTCCCCCTCCTGCTGCCACAAGCTCTGCTCCCCTTCCCCTGGTCTCCCAGGACCAGGAGAGGCACAAAGAGGGAGGAGCAGAGACAGGTGCATTGGTAGAATCTCAGATTGCTCTGGAAGGATCTTGGGAAGAATCTAGGGGAGGAGGAGATTTAGGCAGCTGCGGGAAGGTGGGGACCTTCAGCCTCCACAACTGCCTTATAGGGGCAGAGTTGCTGTGCTCATTAGGCATGACACCCCTCAGCTGACCTTGTTTCTTCTAAGAAGGAGTTAACTGCATTTACTCTGTGTGATTTGTTGCTGGCTGGCTCCCTTACAAGTGCTCGCCTGAGGATCTTAGCACTTGAGGTTTTAGCAGGGTCATCAAAACAAGACGTTTTGTCTCCTTCCCTCAAGACCAGGCTGCTGAACTCAAGAGACTCAGCACTCTGTAAAGTGCACCCTCTGACTTGGATTTCACAGGAACTTCCTACTGCCTCTCTCTAATGGAACAGGAAGGAGACCGACCCCTCTTGTTTCTGCTCTCTGTCCTTGATAGGTCCTGAACTTTGAAAAGAATCTGTTGAAGGCCCTTCCAGATTCGATAGGGGACCTTGTCCAGCTGCAGACGCTTAATCTGAAAGGTAGGAGAAAATGCCTCAGGCTGCAATCCGCAGGGATAAGGCAACATATTTCACAGTAATAAAAACACACAAATCTAGTTTTATAAATAGTTGTAGTAAAAACATCCATTTCCTGCATCTGCCCAAACGCCCAGGGTAACCAAGAATGTTGTTGCCTGGTGCCCAAGCAGTGACAAGGCTGGTACCAGACCATAGCTGTCAACCTTCCCTTATTTTGCGGGAAATTCCCTTATTCCAGCGCCGCTTCCCGCTGCTATCCCAGACTGTTAGATATCCCGTAGACTGTCCCTGGGATAGGTAAGGCTGCTGATCCCTTATTTTTGAGGCTGCTGATCCCTTATTTTCAAATCTGAAAGTTGACAGCTATGTACCAGACTGGACTTCCCCAGGGGAGCATTTTCCATTCTAGGGGTCGATAGGAAAAGAATTGAAAATAAAACTTCTGACATCATCAAGCCATTATACAAATACACACACGCACACATATCCAAGAAGTGTGTTAATATCTGCATCTTGCACATTCTGCCTTCTCTCTTTTTTTTAAAGTAACTTTTATTCAAAATTTCAACATAACAATTTATCAAAAACATATCCTCCTCACTTCCCCTCCTATTTTCCCCTCCCTCCCCATAAAAGCCCTCCCCCACCCCCGGACTTCCCTCAACTCCTCTTTCTGGTTTTTCAGCACACGTTATTCTTTGCATATTATAAAATTGTAAAGATCTTTAAATTATCTGTCTTTATGTTACCCATAATAAATTTGTGTATGTTTATTCAAAACCTGCCAAGGAGTCCAGCTCATTTTGTTGTTTCTTTAAGTACTTTGTAAAAGGTTCCCATTCTTCTTTGAAATCACAGTTGTCCTTATCACGCAGTTTGTGTGTCAATTTCGCCAATTCCGCATAGTCCATCAGTTTCTCTTGCCACAGTTCTTTTGTCGGGATTTCTTCATTCTTCTATCCTTGTGCTACTAAGACTCTTGCCACCATTGTCGCATACATGAATATGTTCTTCAATTTCCATGGCAGGTCTTTTCCTACAGTCTCTAACAGAAATGCTTCAGGCTTTTTTACAAATGTTAATTGGCACATTCTGCCTTCTCTGGCAGGCAACAAGCTGAAGGAACTGCCAGCCTCCCTGGGTGGCCTGCGTAGCCTACGAACCTTAGACATCAGCGAAAACCTAGTGCAGGAGTTGCCGCAGGCACTGGCTCACATCCGAACACTGGAGGTACGTGCCCAAAGAAGTTTTTGCTTTGTTTGTGTGTGTGTGTGTGTGTGTGTGTGTGGTGCAAAATTCATATTGAGCGGAAGGAAGAGGTCAATATGGAGCTGGAAAGGAAAGCTTTGCTTCTTTCAGATCATAGTAGGATGCATATAAGCAACTCTTCTCTTCCTGGGAAGCTTGTGTGCCAATCTAGCCTTGTACAAAGGGCATGAATCTCAAGAATTCTCCTGCATTGCTCATCAACTAAGACCCTCCTCCAAGTGCCGTCTGTTGCTGAAGTGTGTTGTGATTACATCAGTAGTTTAGTGGCCAGTTCAGAAGTGCAGGGTCCTTTCTTGATGGTCAAAGCCACACCCCTTCACAGCTAGATCCCTTTCTAAAATGCAACAGTTTTATAATTATGCAGTAATAATAATTAGTGACGCATTGCAACGATCAATGCCGATCTTCATTTGTTGCCTTTCAGCTAGATCTTCCATTTACTGTGCATTTGCTGTGCAAATGATTTGGAGTCCTCCAACATCTTCTCTCAGAGTGACTTAAGTTGTGATTCTCTTGGAAGTTTCATTGTATCTAACAGAACTTGCACACTATTCTCTTGAAACCAAAGCAGCTTTTGTTTTCAGGGTTCCTAAATGCTTAACTGTGGGGCTCACATAACTCTTTCTCCTCAGTATTTTCCCTGCTTGCTTTCTCCAGAGTGATCCTTGGAGCCAGTCCTCAGAGGATGACTCCCTTTCCTTTCATTCTGATTGGCTCAAATCAACACAAAGGCTAAGACTTCTTCCCAGTGGCTAAAACCCCCTTTTATGTGGATTGGGTGACACTGGGGACTGGGGCCATTTGGGGGGGGGGGAATAGTAATGGGTCTTCAACCTTCCATGACTCTGGACTACTGTACTTCTGGGTTGCACAGAAGAGAAGAGGTTGTAGCCAACTAAGTTCTGCTCGTAGTAGACCCATCAAAATTAATGGGTCAAAGTCATTTGTTACCTTTCAAAACATCTACTCTGAGTAGGACTAGTACAGGAGACAACCCATGGCCTTTTTGGCAGTGGCTCCTTGATTTTAAAATGCCCTTCCTAGAGGAGCTTGATAGGCACTGACCTTGCAATTTTTTCAGCAATTAGTTAAGACTTTATTGTTGACCAGGGTAATTTGAAAGGGGTTCTGTTTGCTTTCAGCCAGCTTTTGGGTTCTATGTGGCTGCCTTTCAGTCAGTTTTCTTGTTTTCTGAGGGATTATATTTTTTCCTTTCATTGCATTTCATCATCATTATTGTGCGCCATCCTGGGATCCGTTTGGAGGAAGGTATTTTGGATGATGTTAAAATGCATTTCAAAAGAGGGGTTTTTTGTCCACCTCAAAAAGAATTTTCAAGGCTAGAAAAGGTTCAGAAATTAACAACTAGGAGGATAAAAGGGATGGAGCAACCCCCCCGTGAGGGAAGGTTACAATGTTTGGGCCTTTTTAGTTAGAGGAAAGACAGGTAAATGTCAGGAGGGGGACATGATAGGGGTATATGAGATTATGCATGATGCAGAGAAAGTGGTTTCCTCCCTCTCTCATATTGCTAGAATTTGGGAGTGTTTCTGTTGCATTTGGATGCTGCTTGTCTGCTTCCCATAGGGACATCTGGCTGGCCACCGTGAGAACAGGATGCTGGATTAGATGGGCCTTGATCCAGTAGCCAGGCTCCTCTTACCTTCTAAAATAATTATATATCTGTCTGTTCTGCAGACACTGACCCTGGATGCCTCGTCCATGTCCTACCCGTCCAATTACATCTGCAGCGCTGGCACAGAGGCCATCCAGCAGTTTCTGTGTGGAGGTGAGCAGAGCAGAGGGCCTGCCTAGTGCAAGCAGGGTGGAGAGGACCAGCCCAACAGTGCCTGATGCCTCTGAGACTCTTTCCTCTCCTGGGATGAAGGGCCTAGGGAGGGGCTGTAGCTCAATCGGAGTGCATCTGCCTTGCATGCAGAAGGTCCCAGGTTCAATGCCCAGCATCTCCAAGTAGGGCTGGAAGAGAACCTTGTCTGGAATTGAGAAGAGGGGCTGCTAGCCAGTGTAGATGGCCCTGAGCTACATGGACCAACTGTCTGGCTCAGTATAAGGCCGCTTCCTATGAAAACATGCTTGCTGAATTCTAGAGCCACCTTGATGCGTTTGGTGGCCAAGCAGGGCTCAGGTCTCCCTGACTCATTGTTAGCACTCTGCCCAGTGCATCACACTTAGGTGTGTGATACCTGAACCCTGCCAATAACTGACCTGCCCGTGCTGTCTTCTGGTTTCTCCCAGAATTAGGAATCGAGTACAATCCTCCCTCACAGTATTTACTCCCAGTGTTGGAAAGTGACGGAGGTGAGACTTCAGTGGACGGAGTCAGCAGGATGGTCACGAAATATGCGGAGAATGAGGCTCAGTGGCAGGTAATTGCTGAGAAGCAGGCCATGGTCTTCAAATTCAGGGATAGGGAGTATGTTACCCTCTGGATGTCGCTGGATTCCCATCGCCCTTGACCAACTGGCCATGCCGGCTGCAGGGGCTGATGGGAGTTGGGCATCCTAACAGTATCTGGAGGGCCACAGATTCCCCAGCCCTGCCTTCAACCTAACAATGGTCACTGGCTCCCCTGAAAAGTGAGAGGTGGGGTGTGTGTGTCTGTTTGTTTGTTTGTATGAATGAGTGGGTGGGTTGTGTTAAAGCCAGTTAAATCCAGGCTCCTTTTGTGAGAGCCAGTGTGGTGTAGTGGTTAAGAGCAGTGGACTTGTAATCTGGTGAACTGGGTTCGCTTCCCTGCTCCTCCACATGCAGCTGCTGGGTGACCTTGGGCTAGTCACACTTCTCTGAAGTCTCTCAGCCTCACTCACCTCACAGAGTGTTTGTTGTGGGGGAGGAAGGGAAAGGAGATTGTTAGTTGCTTTGAGACTCCTTAGGGTAGTGATAAAGCGGGATATCAAATCCAAACTCTTCTTCTCTTCCTCCTTTTTCAGAACAAATTTATGGACTACGAGAAGCGGAAGGTAAGAAACATTTCCCATTGCTCAGCCCTTCTCCTTTTTGGAAAACTGTTATACCCTCCAGATGGCTCCTTCAGCTTGTTCCATTTCTTCACTGGATCTGCCAGTTTCTGTGGGAAAGTATTATTTACGTACACGAGTGGCCCACATAAAATAATGATGATGATGATGATAGTGCCATCTGAAGAAAAATAGATCTGGCTCAGTTCCCTCAGTCAGCAAATTCATTTGCTTTAAAGCCAGGATGGGAAAGCTTTTGGCCCTTCAAGGTTGCTGGAATACAGCTGCCATCATCCCTGAGCATTGGGCATGCCGGCTTAGACTGATGGGAGTTAAGGGTCCAGCAAGATCTGGAGGGCCACAGGTCCCGCCCCCTCTAGTGTAAAGTATTGAAATAATAAAAATGCTTCAGCCAGAATGGTAGCCAGAGCACCTTACACAAGATGAGTAGCCAAAGTCCTTAACCTGCAGGTGTATAATCTAAGACATGGCACAAAAGGAATGAAGAGAGAAGAGGCAAACAAGTAAGCTCATGCATTAGTTCTTACAAAGTTCTCGTAACAAACAGCTTGGAAAGGAAAGGGTTTAAGGAGAGAGGAGGAGCCCAAAGTGAGCTGGCTTGCCAGCTGAATTGATGGAGTGGGCACCCGCAGTCCCATTCTTACTCTATGCTCTAGCTTGAGGGATTAATTGCCCACTGGGTGGCAGCTGAAGGAGAGAGGAAAATTCAGTGGAAGTTGAGGTGGCAGAGTTGTGTCTGGACTATACCACTTCAAACTGCAGGTGTTAGCTCATACAACTGATTGCTCCTCTGCTCACACACGCACCGCCCGCCCCCCCAAGAAAAGTAGCATATCTAGCCTAGCTTTTCCATGGCACACTAGATTTCTACATGCATGGGGATTATCTATTGGGAGGGATTTTTTTCAAAAAGCTTTATTTGTAAGACTTGATGACAACAAGCAAAAAAACATGCAGGGGAATAACCCATACTATATTTTGTGTGGGTGAGCTTTCAGTTAGGCAAGCTCTCCCCCCCCCCCCCGCCCCCACCTGCAGTCTGTAGTCCAAACACAGGTTTGTCCACTTCTATCTGCTGTTTATGAACACACAAGCCCTGTCTCTCGTCATGCACCAGGAGGAACACTACAAGCCACATGTTCACATGTTTGCATGTGTGTGCTGATGAGGCTTTTTGTTGGTCCTTCCCAGGAGCAGAAGATGCAGGAGAAGCTGGAGTTTGAGCGCTGGTTGGATCTGGAGCAGCGAGGTCAAGCCCAGCTCATGCACCAGAGCCACGCCCAGAAAGGGGAGATCCTCCAGAGCATGAAGGAGGTATCTTGTCTGTCTCCCTTTTCCACCACCACCCCGGACCCTCCTGTTGCTCCATGGTTAAGCTGCTCAAAAATATTTCTAAGTAAAAGAAAATGAAATAGGTCATCCTAGGATGGATTGATAATTGCCCTGTAGGCAGTGATGATTGACGCCCTTTGAGACTGGTAGGGCGGAAGACAGGGAGCCCAGCAGTAGATGGCGCCAGAGCCAATGACAGATAGAGACTGCTAAGTACTTTTGTCCTCATCGTCACTGCTGAGTTCTGCAAGGGGCCACCCAGAGACTAAGAAGGAAGAAGCCGGCAGGCGGTGCTGCTACCCACTGAACTGGTTGCAAGTAGGAGGGTAGACTGGGTAGGCAGTGCCCCATTCACCCTGATGGACCAGCCTCCACTGCCCATAAGAGAGGTTCATACATTTGCTTATTGTGGTTGGGAAATTGTGCCATTCTGAAGAATCTGGATGTAGGCTTACCCTCGGGTCGCAAGGTCCAGGGAGGCCTCTGTGGGAGATAAGGCTGTCCTGGAGATCAAGTGAAATGGTCCTTTGATGCTGTTCTCCTCTCTGCTTGCAGGAGCAGGTGAGGCTGGAGCAGGGCCTGACCCGGCACCAGGAGCGCCTGGGAGAAGAACGCATGAAGCTGTTGGAGCAGCTGAAGCAGATGGAGCAAGGGGTCTCCGGGCGGATCAAGAAGCTGCTGGAAGAGAACCAGAGGTCAGAGGTGGTGTTGAGCAACAGTCACAGGAGCTAGGGAGCTACGCTTGCAGCTCTTGACTGTTTTCACTCCCAGGCTGGGTTTATTGCACCACGGTTCAAAGACACCTGGACTGGATTTTCAGATCTGATGGTGTGACTCCAGACAAGGAGTTCAGTTAGGGGTGGGGAACATTTTTAGCTGGAGGATCATATTTCCTTCTGGGGTCACTTGCCAGTGGTTTGCGGGGCCAGAGGCTAAAATAGGTGGAGCATCACATGCAAATTATATATTGGAACTCTCACACACAGCTCTCTATCCTCCCATCTAGTCAACCAAGAGGCATTATCAGAGTTCAGGGGCACATCCCAGCCAAACACTCAAGAATTTAAGTAGAGCTGGCAAGGGGGTTGGCTGGGGAGAGTGCCAAGGACCAGGCAGAGAGGCTTGGAGGGCCAAATTCAGCCCCTGGATCTGAGGTTCCCAGCTCTCAAGTTAAGAGGTCAAACAGGAATAGCCCTGTCAGGACATCTCTGATGTTACCAAAATTGGTCCAGGATTTTTCCTTTGAAAGTAAATCCCAAGAGTCGTGGTCTGGAAATGCCAGACCCTTCATAGCGGAATGAGCTTTTCTCTCGCCATCTTTTACCAAGATCCTTCACCCTGTTGCTTCAGCCATGATTTGGTTCAGGTGGAGAGTTTATATAGGACTTTATATAGGTTCCACTCCATGCTGGTTCTCAGCCAGGTGCTGGTCCAGACAGGTGGTTGCATGAGCTTTCCCCCTCCTCTTAGAACTGAACCAGGACTAATAATGCCTTCTGGCGTTTTTTCCCCTCCTTGCTTTCTTTCTAGGCAAAAGCAGAGCTCTGAGATTCTCAAATCTCTGGAGAATGACCGGTGAGTGTCCCAGATGCTCTTGGCTGGGTAAGGAGCGGGGAGGATGATGCCTTTGCATGAGAACATAAAAAGTGTTGCCTGGGTCAGGACAATGGGTGGTCTAGTTCAGCATCTTGTTCTCACAGTGACTGACCAGATGCATCTTCTGACCACCACCAGCAACTTTCTGTACTTGGTTCCCAGCACCTGGCATTCAGAGGCATGCTGCCTCCATTATAGCTTTCAGCCATTGATCGCCTCCGGGGAAAGGCCATAGCTCAGTGGTAGAACACCTGTTTTGCATGCAGAAGGTCCCAGGTACCATCCTTGGGATCTCTAGGTGGGGTTGGAAAAAGCTCTCTCTCTGAAACCCTGGAGAGTTGTCGTCAGTCAGTGTAGGCAATAGTGAGCTAGATGCACCGAAGGTTTGACTTGGCGTAAGGTGACTTCCTCAGTTCCTATCATCTTTTCATCCAAGAGTTTGTCTTATCCTCTTGAAAAATTTCACATGCTATGCATAAAAATGTGAGGTGACCGTTGCTTTCATGCCCAGGCTTCCCAGAGGCTTCCGGCTGCCCCCTGCTGGAAACTGGAACACTAGATTTGACGAGCCTTCAATCTAATCTAAACAATGAAAGAGGCAGGGCAGGCCTTGCCATTGGCTGACACTTGAGGGAAGGGCATGCAATGGCTGAATCTCTCCCTTTTCCCCTGCCAGGATCCGGATGGAGCAGCTGATGGCCATTACTCAGGAGGAGGCTGAGCAGCTGCGCAGGAAGGAAGTGGCCTGTGAGTGCGGCTGTGGGAGTTCTGGGTGGGAGTCTTTACACCCCAGGCATAGAACTGCTTCTCCTGACTATGTTGATTTCTACAGAAAGAACGTGGAATATTTTCCCACTCAAGGGCTGCATTCTCTTCTGGGCAGCCATCTGGGGGCCACATGCCAGGGTGGGTGGGACAACAAATGTAATTTTTTCCTTTTGTACCATAGCCTATTTTTTACATACACATGCACACACACACACCCCGTCCTCCATCATGACAAACGAGGTATTTTTAGAATTCAAGGAGACACTTCAGCCAGCCAAAAGCCCCTGAAGAGGACCAGAGTAAGGCATTGTGTCTTGGGGAGGATTCTGAGGACCAGGCAGAGAGACCTGGGATGCTACATTTAGCCCCCTGGGGCCTGAGGTTCCCCACCCCTGGCTTAGTGCATGGAAGAGATTGTTGGGATGCTTTTGATCCAAACTTAAGTGAGAGTGCTGCCCGCAAAATTCTGCACGAATCCCCAAAAACTCTCCAAGGTTTTTCACCATTGAGGTTTATACACTCTGTATTTCTTCCCCCATCAACAACAAAGGCACTGCCGTTTTGGTTCCTCCTTCCCTAGAAGCAGACACAACGCTTCCCTACCTACCCCTAGTTCTGCTCTTTCATTTCTCCTGTACAGCCCCCCCCCCCCCCCCCGGTTTTCAAACCTTTGCTAAATTGTGGAATGTTGGAGGCAGGGAATGGATTTGGAAGCCTCCTGAGCTGCTTCCTGATCTCTGGAAAATTTTGGTGCTATTCTAATGTGTGGGAGGAGACAGTTTTTGAACAGGCTCTTATAAGCTCAGGAGACGCCTCCAGGACCCTGACTTCCTGCATTTTCTTTCCTCCACAGCGGCCATGCAGCAGATGCTGGCCGAGACCTATAAGAACAAGCTCCTGCAGGTGGCTTACGAGTCACGCCGGCAAGATCTTGTCAACCAGACTTGTTCCAGGTACTCCCAGAGAGAATGGGGCATTTCTCTGCTTTGTGGGGAGGGGACCATATTTATTATTATTATTGTTGTTGTTATTATTATTATTATTATTATTATCTATCCTTTCATCCAAGAAGCGTAATGTTCTTTCCCTCCACTTTTTATCCTCACAACAATCCTGCGAGGTGGGTTTGTCTGAGAGAGAATGAGAATGAGTGGCTCAGGCTCACCCAGCAAGCTTTGTGGCTGAAGGGTGATTTGATCCCGATTCTTCTCCCACAGGCTGACTTTCTGTCCACAACACTGTGCTTCGTAGAAAGGGAGGTGATGCTGTTGTTTTTATTTGTGTGTGTGTGTGTGTGTGTGTGTGTGTGTGTATTGCTGTGATTAACAAGAGAAAGGTTTTATACATGAGGTGAAATGTTTCTGCTTTCATCTCACTAGCTGCTCTGGCTGGAAAGGCGGAGCAACCAGTTGCTTAGACATTTCGATTCTGAGGGCCGCAGACTGTCGGACTTGTCAGTAGCAGCAGTAGAAATTATGCCACAGGATTAGCAAAGAGCGCACTGGCCACCACATGCCCTCATCCAGGAGAACAACACCAGCATCACTTAGCTTCTGCAAACGAAGCCCTTCTGAACGTTCAGTCTCAGAGCTCTGTAAGTGCCACTATGGAAACGGCAGGCTTTCGTTTTTAGTGGAATAGCTGGCAAAGGTGGAAGCCGAAATGTTTTGCCACATAAATAGAACCTCTGTTTTGTTAATCACAGCAACGTATAGATTATGTGAGTGCAGGGGTGGGAAACCTCTGGCACATGGGTCAGTCTTGCTCCCTACATCCAGGGAGTCTAATTTGGCCAATGATGCCATTCTGCTACCTGTTGATCAGCTGACATCACTTGTCATTTAGAGTGATTGGAAGTCTGACAATAGATGGTGACATGGGGGTGTGGGGTCCCTCCATCCCCATGTGCCAGAACCCAAGAACACCATGCTCACACTGGCTTTGCTAGAGTAAGCCAGAAAGGTGGAGGGAGGGAGGGAGGGAGCGAGCGAGCGAGAGAGAGAGCGCTTGGGGTATTGGCTCTGTTCCCTGAACCCACTGGAGTTAGTTTGGTTCCATTCTCTGACAGGCTTTGATTTTCCCCAAACGTACTGATACTAGTGGCGCCTGTCCTTACAGCCTCTAAAGGCCTTCCAAAGCGCTTCTCACCCTCGGTTTGCCTCTGTCTCCTGGGAGGCAATGGTGGTAACCCTTGGAATGTTTTCTCTTGTAGCCTAGCCAAGATGGACCAGAAGTTTCAGCAAATCCTAGCTTGGCAGGAGCTGGACCAGAACAAAGCCATCAGCCAGATCCTGCAGGAGGTATTAAGCTGGATATGGGTGCAAAAAGGGCAGCACCTCTGTATGCAGGATGGGAGAGGGTGAGCCAAGGCAAGGTATGGCGGGGGGAGGGGGAGAATCAGAGCTGTAGACTTGGAAGGGGCACAAAAGGACATCTCGTCCAACCCCCTGCAATACATACCAAGTCCATCTAGCTAAGTTGTTAGCTCTTTCTGTGCTTTGGCCCCAGGTTACTCTTGGAGCACTCCTGGGTGGGAAGCATTCTCAAAAGAGTTCCCTTGCCCCTTTTCATCACAGCCCACCACTCTGTTTTGGCTTATATACACAGTGTTTTCTCTCGTTCTGAAATAATGATTTCAATGTATGAGTTGCCTCCTATGAAGCCATTATGGTTGGGACTGATAGGAGTTGTGGTTGAAAACGTCTACAAGTAGGCAAGGTTTGTGGCAACTGGAGTAAATCTTTAGGCGATTTCTCAAGGCCCACAACAATGGGGCCTGATGTTATTCCGGTTGGATCATGTTCCCCAACTGGCCAGGTGTGCTCTCCTGAACTTGCATGTGCTGTTTTTTCAGAGTGATATGCAGAAGGCTGCATTTGAAGCCCTCCAGGTGAAGAGGGATCTCATGCACTGCCAGATCAGAAATCAGGTGAGTGGAAGTCATGGGTCTGCAGGGACTGGGATTGGGTGGGGTGAACAGTTGACAGTTTCTCACATGGTCCAGCTTCCTTCTCAAAGCCATTGGAACAAGGGGAGCTCTCTGGAGCTCTGGACAGCGGAATCCTCTCCCTACCTCCCTCAGGCCCAGGAAGGTCTGCCTCATCTCGGGGGGGAGGGGCTCCGTTTGCATTTCCATCCCACGGCAGCCCATGAACAGCATGATCTCCATTATTACAGTGGTTGTCGTGTATAAGTTTCTTCATTCATTTTAATTTGTTTCTGACCTTCTTGTCAAATCCATTCCGACCAACATGGAACACATTGCTTCTTAAGGTCAGGCTGTCCCCCACCAGGGCAGTGAGCTGTTGCCAGTGGTTTGAGGTGGTAGAGTTTGCAAGGTTGTCGGCGCTATCCCCCCACCCGACCCTTAGCACTTGGCTAGCTGGGGTCCCAAGGCTTTTTCTTCTGCCCGGGGAGAGGGTTTCCTGAGAGGTGCTGGTGTTTGTGGTCTTCCCTCTTCTCTGGTGGCTTTGCTGAACTGTAACAAGCTCTGGAATCTGCATCCGGTTTCTCTCAGAAGCCTCCTGGATGCTCAGTGGCTCACGAGTGATCCTAGGCTGGCCAGCTAACTAGTGGGAAGAGCCATAGCAGAGTGGCAGAGCACCTGTTTTGCATGCAGAAGGTCCCAAGTTCAATCCCCAGCAGCATTTCCAGGTAGGGCTGGGAAAAGACTCTTTGCCTACAGCCCTGCAGAACGGCTGCCAGTCAGTGTAGACAATCCTGAGCTACATGGACCCAATGGTTTGGCTTGGATAAGGACGCTTCCTATGTTCCTAAGCTACCTCCACTTCTAGAGTGAAGTGGGGGGGGGTGTCTTTATCTCAGGGCTGGGGCAACCTGTGACCCTTCAGCTGTTGCTGGACTCCAGTTCCCATCAGCCAGCATGACCAGTGGTAAGGGACAATGGGAGTTGTACTCTGCCATCAGCTGGAGAGCCACAGCTTCCCCCAGCCCAGGTTTATCTCAGGTGTGTGAAACCTTGTGGCTCTCCAGATGTTGCTGCACTACAACTCCCATCACTCCTCTGCCCCAGCTGTGCTTGCTGGGGCTGCTGGGAGTTGTAGTTCAGCAGCAGCTTGCAGGCCAAAAGTTCCCCAGCCCTCCTTTAGCTGAAGGCTTGTACCTGGCCTTTGAGGAAAGAGCACCTCAGTTCCCAGAATAAGGTTTCCCCTTGGTTTTAGGAGAGCAGGGTATTTCGTCGTGATTTGTCAGGGGAGGGGATTAAGCTGTATTTCCAAAGACTCTTTGCAGTGGGCTTTGTTTATCCCCACATCTCTGGCCAGGGTTGATAAGAGTTGTGGTCCAGAGCATCTGGAGGATTTCAGGTGGGTGAAGGCTGTTCTTGAGGATGCCACCTGCAGTTTGCACACCACAGCATCCAGCTGGTCACCATGAGGACTCCCTTCCCCAGAATGAAACCCCTCTTGGCCCCACACCAGTGGCAGGCAAGGAGGGTGCTGTGGGAGAGACCTCCAGGTGCTCAGCTTAACTCTTCTTGGGCCAAATGAGTGCTAGTAACTACAGCGATGCAGTTATAGGACCAGAGTGCGAACAGCAGAGAGCGGAGTCCTTCCCGATGCAAGTAAAAACCAAACAAACCTCCCCCTCCCTTCCTTGTTTCATCTTCTGCCTAGATTAAATTAATAGAGAGAGAGTTACTGCAGCTGACCCAGCTGGAGTTAAAGAGGCAGCAGTTGGACACAGAGGCGCTGCAGGTACGTCAGCCTCTTTTGGACCTCTCCCTCGGCTCACGTTCTTCCCGCCCTGCTCTTCCTTCTGCTTTCTGAGGTGTCTTGGTGCTTGAGGCAGGAATTTGGGGGATGGGATGGGGGGATTCCCTGGTTCCTGCCTCCTGGGGCTTTATTTAGCACGCGCTGCAAACGCTACTGCTTTTGGAGACCTGGGGATCTGTAGGAATAGCCTGCTGTAGTGTTCAGAGGGGGAAATGGTGGGTGGGCTGGCAGGAAAAAGGGGTTGAGATCTGCTGAGCATTCCACATTTTCTGCATTTTTGAATTTGAATTCTTTTCTTTCTTTTTTTTTGCTGGTTTTGCTTCGGTGTGTTTTGTTTTGTTTTTTTGGTTGTTCTCAAATCTCCACTCCAAAAGCAACATCCCCAAAGAGCACGCCATCCTCTCCATTTGCTCTCCTCAGCCAGCGGAAGATAGGCTGCATTAATCACAATTAGTATTCCTGCTTTTATTTTGCAAGGTGGGGAAAAGTGGTGGGTTGGGGGGATCCAAGCAAGGTTCTGGTTTTCAGAGTTGCAGAAAGATGTTTGAAAGTGGGGGGTGGGTCAAAGCCTGCTGAAATCTCTGAAGCCAGGGCAGGAGTTGAGCAAACTGAGCAACGCTTTGCTCTGTGGCTAGCAGAACAAATGGAGTGATGCAGAATTTCGGCTTCCATCCACTCAAGTGAGGGCAGAGAATTTGGGAGTAGCCAAAAACCATTTGGGGGACTCCGCATTAGCCATCCTTGTTGTAAACCAGGCGAGGGAGAAACCTTTGGGGGCCCCCAGAAGTTGGTGGATTGCCGCTCCCATCTCCTCCTGGCTGGAAGCCATGCTGGCTGCTGGGACTGGTGGAAGTTGCAGTTCAGCAGCATCTGGAGGGCCACAACAAATTGCCTCCCCACCTGCTTTAAACAAACCTCAAACAGAAGGTTCTGTATGAGGGTGAAGGAACCTCTGGCGCTTTTGTGACCCAGCTTAGCTCCTTTGAATCTGTGCTGCATCTGGAGGTTGGGGAGCAGGCAATATGGAGATGGGGGGAGGGTGCATCCAGGATGGTCCAGGTCGAACTTCAGACCCTAGAGCTAGGATGATGTTTGGACGCAGCCTTCTAGCCTTGGGGGTGGGGAACATTTTACAGCAGCGCTGCTTCATGGGCAGCCTTCCAGGGACCCCATGCCAGTGGTGGGTGGGTCCAGAGACAAAAGTGGGTGGAGCAACTGGTGTGACTCTTTGTTAAATATGCTACATTTGAATAGCGGGAAAAGTCAGAGGTTCACACGCAGACACCTCCCTCCCTCTCTCTCCATCAAGGCAAGCAAGAAGCATTATATCCCAGTTCATGGGCACAGCCTGGGGTGGGGGGGATGCAGCCTGGGGAAATAGGGCATGGCTTGGGGAGAATCTCAAGGGCCAGGTAAAGGCACCTGAAGGGCTTCCTTCAGATCCCAGGAGGCCTATGGTTCCCCATTGTGGATGCAGGCTTGAGCATCCCCCAAAAGGCAGCCTCTGCTTTGGAAGGTGTGCACTAAGAGGAAGAGCCAGCTGCCTCCTCTGGGGGCAGCCACTTCCACTGCTGCACAGCCCTCATGGTGCATGCTTCCTAATGCCTGTGTGCTGCATTTCAGGAGGCAATCACAGAGCAGCGGCAGGCCCTCACCTACCTGCTGCAGCAGCTGCTGAAGGAGAAGAGGCAGCGGGAAGAAGAGCTGCAGGCCATCTTGGTAAGGAGACAACTCACCTGTAAGCGGGGCTAATTCTCTCTTCCACTCTCTCTCTCTCTCTCTCTCTCTCTCTCTCTCTCTCTCACACACACACACACACACACACACACACACACACACACAGAGACTGGCTCAGCCTTCTGCCCGTTTCCACACATGGTGGCTTTGCCCCTCTCTCAGAGGTGCTTTGGAGGAGGCCAGGTGTCAAGCTACACTCCTGGAATCAGCAAAAGCTGCACATGGTGATCCTTTGTTTGCTTGTATATCCCACCTTTCCCCCCAAGAAGCTCAAGGAAGGCATGCATTTGAACCCTGGTCTCTCCCAGATCCTAGTCCAACACTCCTAACCACTACACCACCCTGGCTCTCTGTTTTTCTTCCTTGCAGAGGGAGCTGGAAGCTAAGAGTGAGACAAAGCAAGAGAACTACTGGCTGATTCAGTACCAGCGGCTTTTGGACCAGAAGCCCCTTTCACTCCGGCTGCAGGTGACTGGCTAGCAGAAGTGCTGGGGTGGAGAAGGTTGCCTCTTCCGTGGGCTTCACTGGGTCTGGCAGCCCCTTATGGTTCTGGCCTCCTCTTTCACCTGTGGCAGGTTCCAGGCTTCCTGGGTCTGGGTTTCCCAGTCAAGAGGCCACCTGGTAACACTGCTGTCCTTTTTCTTTGAAGGAGGAAGGACTGGAACGGCAGCTCGTGAAGCTCCTGGCAGACCTGTCAGCCGACCAGTACACGCCCGTCTTTGCACATCACCGGATCTCACTCAAAATGCTAAGCGCCATGGTCCCAAGTGACTTGGCCAAGGTATGTGGGGAAGGTTAGAGCAGGGGTGGGGTGGGGAACCTCAGGTCCAGGGACTGGATGCTTCCTTTAGGGCCTCTCTGTTTAGCCCTCAGAACTTTCCTCTGGGCTGCACCACTGGAGGCTGGGCACGTGGGGTGCTCCTCCCCAGCTTCAATCTGCCCTCACTCAGCCAGCCCCCACTTGCATACCTTCTCACAACCAGTCCAGGGGGTGGAGGTGGCACAACCTCTCACCTTCACCCTGCTCTTAAGTCTCAGGGTTGCTCCTTGCAGGGAGGAGGATGGGGACAACCTTCAAATGAGTTGATTCTGCCTGCGATTGGCTCTGGCTCTGCCAGGCATGAGCTGGCTCTGCCTACTGTTTGGGCTCCCTGCCAGTCTCGATGGGCACCTGCCACCTTTCACTGGACCGGACCATAATTTGTACTGATATAGAAGTTCCACACACAGTAAAATGGATAAAAGTAAACCTGGGAGAGAACCATGCTGTTCAGAAGGCTCCTTTCTGCGCTCTGCCATTTGCTTATGTCCTCTTCCAGATGGGGATCACAGAGACAGGCCTGCAGCACTCCATCATCCGGAAGGCACGAGAGATCCACGCCGTGGCTGAAACCATCCCAGGTAACTTGCTGGATCCTCTCTCCTAAGGACATAAGCTGTCTTGTATAGTTGGAGCAGGGATTGAGGTTTGGCACAAGCTCCATTCTCCTTGCCATCTCTCATGAGCTTGTTGGGGGGGGGGGTTGGCATTCTTCCACTGCCTTTCAGCCCAGCTCATCAGCAAAGCATCCACTCTGCATAAAAGTGCTTGTTCTCAGTGCCCAGCTCCTTCCAATTGCTTGCAGAGTTGCTGAAGCCTACAGAAGAGGCAGAGCTTGCTACTCCGGGGACCAGCAGAGAGCCCCCCACCGCCATGGCTCCTTCTGCCCCACCACCAGAAGAGCACCGCTGTGAGTGTGTGGTCTGCATGGAGCGAGAGGTAGGTTGACCTCCACCCAGGAGCTTTGAAAGCTTAACGTGCATGTCAGGCAGAGTCAGTGGTCCTCAGAGGCATCAGGGAATTAGCGTGACACAATGGAATGCTACTCCATCCCTATGCCAAGGCTATAGAAGGCCTTCCTAAGACCCATCAATCCTAATCTGTGATGTTTCTCAAGGCCTGATCCAACAGGGATCCTCTGATGATGTTCTTATCTTGTGCCTGAACTTGCTTTTTTCCTCCTCCTTCCCATCCTTTTTTCCTTGTGTGTCATGTCTTAGATGTCAAACCTGAGAGAAGAAACTGTTTTGTTTGTCAGATGCTCTGGCAGGCTTTGTTGTGGAGGGATGAGGATGAAGCGCAGGATCAGAATGCTTTGGAATAAAACCCTGATCTCTGATGACATGTGTGCAAGGGGCAAGTGGCGAGGAGGCCCTGCTGTTGGTAAGAGATGTGGTCCTAGCATTTGCCTCTTCCTCTTCTTCTTCTCTTTCCCCCAGGCCCAGGTGGTATTCCTGACTTGTGGCCATGTCTGCTGCTGCCAGACCTGCTCCGAGGCCCTGAGCACCTGCCCGCTGTGCCGCAAGGATATCGTCCAGCGCATCCGTCTTTTCCACAGTGGATAGCCCCACATGGGGACAGCGTCACTCCCATCATGTGCCCGCTTCTTCCCCCTCAACCTTGCGCACTGGGTTGCCAGGGGTGGGGTGGGGTCAATGGTTCTTTTGGCGTGCTGTGTAGGCGAGTCCGGGATATGCACTACCTCCTTGCTCTTTGTCTGCGTAACCATCACCATCCTCTGCTCACAGAGCATGGCTGCAATTCTCCCCCTCCCCAACTCTCAGCTGTTGGCTTGTAGCTACTCTAAGGCCAAGATGGAGGCACATCTCCAGGCTGAGGGCAGAACGGTGCTTGCAGTTCCTGAAAAGCTACCCTCACGTTTTGGGGAACAGGCAAACACCACATCTTCTCTGGCAGCCTGGCAGGGGTTATTTAAAGATGCCAGTCCCAACCTATGGGCAGAGTGGGTTCTAGGAGCTTCAGTACAGGAGAAGAGAGTCCCTGCTGTCTGCCCGCCTAACGAATCAGGGCTGGCGTGTGTGTGTGTGTATATATATATATGTATTTCTGTGGCTGAGTTTTAGGCCACTACTGGCTGAGCTGTAGCAGCACCCAGTGGAGCAAAAGTGCCTGGAAGCTGTCCCATCTGTCACCCTGGGAGAGAGTGGTTGGTGATTCCCAGCCGTCTAGCATCCAGCTCCCAATCTGTACCACTTTGAACTCTTTCCAGGCCAGCGTTTTAAAGCTGCCACCCCCAACCTGGTGCCCTGTAACTGGGATGACTGCATTAAGGACCCCACAAAGGGTGGGTGGGTAAGTCAAGCAAGAGCCCTGGTTGGGTGGAGGTCTCGTCCCACCCACTACATGTTTTTTGCTAGTGGAGTATGTGTGTGTTTGGTTCATCATCCCTCTCGGTTCATTGGTCAGTAATTGACCTTGATAGTCTGCCAAGGCAACATCTCCTCCAGAAGAAACCAGCCTCCACCCGGTTTTGCTTGGCAGGTTTCCTGGCAGGAGAAAGTGGACACTCGTATTTGCAACTTCCAAGAAACAGGCCCCTGAGCCTTGTTCACTGCCTGACTGCTCACTCACACTCATCGTCCTGTGTTCTCTTGGAGCCAGGTGAGTGAGGAAACCTTTTGGCTTCTTCTGTCATTGCTGAACCACGACTCCCATCTTCCTCAGCAAGCGTGGCCAGCACCCAGGGATTATGGGAGTTGTAGTTCAGCCACAACAGGACGGCCAAAGGCTCCCTACATCTGAACTACAGGACGGCCAAGAGGTGAGGTCTGTCCTTTTTAGCAAAGTCAGCTAACATGAACAACAGTACAGTGCTTTATTCTATCAGTTTTCTCCAAAAGGATCTGCAAATATTTTATAACTAAAAAGTAAAATGCATCAGAAGAATGAACTGTTGTTTTGCCTGCCAGGAAGCCTTAGTCCCAGTGCAGGTGTGGAGATTCTTTGCCACTCCAAATGAGACTGAATTACAGCTCCTGTCATCATCCTTGGCCTTTGGCCATGCTTGCTGGGCCTGAGGGGAGCTGTAGTTCAGCAATGTCTGGGGAGTCTAAAGTTCCCTCACGCTTACAAGGAAAACTTACAAGGAAAATCAAGAGGGGAGAGATTGGCAGAAACCTTATGGAAGGAAGGCTTTGCCTATGCCTAGTCATGGAGGCTGTGCCTCAGTAATCCGTCTCCACCCACCTACCCACAATTCCTTGCTCAGGGTGATTTGTTCCCCTTCCAGATAAGGGATAAGGTGCCTTGAGTCCCTGTCAGGAGAAACAGCAGGGTACAAATATAGAACAGAACCACAGAATTGTAGAGTTGGAAGGGACCTAATCTAATTCAAACCCCTGCAATGCAAAGATCTCGACTAGATCATACACGACAGATGGCCATCTAACCTCTAATTTAAAACCTCCAGTGAAGGGTGAGTCCACAGCATACTGAGGGAGACCATTCCACTGTTGAACAGCTCTTAAATGTCAGAAAGTTCCTCCTGATGTCAGAGTTTCCTTTCTTGAAGCCACTGGTATTTGTGGGGGCTGGGTTTTAATAGGTAGCAGAGGATATATTAATTGCAATTTATCCCTCCACACACCCATGTTTGTGGGCTGAAACAAAATAAAGCATAGGAATTAGTCTATAAAACTTTGTTTTGAGCAAGTCCAGCTAACAAAGTAAGCTGGCTTCCCCCTTCTTACCCCACTTAAACAAAAAAACAGGCAGCAACTTGTAAAGTAAGATTTACTTACTTTATAATCATGCATGGGTTCACAGCAACAGTAGCAGAAAAAACCATGCAGGCAAAATACGGTATATTTACAGTATAACCAGCTTCATGCATGTGCCTAAAACTCGAGCTAGCAGAAGCATGTCTGCATCCATCACTAGTCAAAGGGAGAGCGAGAGCTACATGAAGTACTATATGCTTCCTATCCAGGAGAGGAATGGAAACAACACCACACAGCCAATTATATTTCTATGGTCTGAGGTCTATGGCCTTTCAGTAATACACCTCTGTGGTATTAACCTCTTCTCATACTAACTAGCAAGAATGTGCATTTGTTAGGTTTGTCTAGCAGACAAACGTCTCGTGGCTTTTGCAGTTTGCAGATGGCTATAGCATCTCCTCTCAGTCTCTTCCAGGCTAAATGTACCCAGCTCCCTCAACCATACCTCATTCAGCAGCATATGGAGGGCCAAAAGTTCCCCACCACCAGGTTTCCCAACCCTAGTTTGATGTTTCTGGGCCGCAGCATGGGATTGTGCTGGCTTCACCCGTCTCTCACATGCTGCTGTGCTCCCATTGCCACCACATCTCCGAAGAACCCCGCTGGAAAATCAGGGGCAAGGCCAGACAGACCTGTGTGGCAGTTGGTGTGCAGTGTGGGCAGCACAGATTAGTTGGGGGTCTGGGCCCTCCCAAAGCAGTGGAGGAGAGATGGGTCACTGCCTGGGCATTTGCTGTGGGGTGAGGAGCACAGCAAGGCCTCCAGGGAGGGTTTCTCAGTCTTGTGCCTTGGGGTCTAGTTTTGTGGGATTGCAAGTGGTAGGCCATGGGGTGTGAGGAGCCTGTGGTCCCTTAAGCTGTTGCTGGACTCCTACCCCCATCAGCCTTAGCCAGCATGGCCAACAGCAAGGGATGATGGGAATTGTAGTGCAATGCACTCTAGAGGGCCAAAGGTTCCACAGCTCCATGTCAGGTGAGCCATACCTCTTCTTCCTATACTCCTCCCACCTCAAGACAAAGCCAATTAGCTTTGCTTCTGAAGACATACCTTATAGGGAAATTTTTTATGTTTGGTGGGTTGCAAATAAATAATAAATTATTACAATGTTATTTACCAGTCAATGGGTCGGTGCTTCAAAATCGCCTTCCCTTCCCATCAAGAACCGACCCTGAGGCCTGAGTTCGAATCCCTCTACTCACAAGTTCAGGGTGCCTATGCTGGGACCTTCACTTTCTCCCAAAGAACCTTGCACACCGTTGCCCCTTTCGGTGGGTGCAGAGAGGCTCTCCTTTACCCTCCACCCACTCACAGAGCCAAAATTTGCAGAGGTGCCCTGGGGGGAAGAAGACACCATTACAGTGGTACCTTGGTTTACGAACTTAATCCATTCCGGAAGTCAGTTTTTAAACCAAAACCGTTCTTAAACCGAGGCGCTCTTTCCCTAATGAGGCCTCCTGCTGCTGGTGCCCTTCCACTGTTCAGATTCAGTTCTTAGACCGAGTTAAAGTTCACGAACCAAGACACTATTTCCGGTTTTGTGGAGTTTGTAAACCAGACTGTTCTTAAACTGAGGTACCACTGTACACGTAAATCAGATATAGGCCTATGGCCCACTTTTGCTTTGCCCTTGTTAGAAAGGATCATTGGCCTCTGCCAGGGACTCAGGCAGTGGCTTAGCTGGAGCAACGACCCCTTTGCCATCATTGCACGTCTTGCACGAATCTCTGTTTCCCCCAGTGTTGGTCTGTTTTTATGTGATTGTCTCACATGTATCTAGCAGAGAAATAAAAACTGGGTATGAAGCTCAAACTGCATTGTCTCTTCCTGTTCCCTTAGGGTAGACGGATGGGCAGGTATCCAATGGTTGGCAGAACCCCTGGAACAGATTTAGGGTACACACTGGGCAAAGGGAGGGGGGAGAAGTTCTTGAACATGCATGAAACCTTGTACTAGCTGAATTAGTTACCTAGTGCTACATTGGATGCAACTGCAGAAAGAGGAGTGCTTGAAGTGGTTCCCAAACTTTCCCCCTGTGGACCACTTGAAAAGTGCTGACAGTCTCAGTGGACCATTTAATGGTCTTCCTGCCTGCTGTAGCAGCTGTAATGCATGGTGCTGTACATTTTTTGTTGTGTTTATATTGCTCCTTTTGTTTCTTGCATTGTATTTTATTGCATTTCAATTTGAATTCAACCTGTGTTTTATGGGCCAACTGAATGAACTTCATGGAGCCCAGTTTGGGAACCCTTGGCTCAGAGCTGAAGCATTTTATGGGATAATCCATGAGATTGATAGTGAGGCTGAACTTTAAATGAATAAATTGTAAAAAGGGAAAAAGAATTATTTATTTCATGGCTGAGGAGCTAGCTCCCCTTCCCACCTCCCTGGTCTACCAGAACCAGAAGTTATGGTATGAAGAGGGAGGAGCAGACAAAGGCATGTCAGCAGAGTCTCAGATTGCTTTAAAAGAATCCAGGGAAGGAGGAAATTTAGGCAGCTGTGGGAAGGTGGGGGACCTTCAGGCTCCCCAACTGCCTCAGGGGCATGACCTATTAAGAAGAGTTGCTGTGCTCATTAGGCCTGGCATCCCAAGCAGGCCTTTTTTCTTTTATTAAAGAGTTAACTTCACTTACTCCATATTATTTCTTGCTGGCTGGCTCCCTGAGAATCAACTACCACAGAAGGAGCATGGTGTGTCCTCCACCAAAGTACTACCTCTCCTCTAACACCCCCCACACTAATATCACACACATAGGCACTGTCCAGGAATCAAAATGGCACCCAACGTCCAAACATCAGTGAAGACCCCCCCACACACACACACCTTGAACACTCTTGAGCTGAATCTAGCGATCATATCTCTACTTGTGGCTTACCATGTGCCACAAAATGGGCAAAGTCATGCCAAACTGAAATTTCAGTCTGCCATCTTGATTCAAAATGGCACCCAACATACAAACAGCAATAAGGTCTGCCGCCCCACCCTGGGAACCCTCATGCCAAGTTTGGTATTATAGATGGAGAGTTGTCCAATTGCATAAAGGGCAAATGGGCAAACCATTTCCCAAAATATCAATCAAGTCAACATATTCCTCCAGCATGACATAGAAAAAGTGTGGGGGTGGGGTGGGAGGGAGAGTTGGAATTAATAGATGGCAGAAAAAGCCAGTGTCTTGTCAATTTCATTTAAAAGCTGTTAAATTTTGACTCCCAGCTTTTGGGAGGGGTTGGGAAGCTGCATCAAAGTTGCTTGACCACGTTCTCCCAGTTTTTCACGCTTGGTTGGGAAGCTGGACTGTCCTCTTTTTTCAGGTGCCAAGCACCACCAACTGCCCTTTGCCTCAGGTCCTCACTGCTGTTTACACAAAGATGCTAAAGTTGTCCTCCAGCCAAGCCAGAGAGTACAACAGTTGCAGCTGGGAAAGGTCGTCCTGTCAGCCACAAAAGAATAATGCTTACTTAAGGGGTGTGTCTTATTTTGCCTGGAATGCTCCTCGTTGCTTGTGCCCAATCGATGTGATTTAACTTTCCAGCAGTTGAAACTGGTTCATGAGGCCGAATGGCACACTGCCCCACCAACCTCAGCCTGCTCTCAGTCTGTCCCCACCTGCCTTCCTCTGCTCTCCTCTCTCAATTGACCTCCATCTCCAGGCCACCTCGTGACATCACCAGGAACTGCCTTTGCATCTCAGGTTTGGGCACCTCGATCACAATGCCTATCCATCCTATAGTGGGATGAAGCCAGACAAGACAGAGGGGTGTATTTGATTTGACTCAGGGACCAAGGAGCTGTAAATACTTTCCTTTGTACTGGGATGGGAGTAAGTGTCAACGACTATATTTGCGTGACAGGGGTATGCCTGGATCTCAGGTTCTACCCGAGACCACACCTTTTCTGTGACAGATCTATGATGTCTTGATGATGCATCCTGAGATGTATTATGGGAAACTTTAAAATATGGATGTAACAATTGATGGGGGCTTCTGGCTGCTTTGTCTTTGTGGCAGTGGGAAGTCTTGTTGCAACAAGAAAGATCAGGCCTACTGGCTGCTGTTTTGTTTCTATCACCTGGCTAAAGTCTCTTGCTTGTGACGCTCGACCTGAACTTATAGAAGTCAGGGTTAGGTGATTGTGGGGTGCTCCAAGGACTCCCTCTTACACCTGAAATGGCAGGGTCTGAACTGGCAACCCTGGGGAATAACCTTTGCTGTTATGTAAGTTTGGAGTGTGTGACAGGTGGGGTGTGTGAAAGAGAGAGATAAAAGCTGTGAAGCTCTTTTGTACAATAATTATGTTGGAAGCAGGGCTTTTTTCAGCTGGAACTTGCTGGAATTCAGTTCCGACACATCTCAGGTGGGCGCTATCACTGGCAGAGGAAGGGGGGTGCAGTGGGTGTGGCTTGCCCCAGGTGTCATCCCCATAGCTGTCAACTTTTCCATTTTTTTAAGGGAAATCCTATTATTCCAAATAGGATTTCCCTTTAAAAAAGGGAAAAGTTGACAGCTATGGTCATCCCTGAGGGGGGGTGACATCTCTGCGCCGCCTCCCTGGGACGCTTCGCTCCATCCCTGTGGGCGGCTAGCCCTGCTCCAGGGTGCACAGCATGTGCACCGCTCCAGGTGCTGGAGCAGCTAGCTCTGCCTCTGGGCACCATTGCCATTCTAAGAGAATGAGGGAGGTGTTCACGGTGAGTTCTGGCACATCTTTTTCTAGAAAAATAGTACTGGTTGCAGAACCTCCAAGTGTCCATATTTACCAGGAATGTGTAGGAATGTTCAGGGAGGTAGGAGAGGATATATTGTTTAATGATTTCCTTTTTGGAGGAGGAAAACAAGGAAGAAAAAAAAATTCTCAGAAGCCAGAACAGCAAGAGGGATCGCTATGCAGTGAAAGCAGCAATCCCTCTTGCTGTTCTGGCTTCTGGGATAGGTGCACAGCCTGCATTCGCTCCATAAGACGCACACACATTTCCCCTTACTTTTTAGGAGGGAAAAAGTGAGTCTTATAGAGCAAAAAATACGGTAAGTGCTGGCCATCAGGGCTGGAGTGGGCAGAGCTTTGGTATCCATATACCACTGTGTCTCTCATTTATTTGTCTGACAAATAAATTATTATTTTAATTTCTCTATTGCTGCGTTGAATATTTCATTCCAGCTAAGCGTTAACCACAAGCAGGGTGCTACAGTATAGGGAAGTTTGTTTAATGTTTTATGATGCTTTTATATATGTTGGAAGCTGTTCAGAGTGGCTGGGGCAACCCAGTAAGATGTGTGGGGTATAAATAGTAAAATTATCATTATGGAATGGGAAGTCCCTATTTTCATCGGAGAAATGTTGGAGGGCATGTGGTTGAAGGAAGTAGCATGCTCTTGTTTTTTTAAAATCTGTGAAGCAATGTGATAGGAATTTTATGGTGTTAGATATATGGTAATGTTCATAAGTGTGCCAACCAAGCACATACATAGATCAGCACAGGAAGACCACCTGGAACCATTTTGATTCCTAAACTGAGTAAATGTTTTCTTTACAAGGTCAAAGTGGGAAACCTCCCCATTGTCTCTTTCCTCACAAATCCTGTCTTAAGGGCACATTTAAGATATGAATAGGGTGTGAGCCTGTGGCATGGCCCAGGAACTAAGTATTTATCACTACAAAAGAATGGCCAGGCTCCCCAGGCAATCCAATCAAGTAACCTGCCAGACAGGAGATAAACAAGGACAGGAGAAAAACAACATTCAAATTTTCTGTTTTAGACCACCTTTTTTGTGATGTAGGTATGATGTATCTGAAGGGTGGTCTTAGGTTACACCCCTTCTGTGATGTATGTATGATGTTTTTGGGAGTGGTCTGGATCTACAGGGTGGCAATTTCAAAAGTCTTTATAAGGCCTTGTGCGCCATTGTTCTGGGTTCTTCCTCCTTTCCTGCGTGTGAGGGGAGCACCCTGTTGCAAACAATCAATAAAGATCAAGCTTACTAGCTGCTTTGCTTCTCAATATTCTCTGGTTGGCCTCTGTTATTTTCTCCTACCAATAGGGAACCTATGTAAGGACTCTATATGGGCTCTTGGATTACCCCATAAGGGAAAAGGGCAATTTTTGTTTACAACAGCAATGAATGATATTCCTAGGCTGGCATGCCTCACAGCCAGTTCCCAGCACTGACCCCACCCCAGCTCCATGGAGAGAGATCCCTTCACAAACAAAACAAGCCGGTTTCTGTTAACAAGTCATCAATTAAGGATTAAAGTTCAGCCTTGGTGTCGCTTTAGAATACAAAGATCCCGCCCTTATCTGCCAGCCAGCAGCCCTCAATTAGCACACTGGGGCACTGCCCCTGGTATTTAGCTGGGTCAGAAGTCTTTGAAAGCCACCTGGAAGGAGTCTGTCCCTGGTTTCCAAACTATTTGAGCTGATAGACAGGCAGAGGGCTCCTCAGTCTCAGGGGACTCTGGCTTTGTGGTCTTGGGGTTCTCAGTCAGAATCCTGAAGCAGGGGAGCTGGCAAAGAAACCATCTCAAAGGCAGTAGAAAAGAGAGGAGATGGCGCTTTTGCTTCCTGCCATTGATTTGCGGCCAGAAGCACGTATGGTAGAATGTGGGATTTGCTACGAGGCCTACAAGGAGGCTTCGAGTGGGCAAGTGCCAAAGTTGCTGTGGTGCTGCCACTCGCTCTGCCTAGCCTGCCTGAGGAAACTGGTTTGCCAGAACACGGCCTTCTCCTTCGTGGTCTGCCCATTTTGCCGCATGGTGACCCTTGTGCCGGAAGCGGGGCTCCAGGCCTTGAGGAACGATGAAGCCCTTCTGCGTGAGATAGCTCCTCAGAGAGAGTGGAAGTTGGAGGACAGAGAGGAACTGGGAGACAGCAAAGACTCCCCGGGTGCCTTGGACCTGCCTCTCAGTGACTCAGTCCTGACTCTGGACATGGAGTTAAACTACCGGACCGGCTCTCCTGTCTTCACTGTCAGTGGCATTGTGCCGGTGTATCCAGCAACGGGTTTCCATTCAGTGCCGGGCTTCCAGAGTTGGTTCCATGTGCAGGAAGTGCAGAACCCTGTCTTGGTAGAGCTTCCCCACAGAGCCTCCTCCCGAGACTCTGAGGCTCCTGCGTCTGTGGAGAACTTGAGGCTTTGCTTCGCCGTGACCATCATTCTCCTCATTGTCTCAGTCTTCTTTGCGCTGGTCTTCTTCAAGTAGGGAGGCTGGGAAGGCAGCCTGGGGAAGACATGTTCTCTGCCAAGAGGAAGAGGCACTTTGTGGGTCTTGGTACACAGAGACAATTCTCCCCAGAGATGCCTGCGTGGTACCATATTTACATCTCTTCAGGTGCCAGGCAAAAACGTTCCTTTTTAACCAGGCCTTTGGCTTTTAACTATCAATGGCTTGATGGTTTAATGTACTGTATTTTTCTTTCCCCCCGGTTTTAACATACGTATAGGGTTTTTATGCAAGTCATTCTCTAAGCTGCTCTGAGTTGCCAAAAGGAGAGGGATACATTTAATTAATAAAAATAACAATAGTAGTTTAGGCATCTGTATGCAGCTTTCCAGCAACATTTCTTTTTTTAAAATCCAATGCTTTCTCAGGATTGTGGTTTAGAATTACTTGGGGGTTTAGAGAAGTTTTATCCAGCAGCCCCATCCCTAATGGTTTTACTCAAAACAAGCCCTGTTGGTTTACCATGCATTAGGTGCTGACAGTACGCTTAGGATTGCAGACTTTCTTTGCAATGGCACCAAGGTGCTGCCAGCAAACCCAGCTTTGATCTAGCTGCATGGGTCATACAAGGCATATTGTAAAGAGCCCAGCTGGCTTCCAAAGTGCTTTGCTTTCATCTACCAAGAAGCAAAGACAGACAGCTATTGAGGGAAAATATTGAGTGAATCGGCAGCGTCATAATCCCAGACATTCCAAACAGTGCTGGTTTGCCCAGGAGGCAAAGTGAGGCAACCGCTTAGGGCATCAGGATCCACAGAGGCAGCAAATTCAACCTTCAAGGAATGCATCTCCCACTGCTGCTGCTGTGGTGAGAGCAACAGCTATGGCTCACTCCTTCCTGCTCTCTGGGGTCTCCTGCACTCTGCACCCAGCCAACGTGATTCAGAAAGTGTCCCTTTCCTGCCCATGATGGCCTTTGAGTCCTGCTTCAGCAGTTGGGTAAGATTGCTTTGATTCCCTCACTTGTCCCAAAGGTAGATCTTTCTTATTCTTATTCTTTTTCCTGATGCAGAACTTCACTCACCCCTTCTTCCCTGGCCAGGGGGTGGCACTATTTGTGGTTCACTTCAGATGCCAAAATGTCTTGGGCTGGCCCCAATTCCAAAATACAGCATAGCGAACAAGAAAAGGTGATCTGGGTCCAGATTCTAAGCAGCAGGAGAGGGAACCGGCTTTGTAATCAAGCAACTCCTACCCAGGCTTGGTGTTTTGGTGATGTGACAAGCTCAGGTTGAGTGTAGCCTATGGCAGCATTTGATAGGAGAGGCCATTTCATCCCTGCCATGATCTCTTGACCTATAGCTATCTGACCATCTGTCTAGGTATATGTATGGTACCAGGGTTTGCAAGCCCTAATGAACAGTTGAAGGCAGGAACTGGAAACTGCCATTAAAAGTTGCAGCATTTGCAAGTTTTTCATGTAGGGAAAAGGCAAGTAAGAGGTGACAAAATTTTTCTCCCTGCCTCATAATACTAGAAGTCATAGGCACCCAATACAGCCAAATGTCAACAGATTCAAGACATACAAAAGAAAGTACTACTTTACACAGCACATCCTTAAACTATGGTACCCATTCCCACAGGAAGCAGTTAGGAGATCCCTGAAAGAGCTTCAATTGCCTGGCTGTTTTGCAACAAACCCCTTTTTCACAGGGAACTCTGCCCACTGTTGCACTGTGAACAGAACAACGGGTCTCCTACAGTTCCCAGAAATAACTGTTGCTGCATCAGAGTGCTTTAAATGCAGGTTGTGACTACAGGGGTGTGTCAGGCCAGTTCTTACGGACTCCTTAATTTCAGGAAAGGGGCTCCACAAAATTGCTCTATCCCCAGTGTGAGGTTTGCCTGCCTCCCTGATCATCAGCATTCCAGGAGGTACTGAAACACTCCTGTTGATATCTTGATGAGAGGTGGCTAATACAAAAAATGTTTTTAGGTGTTCTAAATTTTTGTGTGTCAGTTTATTGCCTTGTTGTCTGCTGTACTGGGCTCCTTTGGAAGGTGGGATAGAACTGTAATGTAATAAATAAAAAGTGTTCACTTTTGCATTTTATGTAATCTTTCACATGCTGTAAAAGCTGCTTTGTGGAATCTATCTAAACATCAGGCCTCATTCCAGGCTGGCAAACAAAATCCCAGCTCAGTGAATGTATGAAGTAGAGCCAGTGAGGGGGGTGTACTGAGGAGATTCAAGGGGATCAGAAGGAGGACTGCAGGTGGCCCCTGGGAGCCAGAGCTTCCCCTTCAATCACAGAAGCTGCAGCAGATTGGTTCTGGTTGTTCTAGTAGGAAAGACTAGAGCTAGCGATCAGAGGTAGCAGACAGCTTACAGCTCAACTGGGAGAATCTTCAAGTTGTATTAGCTGTTCAGTGGTGGGACTACCTGCCTCAGGATGGGGTGGGCTCTCCTTCCCGGGAAATCTTTATGCAGAGGCTGGATTGTGGGGGAGATTGCAGTGGCCATGGCTTCCTGCATTGCAGGTGCTACACTGACGGCCTCCAAGTCGAGATGAGGACCAAGGCACTGCCTTGTGCCTATCCTGAGTTCACCATTCAACCTTTAGGCAAGCCACTCTCTGTTTCAGCCTCCCCATCTGCAATTACTAATTAGAGATTACTAATACTGGTCTCCCTCACAGGACTGGTGTTAATTCTTACTGTATCAGGTGTATGTATGTGAAGCACCTAAGGTGCCCTATAAATAGTGAGTGGGTTTTTGGCATACATAATCATGCAAATACCCCTCCCCTTCTTGCCTTGCTAAAGTGAAAGAACTGAGGCAACAGGGTTAATTTATTTTAATTGCACTTTATTATTATTTTCAAGATCCAGTTTTGTCAAGGTTCAAAACTGGAGGTGAGCTATGGCAATAGGTTAAGTTTGGTTTCCACAGGGAGGAGCTGTTCAAGGTGATACCCATTGCTACTCCCAGCAGCAGCTGGGTCAAAAGTGTGTAGGGTACAGGTGTGTTCGGCAGTGGTGAATTAAATAGTCAGTTCTTTGAAGCCAGACAAAGTCCCAAATTGACATTTGCTACCGAGAGAGCGATAGAGTGTGTCACCCCGCTTCCTGCCAGCAGCCTCAAAAACCACGAGTCAAGACGACCTCAGCCCAAATGAGCAATCTGGGGAGGCTCACAGAAAAACCCCATCTCCATCCAGATCAGCCCCAGATCAGAACACAAGGCACTGAGTACCATAAGACCCATCATAGGTACAGTTCCCATCCCCCTCCCGCCCTGGCACAGACTTGGAATCCGCTTCCATGGGGCTGGACGCTGGTCTTGGCTGTGAGGCTCCAGCCAAGTCCTGCTGCTTGTCGGCTACAGCAGCTTGAGAGGTGGGGCCAGCGGTGTGCTGACTTGCCCCACTCTCCTCCTTGCCCTCTGGACCCGTTGTGGGCCCCTCCATTGCAGGGGCCATCTCACCCGCCGCTGAATTTGGAGGTGCCAGAATGGCGGTGTCTATTGTGTCCATTTCTCCCTGAGTGCTTGGCCTCTCCTTCTCAGTACTGGCGGAGAGCCTGAGAGGCGGCCTTGCAGTTTGAGCAGAGGCTGCACGAGTTTGTTCAACCGGTGCTTCCGAAGAATGAGCCTCAGGAGCTGCAAAAAGCAGACTGTCTTGGGCTCCTTCGAGAGCCGTGAATGGAGGACTGCTTGAGCTTTCCTTCAGATTAGCCAAAGGAGCGGGGGATGCCACTGGTGCTGGTTCTCGGAGAGAGTTGCTGTGGGGATCCCCATAAAGGGGTGCGGCACTTGGCTGCTTCCTTTCCGCAGGCCCTTCCTCCTCGGTGCTGCTGCTCCCCCTTTGCTCCTCCTGACTCTCCAGCAGCTGCAGAGTTGTTGTCTGGAACAAGTAGAGGGGAGGGGGGATTATTTGCCACAAAAAAGACTGCAGCCCCTGATGAAAGTACAGTGTAATGGTTGGTCTCTAGCCAGGACTCAGGAGACCAGGGTTTGAATCCCTACTCAGCCACACTGGCACAGCTAAGTGACTTTCACTTTGCAGTACCTTAGATACAACCTGTTATTTCTAGAGAGCTGGGCTTCACCCTCTTTGCCGCTCCCATGATTAGTAATATGGGGCTAAATGCCACCCCAATCTCTGACCGGTGCAAGACTGCAGGGGAATAGGCACTTAGTCTGTGTTTCCTTTGGAAATGAGGCACAGTGTAGACTGTGGTGTCATAATGATATATAGTTTATTTACACCTGAGCCTGTAATGGAGGGGGCCCCCAGCATACACTCCAAGAGAGTCCCGTTTTTCCCATTGCTGCAACCTCTAATTCAAACTGTCAGTCTGCATTGTGCTTTGATCCTGCCTCTCCAGCTTGCTGCATTTAACAGACTGAAAGGCTTTTTTCTTTTGATCACACCATAGCCAACTGAAATCCTAAAACTTCCTCCTAACCAAAACTTTGGCACTCTCTTCAAACTCATTATCTCAAAGCTCTGGGTGGGGCTTCACCCATCTGCTGGCTGGTAGAGTGTCTGTCTTGCTGATGGCCCATCTCTCTGTCCGCAGCACATACTGTATACTAAAATTGGATTGATAAAGAGGTTAGCATGGCCTCTGCAAATTGGTGAAGTGTTCCATTTTTTAAAGATGTTTAATGTTTGACTATGTTTTATATATGTGTTGGAAGCCACCCAGAGTGGCTGGGTATAAACAAAATAATCATCATCATCATCATCATCATCATCATTAGTTCTCTAATGGCCCACCTCTCAAGCGATCTCCTCAACACAGGAAGCTGAGTCCAGCTGTTAAGCGTCTGACTTTCAGTTTCACTCTCCAAGCAGTGATTAAATTCTAACACTTACTAAACCCAGTAGTTATGGGCATCTTGCACCCAAAACTCTGGCACCCAAACTCATGACATTTGGAACCATACAAAAAGGAAGAGAAATGATAGACCAGTTCACTCAATCTGCATCTTATTCAGGTGTCAGGATCCATCTGCCCTGGGCTGTACCTTGATGGTGTTCAGGACGATACCCAGGACCTCCTGGCCGGTATAGGACCCCTCCAAGTTGAACTGGCCCCGCAGGGACTGGAAGACCTTGTTCATGAGCTTCTTCACGTGGTCCAGGATGATGCCAAAGAGTCAGAAGGCAGGGAAGCAACACCAGAAAGGACAGTGAGCTTTCAAGAGCTTCTGGACAGCCAAATGTGGTGATGATTTCATTTATTCATTTATTTTACAACGAACATACATTATCTGGATAGCATCCATGTGCCAAGAGATGGATGGCATTGCATTGTGTGACCACAGTTCAGGAGCCCTTGTAATAAACAGTAAGCAGAGAGGCCTATGGCAGACATGAAAACCCAGCAGAGTGAGCAGAGGTGTTCCAAGGACAGGTGACTCCTGCCCATTGAGGTGGGTGGGGCATAAGGCAAGGAGCCCAATGACAGGCAGAGCCACATCCTGATTGGCTGTAAGGAAGAAGGCAAGCAAGTGGTGGCTGGGTGAGGGCAGTGCCCTGTTTGCCTAATAGACTAGCCTCCACTGACTGACCTCTTGGGGGCCGCCTGCCAAGAGTAAAAGTAGGTGGAGCAACACACATTAATTTGCCCACTTGTCCCTTTCAATCCTCCATTTAAGAATGAAAGAAGAAGCATGGTCAGGTTCAAGGGCATCTTCTAGGGAGGCAAAGAACAGTCAAGGGTGCAAAGCTGGGTGTGTGGTGGGGGCACTGGGATAATCCTAAGGATCTCAGAGTTTTCCAGGAAGCCACTTCTGGCCTTGGTGATGACTTTTGTCACCCCTGGGCACTACCTTATCCAGATTCTCAATTTGAACACGGTGATAAGCCAGCTCTACGTCCAGGCCTGCCACCTTCTCCTCCAACTGCATCGCAATCAGGTTCACCTCCTGGTATCTGCGTTTCAAGTCAGACAACTCCTCAAGTTCTGTGGAGGTGGGGCAGAGAGCCAGTGACAGATGAAGCCTGCGCCACAGTGCATGTCCCTGTTTCCATCCACTGCTGTAGCTAAGCCTAAGTACAGTGCCATCTGCACTATATGCTTTAAACACTCACAGCTTTCCACAAGACATTCTGGGAACTGAGAACATTCTCTTAAGGGTGCTGAGAGGTGGTGGGACCCCCGGTCTGCCACCACCCCCAGGTACAATTCCCAGGCTGTTAAACTATGCTGGAAATGGCTGCTTAAGCAGGGCTCTCCACTTCAACACAACTATTGGCAGCTGGAAAAAACCACACTTCCCAGGATTCCTTGGGAGAAAGCCATGACTGACTGCAGTGGTGGCATGATAATGCTGTATAGTGTGGATGGGGCCTCCGTGTAATTTTAAAGACATATCACATGTTTCTTCTCACTCTTACACCGCTCTGCTCTTGCATGCAGGGCAAGGAAGGTGCAGAATATGCACAAACCCATTTTCTATTATGTTACATTATGTTAATGTTACTTATTGTTTGTAAGCTGGAGATTCATTTCAACAAAAAGCAGCATAGAAATACAATCAATCAAGTTTGTAGAGATCAGAAGCTTGCCTTTTTAAAAAAGATGGAATTAAAGTGAAGAGTCTTTTTGGAGATTGTGTGTCTGAGTTTTTAACAGCCACACTGCAGGAGGCCCTAAGGAGCAGGACCTCCAGAGGTTGCTGGACTCCAGTGCCCATCATCAATGGTTACGCTTGCTGGGGCTCATGGGAGGTGAAGGCCAGTAATACTTGGAGGGCCACAGGCTCCCTACCAGCAAGCTAAATAATTTCCTAGGATGATAAAACTACTCTGCATGTGCTTGGATCGTGCTCTTCTGCCATTTCAGCGCCTCCTCTCAGCTTCCCTTACCTGCCAGCTGTGCACAGAGTCGGCTGACCTGGGCTTTCTGCCTCTCCGACTCTGTCAGGGCTTCATTCAGTTGGGAGTGGAGATCTATCTCCTGCTTCTGATGACGGGTCAGCTCCAGCTGGAGCTGGGAGATCTGCACTGTGGCTTCCGCTAGCTCCTTGGTGACCCTGACCTGCAACACAAAGGAGCAGAAGAGACAGAAGAACATATGGAGAAGGAGAGCCACAAGACCTTTCCTGGGAGGATGCAAGAGCTGTGCTTTTGGAGGCTCCCAAATGCTAAGAATGAGTCTCCCAGGAAACACCCTGCAGAACTGGTCTACTGGCAAGGCTATGAGGAGCGGGGGGAGGCAGAAGCCTTGGGCTTTTTAGTTAGTTCAGGAGAAAGCATGCACGACAAAGGTGCATAAAATGGAGAGCAGAAAAGATTTCCCCAGAAAATTCAGGACAGACAAAATAAAGGACATCTTCACATAGCAGAGCTCTCTCCCACAAGATAAAATGAAGGCCAAACAGTTAGATGGCTTTAGCAGCGGATTAGACAAAACAATGGGGCAGGAAAAGCTATACACAGCCAACAGCCACAAGGGCTAGGGGTCTCCCTCCACTGTTGGAGACAGCATGCTGTTCCTGGGAATTGCAAGTGATCCAGTGGCGGCATGTGCTAGAGAGAAAGCGGCGACAAGGAGAGGAGAGTTAACACCACCAGAAGCAAGAACAGCAAGAGGGGAGAAAGTTTTATCAAAAGAGGCAATGGCATTCTGGGTTAAGAGCACTCTGCTTATTCTGTGGTCCAAGGGCTGATTATATCACTGAAAATCCCTCGGCCTCAGGGTAAGATGCATGGAAGATCCCTTAATGGCGGGGTTTGCATGCAGATGCCCAAGCAAGAACAGGCCACAGCAAACCTGGATTTGCATCCTCTCCCCTTACATCTCCTCCTCTCATGCGGCCAGGAACCCTGACACTTATGCCTAGCCATGGTTTGCTGTGTTGCCTGGTACAACGAGCTGCAGCTAACATCAACTATGGTTAATATCAAACACACCAACTTCAAATGTTTGTTTCTATAAGCTAACTTCAGAAACTAATTCTACTTAACGTTAATGGCTGTTCTCAGTCCAGACAACAGAGGAAGCAGCAGTTACCTAGAAGTGGAAACTCTCACACCCTTCTTCTTGGCTGCATAGGAGGAAGTGAGGGGGACGTTCACTGTGCTTGCTCACATCATGTGAACCTGAGGTGCTTTTCAAAGGATTACCTGAAGCTTATGAATCTTTTACCTGTATGTGCATGTATACCTAGCCAATCGTTTGTTCTATTTTGTTGCTGCTGCTGCTCAGAAACGTAACTTCTTTCTGGCCTGCAGGCAAAGGGGAATAGTGACCTGCACTAGCGATTGTGAACTCAAGGACGGGATCCTGGGATAGCACTTGCCCTCACCACAGCCTCAGTCACTTGGCCTTCCTGTTGTGGCTGTCACACTGCCAGGGCTTACCTTCTCCTGTTCAGCATGTAGGACCCTTGCCTGGGTGTGCTCCATGGTCCTCTGCAATGAGCTGTTGCTCTGCTCAAATATCAGGTTGCTCTGCTCCACATAGCTGGGGAAGAATTGTTTTTTACACACGTGAATGTTTGCATGATTTGATACTTTCCATCCTCTCATGTAAAAAAAGAAATCAAGGCAGTATCATATGTAGATCTCACTTTTCAAAAGCCACCCTAGGAGAGCTTCTATCCTTTATATCAGAATCCTAATAGTTCTTATTTTATGTTCCATCTTTCCTCCAAGGAGCTCAAATACTGGTATATAGTTTTCCTCCCTTTTTTATCTTCACAACAAGCCTGTGAGGTAGGTTAGGCTGGGAGAGAGTGACTGGCCCAAGGTCACCTTCATGGCAGAGTGGGGATTGGAACCCTGGTCTCCTAGATCTTACTCTGACAGACCCTCTTAACTGCTACCCCACACTGGCTATATTCCTGTATTCCTCTATTTGTGCATCCAGCCCAGTACTGTCCACTTTGACTGGCAGCAGCCTTGGGATGCCTGGGGATTGAGCCAGGCCACCTGAGCTTTAGGCTCCCTGCAGTATGGAAGGAAGGGAGTTAACAAACCTGAGCATAGTAGGAAGAGTCTATTAAGGGGTAGGATACTCAACTGACCTTTGGGACTCTGCCTCGGCCAAGCCCCTCACCTACTCCACCTCATGACCTCCCAAAGGGAGCTATAGCCTGGCTGGAATGTGTCCTTGAACTGTGACAGTGCACCTTGCTTCCCTGGACAGGGAGAGGTGTGTGCAGAAAGAAGCCCCACATGGTGTATTTTCGGCTGCACAGAAGGCAGGAGCAGCATCTGTTGCTCTGTCCACTGGAGCCCCAGCCCAGCCCTGGAATGTGGCCCCTGCCAGGTTGCCTATGAGACAAGGTGGCCTCAGGATTCTTTGGAAGAAGCCACGGCTGTTGAAAGTGGCATGGCGCTATTTGGAACGTATGATTTACTATGATTTATTGAATTTGTATACCAGACTTCATCCGTAGATCTCAGGGTGGTACAGTGCAGATGGGTTCTGAGCTATGCAGCTGAGGTGAAGGCCGAAAGCCTCAAACACAGAGGTGGCAACCTATTTACTGCAGAGTTAGGATGTGACACCTGGGAGAATGGAAGGCTTAAAAGCTAAGGGCACCCTCAATTTATTTCTCACCCTGGCTTTGGAGCGGGAGTAGGAGGAGTCAGCCATGCTGGGTCTGTAGCAGGGCTTCCTGATTGTGGTGCTGGTGAAGGTGTGAGGGAGTCCCTGGGGCCCAGGTTCTGTCCGGCGGAGTCAGCGCCCTTTGCAAACCACACCTAAGGGAGCAAAAGAGGAGCATCATGGAGTCTGGTCAAGGCAACCACTGCCTCCATTTGTAGAACTTTATCCAGGCTGTAGACCAACCACCCAACCACCTTCTGAGGTTCTCTTGGTCGCTAACATGTTGGGAGGAAGACACACTCACCCGTTTGACTTCCACCTCAAAGGCCAGAGTTGAGTCCGGAGGAATGCGTTCAGCTTCTGCCAAAGGCCTGTAAGCCAATGCTGGTGGGATGAGGAGGAACCGCCTCCCTCCTCTCTTCATGCCAATCATTCCATCTTCCCAGGCCTTCAAGTTCCAGAAACGGAGAACCAAGCAGAAAACAAGTTTGGGTGACCGCCTTCGCTAAGTGCCAGAACCACACAGCCTTCGCCAACCTGACGTCGTCCAGATACCTTGGACTCCAACTCCAATCAGCATGCACTGGCTGGGGCTGATGGCAGTTGGAGTCCACAGGATCTGTGTGTGTGTTTGTCAGGTTGGTAAAGGCTGGTTGAGAGCAGGGCACAGGAATACTGACAGTTCTCTTGCAGTCTTGAGGAAAGTAGTTGAAAGCAGGGATAAAAACCATTCCCTCCAGGGCAACCTTCTTGGTGGGGAGGAGCATGCCAAAAGTGGGCGGGGCTAGAGGGGAAAGTGGGAGGGGCAATGAATGTAATTTTTACCTTTGTGCAATAGGCTACTTTAGAGACCCACTCACATTTCCCCCTCTGTCTCTCATCCAGGACAGCAAGAGGCAACATTGGAGGTCCAGGACATTTTTCTTCCAGGCCACAGAGGAGGCCTCCCACTCCAGCAGATCATGGCAGGCGTAGCTGCCATGGGACAGCTACCTGCCTGCGGTTCTTGAGGAAGCCATTTGATCTGGGTTTGAGCTCAAAAAACATCACTGCTATTCAACCTTCCACACAGCCCGGGCTGCTGAACTCTGCTTAGCTGTGGAAGTGGAAGAAAGAATCCTTTCAGTGCGGTGGGAAGATAGCGCCATCTTACCTTGATGACTTTGCCAGAGCCTAGCTTCAGACGGAGCAGCTTCTCTTTATTTACATTTGAGGCAAAAACCTGTTCCAAAAGTGGAAGGTCGATGGGGTGAAATTACTTTTAATGCAGAAGGTAATAGGTTCACGTTCCACTACTCCCACTGCTGAGCCAAGAGCAATGAGTATTGAAGGACAGGGCACAGCTCGGGGACACAGCACCTGTTTTGCAGGCAGAAGGTTCCAGGTTCAATCCTGGCATCTCCAAGTAAGGTCAGGGAAAGGCTTTTGCTTGAAAGCCTGGAGAGCTACTGCCAGTCAATGTGGGCGATGCCAACCTAGACCGGTGGCGTGATGCAGTGCAAGGCAGCTTTCCATGTTGAATCCCCTACCTAGCAGTGCCTCCCATGTTACAGATTGGGTAAAATGAGGTTGAGAAATAGGATCTACACCTTGGAGACAGGTGAAGCTCAGGGCCTAAGAGCATGTGCTTCCCAGGAAGAAGGTCCTGGGTTCCCTCCCCAGCATCCCCAGTTGAGAAAGGGCGGCAAGGCTGGGCAAGGCCCCACCTCTGGAGAGCAACCAATGCAAGCCCCATGGAAAAGCACTGGCTAGAGCTCATTGGGGTTGGGGTCAAATGCACATTGAGCTGTGAAGCAAGCTGGGTGAGTCTCATCAAGTCCCTCTCCTGTTTCATTTCCTTGCAATGTTATTGAAAGGCAAAAAGACAGGGTTGTGGGAGAAAAGGGCTGTATGCAATCTATAAACCAGGAGTGGGAAAGCTGTGGCCATGCAGTGCTGCTAGAGACTTCAACCCCCATCATCCCCAGACACCCCTCTGCCAGGTCTCACCTGCCCAAGACTACCGTTCTGGAACAGCCAGCCTGTAAAAGTGATCTCCAGGACATCTCCAGTCGCCACACCTTGGCCGTCTCCGAGAACAAGATCCTGGCACAGCACTGAGTCAGGAGAACGGCTGCTGTTATACTTGGCAATGCACAGCTGCAAAGAGGAAGAACCAAGCCATTTGTGTTATTAGCCTGCATTGTCATCCGCACCTATGCAATCTGGCCCAACGCAGCACTGGCTGAAGACCCCAGGGGCCTGAAAAGGCCCCAACTGGCTACACCACCATTCCTTGCCCTCCCTGGATGCTTCTTAGTGGTTGGCAGAGAAAGCATCTGGCGACTGATGCAAGAGAGCTGACCTCCCGCGAACACTAGTTCAGTGTCTGCAGGACAGCCACCCCCCACCCGACAATGCAGTGCACGCCTCTGGCACCTGCTTGCTGAAGTCCACAGCTGCCATTTCTGATTCAAACATGATGGACCAAATCTGCCTCTGATCATCATAAAATGTGTTGTAGTTGTTGGGATGCACCTGCAGAAAGAGAAAAGAGAAAGTGGAATTCTGAGCAGCAGACAGCCTCTGCTCAAAACAACTTTCTTAATGATGGGTCTTGCTAAAGACCTTGGGTTGTGTCCCAATGTTAGCCCTACTCAGAGCAGACCCATGAAAATTGATGGACATGATGAACTTTGGTGCATTAATTTCAGTGAGTCTACTCTGAGCACACACACACAAACATCAACGTCTGTAGTGTGTCATGTTTAGAAATGGAAAAATGCTATAGGATTTCGGGGTGGAGGGCTACCCCAAGGGATGTAAGCTACAGTAGGACAGAGGGCAGAATGTCATCTATTTTACTTTGTTACCTCTAGGTAAGCGTTTTAACCATAGAGGAGCCTCTTAGATCCAACATTACTCAAATCTAATGGGTTGCAACAAGCATTAGCCCTACTGAAAGCAGACCCACTGAAATTTATTGACCACAGCTGAGACCTCATATGTAATGTGCATTTCAAACCACCAAAGACTTCTGCTTAGCTTCAGCAAGATGCGTTGCATCGTGTATCCTCAGCCTATGCCATGGTCCTTGCAGGTCTTAACACCAAAGCTTACCGTGAATACAAAGCAAGCATGGATGCTGGCGGTCGCAATCTGCTGCAGCTGGCTGATATAAAGAAGCACTTTGTACTGGATTCCACAAGAGACGGAAGGACAGAAGAAAACAAGAGCAAAAGTGAGGAATCAAAAACTACGGGGCTGGCTGTTTTCAAAAGCACCTGGAGCTCTTCTTATACCAGGTGGCATTTCCACAGCACCCCAACAGCCAAATGACACATTAACATACAAATACATCAGAGGTGTTCATCATAGGAATTGCTTTGGTTGCAGGTGCCTGGCTTAATTACATGTGGAATGACTTCGTTACAATGGAGCAGGCGTGGGGAGCCTTTGGTGCTGAGCTTCAACACCCATTGGCTCTTGCCAGCATGGCCAGTGGAGAGGGATGATGGGAGCTGTCGTTCAGCGACATCTGGAGGACCAAAGGCTCCCTACACCTGGAGAAACCAAGGGGTGAGATCTGTCCTTTTCCACCCAATCAGCTAAACGGGAATGACAGCCCAGTGTTTTATCCTGTCCCCACCACCCTCACCTGCAACAGGGGAGTGGGACAAGGCAATCATACCAGAGTCTTCCTGGAATAAACGCATATGTTTCCTGACGTATTTTATCCGTTGCTTGTAAAACACCTGTGAATCCTTTCATAGCAAAGTGGGCAGAACAAACCACTAAAGAGCTACTGACTGAGCTGAAAAGGACAGAGGCTGGAAAAACTGAATCCCTTTTCCAACATAAACTGCTGAAACCCCCTTCCTTTTTTGAGTGTGGTGGGAACGTTTATTGATTTTTTAAAGCCATGACAAAGTTACCATCTCACTTTCCTCTATCCACTCTGCACACAATACCCCCTAGGCCCTTCTTTTGTCAAGATTCTAGTCCACGGGGTTCTAGTTAAATAAGAGCACAGGGCCTTGGACTGAATAAAACCACTAGTCTCTCTAGCTCAGGACTGCATACTCTGACTGTCAGCAGTGTCCCCAGCCGTACCCAGAGGAGCTAGTGATTGGATTTAGGAGCTTCTGTCTGCAAAGTGGATGCTGTGTTACTGAGCGACAGCCCCTTCCCTGCTACGAATACTTTTTCTAGAGAAGTGAGGTCAGAATAAGAAAAATGGGAGCTATAACCCTTGTGAGCTGATTGGGCAGAAAGAGACAGGAGCCAAAACAGCACCTTTGCTTTTTCCAGAGTAGGACATCATCAGGAAACCAGGATTCAGAGAAAGGGAAGCATTTCCTCAGCCCAACCTACATCAACCCGGGATCCTCCAAATGTTTAGAACCAACAGCAGCTGTAGCCCCAAACATCTGGGGGACAGCAGGTTGACAGAAGGCCAGGCTACTTCAAGACACCACACCTCCTCCTCTTACCTCCTTGGTTGCATTGCTGCCCACTACAGCTGCTCCATACTTGCCATGTTTCACATATTTCCCATTGGTACTGGAATGAGAAGAGAACACCTCTTAGCTTCCCACAATTGTTGCCACCATGCCAACCCCATGGGTTATATTAAGCGGCTCTTTACAAAGACTTCCCAGGGGTTGTTTAACTCTCATCAGCCCAGGCCATCTGGCCAGCGGTGAGGGGCGATGTGGGGGGTGAGCGGTAGCACCCCAGCAACATTTTATCAGCCCACAAGCTCCCCATCCCAGGAGGTCTCTATCCTCATTTCAGTTCAGTGTTGGCTGGTGCCTCATTGGGGTGAATGCAGGGAGCCCAACTCTAGGTGGCACCAGAGCCCACGACAAGAAGGGCCAGCTAAGCCTAGGGCTGTCCCCATCCTCCTCCTTGCTGTGTTCTACCATGGCAGCATAGAGACTGAGGGGGGAGAGGAAGCTGACAGGAAGTCCTGCCCTCTGGATCGGTTGGACGTAAGAAGGCAGGCAGGTGGGAGCCAGCTGAGGGCAGAATGAGGGGGTACCTTCCTACTGGACCTGCTTTCACTGGTGTGGCATAAGGCAAGGAAATCAACAGCACATCGAGCCAGAGTCAATGATATCCACAGCCTGATTGGCTGGAAGTAAAAAAACAACAACAGGCAGGTGGGGGCAGGCTGAGGTTGAGTTGGCAGTGCCCCATTCGCCCTAATCGACCACCCCCCACTGTTGTTCAGTTCCACCTCTTTCCGAAGAAGCCAGGCAAGATGGAGAGATGATTGCAAAAGATGCGAGCACAGGATTTGGGTAGCAAGAACACACTGCAGCTCATCCCCCCTACTGTAGTACTCACAACAAATATGCATGAACAACTGTAGCGAAGAAAACTGAATGCACTGCTGCAGTGGACGCAGGAGCAGCTGCGGCTGCAGGAGCAGCTGCAGGAGGATGCTTCTGGGTAGACAGACCTGCAGCTGGAGCAGCACATGAGAAGGGTAAGTGCTCTGTTGCAAACAGAACATTGCTTGCAAACATCAGGCCAAGTTAGCGACCTTGTCTGAGCCAGTTGCTCAGATTAATGGAAAACAGGAAGTTGACTTTTTTTTCTTTTAATACTTTTATCTTGCTTTAAACAAATACAGATAAATATAAACAACCAAAATTACAAAAGAAAAATTATTAATAACAATAATGGAAAAAGCTAAAAAACTACAAAAAATATCAAAGTACATGGCATAGAACATAAGCCATTATGGGGAAGAAGAAAAAAGAGGAAAGGAGGAGGAGGGAAAAGAAAAAAGTGGGGGGAAAGGGGAGGGGAAATGAGCCAAAACACAAGAAGGCTCATCCATTGTACGCTTCCGTCAAGATCACAACAGATCATTATTCTTATCAATTCTCTCTATCTGCATTCCATAGAATCCCTCATCTTGGTATCAGGGAACATTTCCCTAAGTGGTATCATTCTAAACATAACCAGGTCTTTATTGATGTACCCTTATCCCCTAGATAATTATTTAAACATTCCCATTCTTCTTTCGCCATCTTTTTAGGTTTATCTCTTATTGCATCTGTCAGCTTCACGAGCTCCAAGTACTCGCACGATTTGACTACCCATTCATCTTTAGTGGGTGTATTTTTATCTTTCCAGTGTTTTGCCACTATAACCCTTGCTGCTGACATTGCATACATAAATAACCTGGTTTTGTTTTTGGGAATATTATCTGAAACCATTCCTAGTAAAAATTCTTCCGGATTATTGCTAAATGTAGTTTTTATCAATCTCTTTATCTCTTCATAAATCATATTCCAAAATCTTTATATCTCTAGACAGGACCATCACATATGGTAGTATGTTCCTAACCGTTCTTTACATCTCCTGCACTTGTTATTATATGATTTATTTATTTTTGCTATTTTTACGGGGGTCAAGTACCATCTATAGTACATTTTCATAAGATTTTCCCTTATAAGGAAGCAAGCCATGATTTTTTTAGTCCATTATTCATTCCAAATACTGGGTTTGATCATATGTCCCAGGTCCCTCTCCCATTTTACTGTAATTTCTTTGATATCCTCCTCCTTTCTTTGCCAATTCAAAAATAGTTTGGCGGCTTTTAGTTGATAATATTCCAGCCAGGTTATTCCCTTCTGTTTCAGTTCTCTTAGGTCCTTTATTTTCGGGTTGCTACTTATTTCCTCTACTAAATCCTTGTATGTTAACCAATCACTGTTTATATTTTTCCTATGAACTGTCATAGATTCCATTGATGACAGCCACCATGGTGTTTTGGTCACTACTGAGTTTTTACTTCTCTCCCATACTTCATATAATGCCCTTCTCACAATATGATTTCAGAACAGGAAGTTGCCTTGTATGGTGTCAAACCACTGGGTCCATCTACCTCAGTGTGGTGAATACAGACCACCAGCACCTTTCTGGGGCCCCAGGTCAGGGGTCTCTCCCCAGCACTACTCAGGAGTTGACCAACCCAGTTGATTCTGTGGGGCTTCAGAACCAAAGGTTGGACTAGATGGTCCACAAGGGCTCGTCTTATGTTCCTAGGCATTGTGAACAGTTTACTTACCAGTAGCTAGTTGACCTTTTTTAGGCTGCTTGGGTGACATGTATTGGAAGAGCACATTTCCAGATTCTGTAGTTGTCTGATCCTGTCCAAAGAGAGAGGCCAGCCTGGTCCTGGGCAGAGAGAAAAGTAACCATTCACTTCATTCACAGAGAGAGGCAAGCGGGTGGGAACAAGACATGTATCTGCAAGCACAAAGATGCTCATGTTTCACTGCAGGTTGGCGATTTTGTTGCAGCCTTCCCCAAAGACCAGAGAGTAATGGATTCAAAAACTAGAATCCTGTCAGTGATTAGGATGCTGGCCACATGACCCGGAACCTGTACGCCGGCTCCCTCAGCCAATAAAGCGAGATGAGCGCCGCAACCCCAGAGTCGGTCACGACTGGACCTAATGGTCAGGGGCCCCTTTACCCTTTACCTAAAGGAGTAGACACATTGTGAGTCTTCTCTAAGCAGAACTTAGTTGGAGACAATCCCTTCCTTTTCCTATTAGTTTCTATAACCTCTCTTAAGAACAAAAGAAAAGCCTGCAGGATCTGGCCAAAGGCCCAGCAAGTCCAGCATTCTGTTCTTACAGTACCCAACAGAACCCAAGCACAAGAGGCCTCTCCCCTCCTGTGGCTTCCAGCAACAGTTGTTCAGAAGCCCTGCTGCCACCAACTTGGTGAGCACAGCCACGGTGACTAAACATCGCTAGCCTTCTCCTCCCTGAATTTTTCTAATCCTCTTTTAAAGTCACCCAAGTTGGTGGCCATTCCTGCCTCCTGCGGGAGAGTTCTGTAGTTTAACTGTGCATGATGTGAGAAAGTACTTTCTTTGCTTTTCCTGAAGGTCTTCCAACATTCAGCTTCATCGGATGTTCACAAGAGGGAGAGAAACTGTTCCCTATCCACTTTCTCCATGCCATGCCTAATTTGAAAAACTTCTATCATATTATCTCTTACTTGCTTTTTGTCTAAACTACAAAGTCCCTAAAACTGAAAAGGCTGTTGCCCAATTATTGCACCCAAGCTTTTATAGAACCTAGTACAGTGGTACCTTGGTTTTTGAACAGCTTAGTTCACAAACTACTTGGAACCCGAACACTTCAAATCCAGAAATAAGTGTTCAGGTTTTCAAATCTTTTTTGGAATCTGAACGTACTTCGTTTGGGGGGGGGGCATTTTCGTTTTGAGTGCCACACTTCCAATGCTCTCTCGCTTGTTGCCTGACCTGGGCTTCCCACATTTTTATTTATTTATTTTAATTAAAGATTTTCTTGTTTTACAGAAGTATGTGTAATGTCTCTCGTATTTTTCCCATGTAACATTTTTACAAATCCGTTTCATTTGTTGAGACATTAGGGGGAGAAAAAAAAGGGTGGAGGGGGGGAAGATGGGTAGGGGTGTGGTCAGGTGGCGATGTTTCTATTATGCTTAATGTATGTAGGGTTTGGTGTCAGCGTTGCTTGTGCTGTTCACTTGTGTTCCTTTGGTGGTGAGAGAGGTTGGGGTTGGCTTAGGATGTGGTTGTTTATTTGTGATTGGCTGTGGTGATCTTTGTTTTTATATGTGAGTGGGGTGGGTGGGTGTTTTAGATCAGGTTAGCCACATTGATTTATATGCTGTTGGTGGATTATTGTCATTGTCTTGTTGGGCTGTGTACGTGATAAAGGGGAGCCATACCGGGGTAAAGGTGTCTTCTTCTGTTTGTCCCCGTGTCAGTTTCAGTTTAATGGTTATTTTTTCTAGTAGGGCTGTTTCCCATACTATTTGGTACCATTGGTCCATGCCTACTCGTGACAGGTCTCTCCAGTGTCTGGTTATGGTGTTTCTGGCTGCTGAAAATAGGTGGGTTATGAGTTCTTTGTGGTGTAAATGGGCATTGCTTTCTTGGAAGATGTTTAGTAGGGCCAATTCTGGGGTGATGTCTAATACGTGCTTAGTTATTTTACATATTTCTCGTGTGGCTGTTGTCCAGAATAGTTGCCTTCCTTTCCATCCCCCCTCCCCCGCTGGAACTCCCCCATCACTCACCCTCGTCCCTCCAATGGCAATGGGTAAATCACTGCCAGTTTTTAATAGTCTAGTTATGGGAAAGCACACCTTGGTTTTGGAACACTTTGGTTTTGGAACAGACGTCCGGAACTGATTAAGTTTCAGAACCAAGGTACCACTGTAAACAAAAATAAAATTGTAAAGGAATCGATTATTAAAAAGATACAAGCCCTGCCCTTGTGGTTTACCCTTCCCCACACGGTACAATTCACTGTCAGGAAGGTGGGGAGAGGGAATAAACCTGGCTGAATACAAGTGGTTTTTCCTACAGACATTCAGAAGTATCTCATCTCAGGGTTGTTCTGGGAGCTGAAACTTACCAGTTACCCCACATCCTAGCCCACTTCCCTGCAGTCCTGAGAGCTAGAAACTTGCAGATTAAAATAAACGAACAAACACTAAGACCAAGTATCTTCAAACATTAAATTTCCAGACTTAGCCCCAAACTTCATGCTATACCAAGGGGTGAAGTGCCCATTTTAAATGCCTGACAGCACCCCAAACAGATGGTCCCGATGAAACAAACCCGTGGACTGCCTGCCAAAGGTACTCTGTTTGCCGTGGGTTCAAGTGCCCCAGTCGGTTCTCCAGCTCCCACCCATTCAATGTTGGCTGCTGTTTTCTCGTGTCATTACCCCTCCCCTCTCTTTTCCATCCTGAAGCATCAGCAAAGTAAGGCGTGGGCAGTGGGGGGGTGAATTAAACAGCTAAGGTTTCCAAAGGCAACTGCGTTTGCACAACAGCAATCCTCTGGAATGGCTGCATGACCTTGTGAGAGATATGAAAATCTATCCCGTATCATCCCTAAGCAGTTCTTACAGGATTCCAGCTAGAGAAAAACCACGTGGCAACATGCATGTTTGAGGGGCTCCCAAAAGAAGCGAGCGGAACAGAGATTGTGAGCTTGGCTTCTCCTTCTGGGGAGAGTGGCATTCTGGGAAGACATAGATCAGGGGTCAGCAAACTTTTTAAGCAGGGGGGCAGTCCACTGTCCCCCAAACCTTGTGGGGGGCCGGACTATATTTTGAATATTGGGGGGTGGCATCTACAGTTCTCCATAAATTTCTGAACTACAACTCCCACTGGCTATATGTCTCTCTGACGTTTGCTCACTGCCAGCGTTGCCAAAAGCAGCAGTGCAGTGCCCTTATTTTGAACACCTAAAATGTCACAGTGTAAAGGGCACTAGAAATCTTTCTTAGGGTTCCTTTTGTAAAAGGAATATAAGACCACAAAACACCTCCATTCAGTCCTGTTACTGGCACCCACTTTAGGGCAGGAGTTAGAATGCCAAATTGTGACCTGGGAGATCAGGGTGCAGACCCCCACTTGGAGATGAAGCTCACTTTGTGACTCTCTCTCAGTGTAACATCAGCACAGAAGAAGTGGAAACAGAAAGCTAGAATTAGGAAAAGGGAAAATATTTCACCACAGCAGAGGCAACAGGCATTTGTATGCAAATCAACCCTATGCACATTCATGGGGAAGTTCAGTTGAATTCAGTGGAGTCTACTCCCCAATAAGTCTTGCTTTTTAAGAAAAATGCTCCTTTCCCCATTAACCCTTGGGCTGAACTTCCTAATTCCCAACCACTACTAAAACATAATGTATTCCCTCACTCTACAAAAGGTGTGGGGTTCCTTTGGCCCTCTGGATTGTAGCGCAAGCGTACTCTCATCTCCAGTGGTGTAGTGATCTCGGGTTGCGGAGGTTACTATTTCTGCAGCAGGGTCCCTGCCTCCCGCACCCAATCATCATGAGAGGCGAACTTTTAGCCACTGCATGCTCCAAAGCTAAGCATGTAAGAAACAGTGAAAACACAAGGCACTTCGGTTTCAGCTCAGAGTAGGTCCACTGAAATGGGCGGGCATAACCAACGCGTAGCTTAGTCGGATGCAAGAAAGTGCCTCCCATTTCATCCTTAGCTGGACGAAACCCCGCCCATTTCATCCTCACCAGCAACGCTGTGAGGCAGAGAGAGAGAAAGAAAAGAAAGAAAGAAAGAAAGAAAGAAAGAGAGAGAGAGAGAGAGAGAGAGAGAGAGAGAAGGAACCCTGCTGGCTCAAAGACGCCTAGCTCTGCTGAACTTTACCTCTCCTCTTAGCGCATAACAGCACGTAATTGCAGACAAAGCCCTTTGCATGTGCTCGGAATCACCCTTCGCAAGCCTGCACCCACCCACCCCAGCCCAACATACAGCTCTAGTCCTACATGCTGCCCCAGCCCCGCATATAGCTCTAGTCCCACATGCAGCCTCAGCCCCACATACAGCCACAGAACCACATGCAGCCCCAGCCCCACATACAGCTCTAGTCCTACATGCTGCCCCAGCCCCGCATATAGCTCTAGTCCCACATGCAGCCTCAGCCCCACATACAGCCCCAGAACCACATGCAGCCGCAGCCCCACATGCTGCCCCAGCCCCACATACAGCTCTAGTCCCCTCACACAGCCCCGCCCCCTCACGCGGACCCAAAGACACCCGCACACCCCGCATCTCCCCCCACGCAGAGAGGCGCCGCATTCTCACCCTCCCGTCGGAAGCTGGAAGGCCTCGTCTTCTTCATCCATGTCCCCCAACATCCTGACGGCCCCTCGCTCCCCGCGCCCCTCGGCTAAGCCCAAGCCGGGAGGCGAGAGCCGCAAAGTGCGCGGCTGCAACTTCTCGGCCATGGCGCAAGCGCTGGGCTGCGGAAGCGAAGCTAGCAAGCCAAAGCGGCCGGCGGCATTCGCGGTCCCCAAACGGGCCAAACTTGCACGCGGAGGGAAGAAACGCGTCCAGGGCAACACGAGCAATCAGCTGCTGCCGCAGCAGCGAATTTGGCGGCGGGACTCTTAAGTTTGACGGAAAGGGAGAGGGACACGGCTGGACCAATGGGAAGCTGGATTCTGGGAGAGGGAGGCGGGAGGGCGGGTGACGCTCGCTCGAGGCTGGCCAATGAGGTGGCGCCTCCGCTCGCCGGGCGAAGAAGGCACGCGCCTGAGGAGATCGAGGGAAGGAGGCGAAGGCGAGGAAGGCGCAGGTAGCTAACTTCCGATTCTTCTCATTGTGCTATTTACACTTTGTCTGGCAAAACACATTGCTTTCTTCTTATTTAGCGTTCTCGTTAATATCCATAAACTTTTACTATGTACATTCTCGATATTCCAAGATTCATTCTAGGTCTGTCAAGAGATTAACGTCGTCACTAATTTTTAAGATCTTCCTTAAATGTTATCCGATCTTGATTAACTTTTGGTATTGAATTTCCTCTTATTCTCCCTGTTTTCCTGGCAAGTTGTAGATCTTCTATCATTTTTGCTTGCCAGTCCGTTTTTGTGGGGATGGTATCACTGTTATAGAACATATAACATCACCTTTCCACTTCCTTGCTATTAAAATCCTGGCTGCTGTGGTTTCATACATAAAGAGGGGTCTGTGGTTTTTCTTAATTTCCATGGACATAATACCTAACAGGAAGGCTTCAGGGGTTTTTTGGAAATGAAAGTTTGAAGATCTTTTAAACTTTAGAGTAAAGAGTAAAGAGCCAGTGTGGTGTAGTGGTTAAGAGCAGTGGACTCCTTATCTGGTGAACCAGGTTCGCTTCCCGCTCCTCCACATGCAGCTGTTGGGTCACCTTGGGCTAGTCACACTTCTGTGAAGTCTCTCAGCCTCACTCACCTCACAGAGTGTTTGTTGTGGGGGAGTGGAAGAGGAAGGGAAAGGAGAATGTTAGCCGCTTTGAGACTCCCTAGGGTAGTGACAAAGCGGGATATCAAATCCAAACTCTTCTTCTTCATCATCATCATCTTCTTTTTCTTCTTCTTCTTCTTATAAATAGTATTCCAGAATTCTTTAATCCTCTTGCATTCCCACCACATGTGTAGAAAGGTACCAACCCCACTTTTCCACCTCCAAGAAACATCTGAACTGTTTTTGTACATCTTGGCCAATTTGGCCAGGGTTAGGTACCACCTGTATAACATCTTCATCACATTTTCTCTAAGATTATAGCATGCAGTGAATCTTATGTCCTCCTTCCACAGCCTTTCTCACTCCTCCATATATATTGTGTCCAATATCTTGGGGCCAGTGTATCATAACCCATTTTAGTTCCTCCTCCTTGACTTCCCAGTCACTTAAGTCACATTCAAAGCACATGCTTCCCTCCCCCAACAGATCATGGGAATTGTAGCTTGTTCATCGTGGAGCTACATTTCCCAGCACACTTAAACTTAAGTTCCCCGGCTGGCTGCATCATACGTTTAAAGCATGCATCTTTCCCCCCAAAGAACCCTGGAAATCATAGTGTACCCCTCACTGGGCTACAGTTCCAAGCACCCTTAAACTAAAGTGCCCAGGGTACTTTGAGGGGAATGTGCTTTAAATGTGTGGCATTTGTGCAACATACATTTAAATTACATTTCCCACCTTCAAGTTCTCCAAACCCTTAACAGACTACAGTTCCCAACATTCTTTTGTCGTGAGGGGGAATTGTGTGCTTTAACAATGTAGTGTGTTCACACCCTCAGTTGCTTTATTGTGTAAGTCGCTTTGAGGTACCTGAATGCAAAGATAATGTGGGATTTAAGAGGTTTGGTGATGCATCTTACTCTAAACACACATGACATGTTGTAGAAAATAATCCAACTCTGGGATCATCTCTTGAGGTTGATTATTGTATTGAACAAGTGGTGTGCCTTTCATTCCCACACACTGCTCCAGTAATGTTTGCAGCTGAAGCCTACATTTCAAAAAAGTTCCAGGAATCAGTGAACAGAAGCATTGCTGATTTTTCTACAATATCTTATAACAAGCTTGTAAAGCTTGTGTGGCCTAGGTAGCCAATTCAAAATCTGTGGTCACCAGAACATACCCTTGCTACAAAAAGCCTACTGCACCACTGGAACATGGTGTAAGATGAAGGACAAAGATGCAAGGGTGTGGTATCTTTCCCTGTCTCTGCACCTGCATCATCTTCCTCCAGCTCAGAGCTAGAAAGGTAAGACAGAGGTTTGTTTTGGCTCTCTGTTCACACCCAGCAAGTGCAGAACTAAAGCAAGCTGTGGGCTTCTAACCATGTTTGGGACTGTGGAGAGCGTAATTATTTTTATCCCTCAGCAGCTCTAATGTCAGAAGAAGACCTCAGACTTGACTCACTCACAAGAGCACGTCTAACATGACATTGAAAAAGTGTGGGGGTGGGAGGGAGAGTTGGACTCCCCAGAGTTGGAATTAATAGATGGCAGAAAAAGCCAGTGTCTTGTCAATACATAATTCCATTTAAAAGCTGTAAAATCATGAGTCCCAGCTCTTGGGAGCAGGAAAGAAGGAGTTGGGAGCGATTCACTGATAAATGTATTTATGCACTGGCTCAATGGGAAAACTTTAGAAATTCATTGGAAATCACTCATTGTATCAATCTTCTCCGTTCCAATGGCATTTAGGACCCAGGGAAGTGAGGTATAAGGGGAGGGGTGAGTGAGCCCACCATAATCCCAGAGATGTACAGACATATCTGCAGGGCCTTCCCAAGGAGTCATGGCCAGTGATATCCAACCACCTCAGTCACAATGCCTATCCATCCTATAGTGGGATGACGCTGGACAAGACAGAGGGGTGTATTTGATTTGACTCAGGGACCAAGGAGCTGTAAATACTTTCCTTTGTACTGGGATGGGAGTAAGTGTGAAAGACTATATTTGCGTGACAGGGGTATGCCTGGATCTCAGGTTCTCAGGCATTACCTCAATAGAATTAGAACAGAGAGAGGGGAAAAATCAAAAGAAGGGACATTACCATATTCATTTTTTCAAACGGCAGAAAATTTAAATTTAAAAGACACATGGAGACATAGATACCCAAATGAAAAAATAATACACAAATTATTCTGAGGCCAAGCAATAGGCAGGAAGACTAGCTGGAATTTGGATATCAGACAATTTAATTTGGAAAATCAAAAAGGTAGAAATACAACCTAAATCAATAACAGACCATAATTCAATTATGATGGAGTTAAGAAACAACAGAAAAATACAGTTGACCCTTGGGTTCTGTTACCTTTGGGTAACGTAATCCTTGGGTTGCAAACCTGGAAGTGTATACTTCCGGGTTTCACTGCGTGGTCATGCACAGAAGTGCTCAATCGAGCTGTGCGCATGCACAGAAGGGCGTCTCCAGTTTCAAAGTTTTTGGGATGTGGCCAGGCTCCAGAACAGATCCCATTTGTAACCGAAGATGGAGAATGAATGAAAAAATCTTAAACAATGAAAAGATAATGAACAAAGCACAAGAAATTCTGAAGGAATTTTTTCGAATAAACATGGCACAAGAAACATACATCAGAGTGAAATGGGATGCAAGCAAAGCTTTCATAAAAGGATTTTATATACAACATGATGCGATACAAAAAAGAATTAGAGAGGAAAAATTCGATCAAATTAGAAAGTAAATAGATGCAAATGAGAAAACATTAGCCAAAGACCCAAAGAATGAAAATGCAAGTAAAAAAAAAAAGAAATTATTTCAAAATTATTTCTATTGTGTCCATTTCACCCTGAGTGCTTGGCCTCTCCTTCTCAATTCTGGCGGAGAGCCTGAGAGGCGGCCTTGCAGTTTAAGCAGAGGTTGGACGAGTTTGTTCAACCAGTGCTTCCGAAGAATGAGCCTCAGGAGCTGCAAAAAGCAGACTGTCTTGGGCTCCTTCGAGAGCCGTGAATGGAGGACTGCTTGAGCTTTCCTTCAGATTAGCCAAAGGAGCGGGGGATGCCACTGGTGCTGGTTCTCGGAGAGAGTTGCTGTGGGGATCCCCATAAAGGGGTGCGGCACTTGGCTGCTTCCTTTCCGCAGGTCCTTCCTCCTCGGTGCTGCTGCTCCCCCTTTGCTCCTCCTGACTCTCCAGCAGCTGCAGAGTTGTTGTCTGGAACAAGTAGAGGGGAGGGGGGATTATTTGCCACAAAAAAGACTGCAGCCCCTGATGAAAGTACAGTGTAATGGCTGGTCTCTAGCCAGGACTCAGGAGACCAGGGTTTGAATCCCTACTCAGCCACACAGGCACAGCTAAGCGACTTTCACTTTGTAGTACCTTAGATACAACCTGTTATTTCTAGAGAGCTGGGCTTCACCCTCTTTGCCGCTCCCATGATTAGTAATATGGGGCTAAATGCCACCCCAATCTCTGACCGGTGCAAGATTCCAGGGGTCCAGGCACTTAGTCTGTGTTTCCTTTGGAAATGAGGCACAGTGTACACTGTGGTGTCATAATGATATCTATCTATCAATACTTTATTGTGGTCCAAAGATCCACAAAACAATTTCTAAACTAGATACAGTTAAAACAACCAGACAGACAGATGGAAGAAACCAAGGCAGTCATTTTGTTTTATCTAGGGCATAATGATCTTTGTTTCTTACAACCTCCGAAAGAAACTTTGCCACGGCCAGTGTAATATCATTTGACCTGTCTTCCAAAAGGTATTTAATATGGGAGGCTTCAGATTTTCCTGGAAAATTTGCCAGTAGGGGATTGATCAGTTGGTCCCTTGTGTGTTCATGCAATCGATGTCTGCAGAACATAAACAAAGCCTATTCTGATAGAGGATGCCTCTCAGCCTGTCATTTAGAACTTCCAAGGGAAATACATTTAGTCTGGCTTTGGTAAATAAATGCCGATAGGTAGGTACAGACAAATTCCTAAGGCATGAGGATGTTTGATAGTCATACCCATATTGGATTCCAGCTGTGACCAGGCTACAAATTACATAAGATCGGGATCGCAGGTCCCTATGTGAGATGTCCCAAAGCCTTTGCCTCAGGGATTCAAGGGCAATGTCATAACCCAGATGATATAAGAGGGATGATGGTAGTGGAGCAACACACGTTAATTTGCCCACTTGTCCCTTTCAATCCTCCATTTAAGAATGAAAGAAGACGCATGATCAGAGTTCAAGGGCATCTTCCAGGGAGGCAAAGAACAGTCAAGGGTGCAAAGCTGGGGGGAGGGGTGGCACTTGGAAAATCCTAAGGGTCAGAGAGAGTTTTCCAGGGAGCCACTTCTGGCCTCGGGTGATGACTTTTGCCACCCCTGGGTACTACCTTCTCCAGATTCTCCTTCTGAACGTGGAGATCAGCCAGCTCCTCTTCCAGGGCTACCACCTTCTCATCCAACTTCTTCCCAATCAGGTTCTCCTCCTGGTATCTGCTTTTCATGTCGTCAGACAACTTCTCAAGTTCTGTGGAGGTGGGGCACATAGCCAGTGACAGACGAAGCCTGTGCCACAGTGCATGTCCCTGTTTCCATCCACTGCTGTAGCTAAGCCTAAGTACAGCGCCATCTGCACTATATGCTTTAAACACTCACAGCTTCCCACAAGACATTCTGGGAACTGAGAACATTCTGTTAAGGGAGCTGAGAGGTGGTGGGAAACCCCAGTCTGCCACAAACCCCCAGCTACAATTCCCAAACTGTTAAACTATGCTGGAAATGGCTGCTTAAGCAGGGCTCTCCACTTCTATACAACTACAGTGGTACCTTGGGTTAAGTACTTATTTCGTTCTGGAGGTCCGTTCTTAACCTGAAACTTAACCTAAGGCACCACTTTACCTAATGGGTCCTCCCGCTGCTGCTGCTGCTGCCACGCCACCGGAGCACGATTTCTGTTCTCATCCTGAAACAAAATTCTTAACCCGAGGTACTATTTCTGGGTTAGTGGAGTCTGTAATCTGAAGCGTCTGTAACCTGAAGCGTCTGTAACTCGAGGTACCACTGTATCGGCAGCTGAAAAAAATCACACTTCCCAGGATTCCTTGGGAGAAAGCCATGCCTGACTGCAGTGGCATGATAATGCTGTATAGTGTGGATGGGGCCTCCGTGTAATTTTAAAGACATATCACATGTTTCTTCTCACTCTTACACCGCTCTGCTCTTGCATGCAGGGCAAGGAAGGTGCAGAATATGCACAAACCCATTTTCTATTATGTTACATTATGTTAATGTTACTTATTGTTTGTAAGCTGGAGATTCATTTCAACAAAAAGCAGCATAGAAATACAATCAATCAAGTTTGTAGAGATCAGAAGCTTGCCTTTTTTAAAAAGATGGAATTAAAGTGAAGAGTCTTTTTGGAGATTGTGTGTCTGCTTTTTAACAGCTACACTGCAGGAGGCCCTAAGGAGCAGGACCTCCAGAGGTTGCTGGACTCCAACGCCCATCATCCCTGGCTACGCTTCCTGGGGCTCATGAGAGGTGAAGGCCAGTAATACTTTGAGTGCCACAGGCTCCCTACCAGCAAGCTAAAGAATTTCCTAGGATGATAAAACTACTCTGCATGTGCTTGGATTGTGCTCTTCTGCCATTTCAGCGCCTCCTCTCAGCTTCCCTTACCTGCCAGCTGTGCACAGAGTCGGCTGACCTGGGCTTTCTGCCTCTCCAACTCTGTCAGGGCTTCATTCAGTTGGGAGTGGAGATTCATCTCCTGCTTCTGATGACAGGCCAGCTCCAGCTGGAGCTGGGAGATCTGCACCGTGGCTTCTGCTAGCTTCTTGCTGATTCTGACCTGCAACACAAAGGAGCAGAAGAGACAGAAGAACATATGGGGAAGGAGTGCCCGCAAGACGTTTCCTGAGAGGATGCAAGAGCTGTGCTTTTGGAGGCTCCCAAATGCTAAGAATGAGTCTCCCAGGAAACACCCTGCAGAACTGGTCTACTGGCAAGGCTATGAGGAGCAGGGGGAGGCAGAAGACTTGGGCTTTTTAGTTAGTTCAGGAAAAAGCATGCACGACAAAGGTGCATAAAATGGAGAGCAGAAAAGATTTTCCCAGAAAATTCTGGGCAGACAAAAGAAAGGACATCTTCACACATCAGAGCTCTCTCCCACAAGATAAAATGAAGGCCAAACAGTTAGATGGCTTTAGCAGCGGATTAGACAAAACAATGGGGCAGGAAAAGCTATACACAGCCAACAGCCACAAGGGCTAGGGGTCTCCCTCCACTGTTGGAGACAGCATGCTGTTCCTGGGAATTGCAAGTGATCCAGTGGCGGCATGTGCTAGAGAGAAAAGCGGCGACAAGGAGAGGAGAGTTAACACCACCAGAAGCAAGAACAGCAAGAGGGGAGAAAGTTTTATCAAAAGAGGCAATGGCATTCTGGGTTAAGAGCACTCTGCTTATTCTGTGGTCCAAGGGCTGATTATATCACTGAAAATCCCTCGGCCTCAGGGTAAGATGCATGGAAGATCCCTTAATGGCGGGGTTTGCACGCTGATGCCCAAGCAAGAACAGGCCACAGCAAACCTGGATTTGCATCCTCTCCCCTTACATCTCCTCCTCTCATGCGGCCAGGAACCCTGACACTTATGCCTAGCCATGGTTTGTTGTGTTGCCTGGGACAACGAGCTGCAGCTAACATCAACTATGGGTAATATCAAACACACCAACTTCAAATGTTTGTTTCTATAAGCTAACTTCAGAAACTACTTCTACTTAACGTTAATGGCTGTTCTCAGTCCAGACAACAGAGGAAGCAGCAGTTACCTAGAAGTGGAAACTCTCACACCCTTCTTCTTGGCTGCATAGGAGGAAGTGAGGGGGACGTTCACTGTGCTTGCTCACATCATGCCAACCTGAGGTGCTTTTAAAAGGATTACCTGAAGCTTATGAATCTTTTACCTGTATGTGCATGTATACCTAGCCAATCGTTTGTTCTATTTTGTTGCTGCTGCTGCTCAGAAACGTAACTTCTTTCTGGCCTGCAGGCAAAGGGGAATAGTGACCTGCACTAGCGATTGTGAACTCAAGGACGGGATCCTGGGATAGCACTTGCCCTCCCCACAGCCTCAGTCACTTGGCCTTCCTGTTGTGGCTGTCACACTGCCAGGGCTTACCTTCTCCTGTTCAGCATGTAGGACCCTTGCCTGGGTGTGCTCCATGGTCCTCTGCAATGAGCTGTTGCTCTGCTCAAATATCAGGTTGCTCTGCTCCACATAGCTGGGGAAGAATTGTTTTTTACACACGTGAATGTTTGCATGATTTGATACTTTCCATCCTCTCGTGTAAAAAAAGAAATCAAGGCAGTATCATACGTAGATCTCACTTTTCAAAAGCCACCCTAGGAGAGCTTCTATCCTTTATATCAGAATCCTAATAGTTCTTATTTTATGTTCCATCTTTCCTCCAAGGAGCTCAAATACTGGTATATAGTTTTCCTCCCTTCTTTATCTTCACAAGCCTTTGAGGTAGGTTAGGCTGGGAGAGAGTGACTGGCCCAAGGTCACCTTCATGGCAGAATGGGGATTGGAACCCTGCTCTCCCAGATCTTACTCTGACAGACCCTCTTAACTGCTACCCCACACTGGCTATATTCCTGTATTCCTCTATTTGTCCATCCAGCCCAGTACTGTCCACTTTGACTGGCAGCAGCCTTGGGGTGCCTGGGGATTGAGCCAGGCCACCTGAGCTTTAGGCTTCAGCCACAAATACCAGCTGTTTCTCATAGAGCATTAAAAGTGAGCAAGAGTCTCCCTCACCGTTGGTTGCGGTCAATCAGTTCACCAATCTTCTTGTTCTGCTCCTCAATGCGGCTGCTCTTCTCAACGATCTCCTGTTTCAACCTCTCATTTTCCTGTGGCACAAAGAGCAAAACGGAATGCGTCAGAGCCAGTCCTGACCTCTACAACTCTCACAATCTCCAGCCACAATCTCTTCCCCAACCTCTCTCGGGGACCCAGATTTGAGGAGAGAAATCGTTGTGGTCTTCCGCCATGGTCATGGACAGAACATGGGCAGTTTGGAGCTGCTCCCCTTTTGCAAGCCTCCTAGGTAAACTTTATTTAGTAAGCAAATTGCGAGACAGCTGTACTGCATGAAGCCATGGAAGCAAGATACATGGTAAAAGCAAAATACAACACAGAAATCCAAACTCTGAGAATGAATAAAATCAGTTTCACAAACTCTGATACAATAAGTCCATCTATTCTACTCAACTTTAAAAACAACACCATTTCAGCAGGTATAAAACTTGATCTTCATAAGTGACATCTCAGGATGGAAAGCCCTCCAAAGCAAGCATGCTTTCAAGAGGCATCTGAACCGCGTCACACTAGGCCCTGGTCTGATTTGGGCTGCAAACTCATTCTGGATGTCTGGAGCTGCAATACTAAAAGCCCAGTTGCTAGTGGAGCCTTAGAGGAACTGGAACAGAGGAAGCTCTCTTAGCTCAAGCCAGATAGTTGCGTGTATCTAGCTCAGTGCAGCCTACAACAGGGGCAAAGAACCTCTGCCAGTCCAAAGGCTGCCTTGCCTCTGGATCAACTGTCCAGGTGTGGGCGGGGCTAGGGACAAAAGTGGGTGGAGCAACAGATGTGGCTATAATACAGGAGACTAGAAGTCTCTGCACCAATTGCTCCACATCCAGGCTAGCAACAAAGACACTTCCAGCTGGCCAAAAGAACTCAAGGAAGGTGCAGAGCAGGAACAGGGAAGGACAGGGCAGCATTTGTGCCCAAGGCTCCCCACTGACTGGCAGCATCTCCTCCAGGGTTTCAGGCACGGGGTCTCTCTCAGCCCTGCCAGGAGACACCATTGGGGACTGTACCCAGGACCTGTTGCCTGCGAATCACATGCTCTGCTGCTTAGCTGTGACCCTTCACCTGAAGGTAAAAGCAAGGTGTTCTAGTCTTCATGCTCTCAAGTAGACAGGCTCTTTACCTGCAGGATACGCTGGATGTTACTCATGATCATAGAGGTTTCCATGGTAACAGAAGAGATGCCTGGCAGCAAACCGGGGCCAGAGTTTTGCTTCCGCAGTTCCTCCAGCTGCAAGGGGTGTGGGGAGAGAAAGGAAAAACAAAAAGGAGGTGCAGCTTGGAAGCATCAGCACACGGGAGAGAAGAAGCCAGATCAGGCCTGGGCCCTTTGAGCTGCTCACTTGTTTGCCAAGGAGAGAAACTGCTGGGAGCACAGCAACCTGGCTCAGTATCAGACCACTGGCTCCATCTAGCTCAGTGCTGTCAACACTGGCGGGCAGCATCTCCCTGGGTTTTCAGACTGGGGTGTCGCCTAGCTGAAACAGCTTCCCTAGTCCCAAACCTCCCCCATCAGAGATTAAAAAGACAATTCACAAGCCTATTATAAAAGCAGCTAGATACAGTTCTCCAAACAGTATGAAACAGAAGCAAAACCTGAAGGTAGATTGATTTATTATTTCAGAAAATGTATATACTGCCTGATATATGTATTATACAATGAACATAAAATGCCAAAATTGTTTAAAAGCCTTAAAACAGTTGAACAACGATCAATATCAGGCAGGCACCTTCACTGTACAGGCAACTCCCCATCTGTGGGCGCACCAGTTTTGGCCCTCAGGGGTGCGGGGCAGGCTGACATGCACAGTGCCTCAGAACGCAAACCCCGTGTAAATGGGGAACTGCCTGTACCCTTTTCGGCACATGCTTCTTTAGATCTCTAGAATGCTGATAGGTTTCTAGTTTATCGCTGGTTTTAATTTTTGAATAATTAAATCGTTTGTACTAATAATTCTATTGTTTTATTCTTTTTGTAAAGTGCTTTGAGTTTTTTTTATGAAATAAAATAATCAACAATACAAAACCAACACCTCAGGGGAGGGAGCTTTTCAGCCCACTGGAAAAGCCTGTTGCAAGAAAAACACCTTCCTATTGTTTCTGGAAAATCCTAGCAAGGCAGTTCTTAAGCAGCTTCCTATCCTGAAAGTTCTGTATTACCTTGACTGACAGCTGGTCCATCTTGTCAGCCACTTTCCCAACGGCCAGGCGGATCTCTGTGTTCTGCTGCCGGGTCTCTGTCAGCAGGAATGAACCAATGTCTCCAGCTGCTGTGAGAGGAAAGAAAACTTTGCAAGGTTGTGTTTGTTATTGTTGTTTCAAAATGAGACTGCCAGCAGAAGCAAATGCAGTGGTACCTTGGGTTACATACACTTCATGTTACATATGCTTCAGGTTACAGACTCTGCTAACCCAGAAATAGTACCTCGGGTTAAGAACTTTGCTTCAGGATGAGAACAGAAATCGCGCAGCAGCAGCGTGGCAGCAGCGGGAGGCCCCATTAGCTAAAGTGGTGTTTCAGGTTAAGAACAGTTTCAGGTTAAGAACGGACCTCCAGAACGAATTAAGTACTTAACCAGAGGTACCACTGTAGAAGTGGACAGGGCAGGAGGAGAGGGGTCACACCAATAGGAAAGGGCAGGGAGAAAAGAACACAGTTGTCCTTGAGCATCTTAACAAGCAGCCGTGAATCTTCTAGGGTGGGGGACTTTAAGGCAACTTAGCCGCCTATTCCCAGCTTTTAAACGGCTGGAATAAGGCAAAAGGAAATGCTTCTTCACACAGTGCAGACTTCGTGAGGCAGTGATGACCACCAACTTGGATGGCTTTAAAAGAGGATTGGACAAATTCATGGAGGAGGAGAAGGCTATTGATGGCAACTAGCCATGATGTCCATGTTCTGACTTCACCATTGAGGGCAATAAATGCTTCTGAATACCAGCTGCTGAAAAGCACAGGAAGGGAAAGGTGCTCAGATCCTGCTTGTGGGTTTCCCACAGGCATTTGATTGGCCACTGTAAGAAGAAAATGCTGGACTACATGGGTCACTGGCCTGATCCAGTAGGCTGTGATGCTCTGAGCAGGGAATTTCTAACTTTCACTGAGTTAATGCTCAACAGGTAGGATTTCATTTCCTGGGCTACAGAGGTAGATGCTCAACATTCACTATCCGTACCAGTTTGGGAAATATGGGTGTCTTAATTGATACTGGTGTGTCACCATTTCTTTCTCTTATTATTTATTGTTTGCTTTCTTCATATATGGCAAGCCTGCTACCAGACTTTTGGGTTGTCAACAATGTTAATAAAGGGTTTTGCTTTTTTAAAAAAGTTAATGTTTGAAAGCAGCTCCCAAAGCTACATAGTGCACAGTTTGAACATACCTTGGAAAGGAGCTGGGCACAACCCAACAGGCTGGAGCTGGGAAACTGCGGCACTCACTTGTGGGTAAGCATATGGCATCCCTGCATAAGGCTGAGAACACAGGTGGGGAGGGAAAGGAGAGTCAGGTGACTTGTCACACTGACCAAACAGACGGCAAAAAGGTCCCCCATTAAAACAGCAGGATTGCTTAAGCCTGCTCTCAAGGGCTAGATGACCCAAAGGCCAAGGACTGCAAGGGATCCTCTCCTGCAAAAGGCAATGACAGACAACCATTTGGACAGCTTTAAAAGAGGATTGGGCAGATCCATGGGGGAGGCGCCTATTGATGGCTACTGGCCTCGACAGCTAATGGCTGGAAGAAGGAATGCTTCTGAATGCCAGTTGCTGGAAACTGGGGGAGGGGAAAGAGCTCTTGCACGCAGGCACTGTTTGTGCACTTTGCACTGGGGCATCCAGGTAGCCACTGAGAACAGGTGCCCCATGTGAACAGGATGCTGGGCGAAATAGGCCATTGGCCTCATCCAGCAGAGGTTCTTCTTACATTCTTCTAAAGATCACCCAATATATAGAAGATCCTCACTGGATTTGGTGGAAACTACCTCAGCACTGCCGAGGTAACAAACTGCTTCCCTCCAACCCAAGGCTATGATTGCTGCTAGGTCTTAATCTAGTGCTTTTGGGATTTGCACCGAAGGGCTATTACCTTCATGGTTGAAGGAATGGGTTTCCAAAACCCAAAACTGACTGTGCAGGCAGTTTGAAACTGCACCAAAATCCCTATTTTCCTTAGCTAAAATCCATTAACTTGAGCTCTGAACTGAATGCATAAACAAAAGCCTGGCTGTATAGACAAGTGCTCAGAGCCCTCTCCTTTATCAGTTGTGACGGCAACTATGGCCTTCACTGTACCAGTAATAGAACAAAACAGAGAGAAGACATGTCTGTGCTTTATCTTACGTCCTGGACACACTCTGACACACAAACCCAGGTCCGGGAACAAACGTCAGAGCGTGTTCCCGGAGATGATTACCTCTTCCCAGATAAGAGTAGGAAGAGTAAGATCCCTTTTATGGTCAGAAGTACAGGAAGGAAGATCCTTTTATGGTTGAGAGTACCAGAGCAGGAACATATATGATGTCAACCTGCATACATAGGCTGACGTGGTTGGAAGGAGGGAGAGGGTGCCTGGAGGATATATATACTGCATGAAACTTGTCATTTCTTTGGACTTGCTGGGGACTAATTACGCAAGTGCTTTCTGCTATCCGGAGAGCAGAATAAACTCTTTCTTTGAACCATCTTCGGTGTCATTTTGACTTCCTTCCTCCTGTCCCAGAGCAACGCAGACCCAATCGGTGAACTCCAATAAGGCTACATGGTTATGCTTCACCCTCCCTATTTTGCAAATGAAGACCTGACACTGACAGAAAAGGATGAGGAAACTTAGTCAAGCCTGCTAGTCACATGCCCCTGTCTTGAGCAAACCAGGGAACAGAGCATGATGTTGTGGCTCACCTGGCAACCTATGAAAGAACCTTTCCCTGCCTACAAAGGACTCCTTACCTGACAGTTTTGAGGGGTTCTTGGAAGGGGTGGGTGTGGCTGGGGGGCAGCAGCTGCCTGGAGCCCCGAGACAGCTGGATGAGGAGCTAGGAAGAAAGCAGAGGCATCAGCGTTGCCCATCTCAATACAAGCAGTCCATCATCATCATCATCAACATCAACATGTTTGTCTCTATTTCCACCCAAAGGAGCCCAGAGGAGTAAGCACACAAACAGATCAATTCAAGCATCTAAACACAATGCCAGTGACAGATGCAGACTCTGCTCAAGCTGATCTCCAGCAAATGAAGGACACTGCTCCCCCATCCCCACACATCCAGATTTCCTCCGCTTTCCATGCATAATCATCATGCTGGCTTCTGGGTTGTGTCCAACTAAATTCTACTGAGTAGAGCCACTGCACTCAAGAAGAACCCTGCCAGATCAGGCCAGTGGCCCATCTAGTCTGGCACCCTCTTCTCACAGTGGCCAACCAGGTGCCCCATGTTGTTGTTGTTTAGTCGTTTAGTCATGTCCGACTTCGTGACCCCATGGACCAGAGCACGCCAGGCATTCCTGTCTTCCACCGCCTCCCGCAGTTTGGTCAGGCTCATGTTTGTAGCTTCGAGAACACTGTCCAACCATCTCGTCCTCTGTCGTCCCCTTCTCCTTGTGCCCTCCATCTTTCCCAACATCAGGGTCTTTTCTAGGGAGTCTTCTCTTCTCATGAGGTGGCCAAAGTACTGGAGCCTCAACTTCACGATCTGTCCTTCCAGTGAGCACTCAGGGCTGATTTCCTTAGAATGGATACGTTTGATCTTCTTGCAGTCCATGGGACTCTCAAGAGTCTCCTCCAGCACCATAATTCAAAAGCATCAATTCTTCGGCGATCAGCCTTCTTGATGGTCCAGCTATCACTTCCATACATCACTACTGGGAAAACCATGGCTTTAACTATATGGACCTTTGTTGGTAAGGTGATGTCTCTGCTTTTTAAGATGCTGGTACCCCCATGGGAAGCCTGCAAACAGCACCTCAGCGCAAGAGCCCTCTCTCCTCCAGCGGTTTCCAGCCACTGGCATTCAGAAACATTCTTTCCTCCAGCCGTGGAGGGAGGGCGCAGCCACAGTGCCAGTGGCCATTGACAGCCCTCTCCTCCATGAACTTGCCTAACCCTCTTTTGAAGCCACCCAAGTTGGTGACCATCACCAAGGCACAACAAGGGAACACACTTTTTACCTTGCATTGCCCACTGAGGAGGGGCCATTGGACGGTAGTCGTTCGGACAGAAAGTTGAAAATTCTTGAATGGCATGCGGCTCCTGAAGAAGACAATGCACAATTAACCCTCCTGGGAAGTGGAAAGGGACCCCGGAGGCTTCAAATCCCACATTAACGAGAGGGAGGCATGCCAGAACATTGGTAGCTATGGGGTTTTTTTTTAATATGTTGTAAGCCGCTTTGAGCATTGTTTTAACTTGGGAAAGGCGACATACAAATAAAATGATTGATGATCCTTACAAGGCTTTCCCTCAAATTAAGATTCAGACCCAAAACCAGTCTGGGGTGAATACTAGATCTAGGGAGGGCAAGACTCTCAGTTTCATGCAAAAGGCCCCAGGTTTGAAACCCAGCAGGCAGGGAATGCCCCCTGTCTGAAACCCTGGAGAACCAGGTAGGTTTGTAATTAAGTAAAAAAAAGGGCCTACCCCCATTCACTGCCAGTCAGTGTATTCAGTAGGGAGCTAGGTGGATGAGCAGTCTCACTTGGTATAAGGCAGCTTGCTATGTTCGTCAACCGTCATCCTGCCAACCTACCTGAATTTCAGCAACAGCCAACACACACAAACCCCACTGAAAAAAAGCTGAGAATTGAAGCTAACACACCTCTACCTCCTTGTCAGCTGAGTCTTGCTGGGGTGCAAATGTGCTGGAGGGGTCAGGTAGCATAGGCTGACCCATCTTTGCCATATGGGAAATCAATTTCACTTTTGTTACATCAGGATTCTGTCCGGGGAAGTGGGGGGGGGGGGGCGAGAAGAGAAGGGAAAAAACTATTGCAGGAGTCGAAGTCGATACAGGAAAAAACTGCTGCTGTGGAATTTAAAGTAGAGCAGCTGGAAACCGAGAAGGTCCCTGGCCTACAGAAGGAAATTGCAGATCATAAGTTAACGCTGTCTATGATCGAATTGAAAGAGAAACAGACCAATCTAAGAATTAGAGCTATTCCTGAGCTGGAGACGGGCACCTTGACAGATTTTCTGACACAAGAATTTGCAGAATTTTGGAAATCGGATTTGAAACAAGAAGATTTTAAGATCGTGAGGGCCTTCAGATTGGGAAAAGGAGGAAAAAAGATTAAAATAAGGGATTGTTTGATTACCCTCCGATCTAAAGAAGAGAGGGATAAAATTTTGGGTTTGCACTACCAGAAACCTTTGATAATTCTGCAATCAAAAGTGGAAATTTTTAAAGACATACCGAAATATCTTTTGGATTTAAGACAAGACTTTGGAGATTTGGTGACCCTGTTGAGAAAAAGTAAGATCCTTTTTAGGTGGGAATTCCCTCAAGGCCTATCTTTTAGCTTCAAAGGAAGAAAGATAAAGATAAGATCAGTGGAGGAAAAAAGTAAGTTTCTGAGCACATACGAAGAAGACCTACAGAAAGGACTGGGAAAAGAGCCTGCCGTATTGGACAAGAGTCTACAAAAAAAAGGGAAATCATCGCCACCGACAGATATAGATAAACTTTTGGGGGCTGTTGGGGGAGAAGGAGAGTAAATACACTATGACACTGCAAGTATTAAGCTGGAATATTAATGGACTGAACTCCCGGGGAAAAAGGGGGAGAGTATTTCATATATTAAAAAAAGAACATTTGGACTTGATTTGTTTACAAGAAACGCATGTGACAAGGCTACATCGGAAAATTTTGATCAACAAAAGACTAGGAGAAGAATTTATTTCATCAGACAATGTGAAAAAAAGAGTAGTACTTTATGCAAAGGAAAGCCTGTCACCGAAATTTTTATTTAAAGATGACCAAGGAAGATTTATTGCAATTGAAATTCAGCTTCATGGCCAGAAGTTTTTGACATTAGGCATTTATGCGCCAAATGAGGGAAAATCAGAATTCTTCAAGAAACTGCATGAAATCCTATTGGACTATCTGGATTACAATATAATTTTGATGGGAGATATGAATGGAGTAGTGTCTACAAACATGGAAAGCCCAAAGACAAACGGTGACGAAAGATGGCAGACTACCAAAGACATTTTTTGAAATGACTGACAATATGGATCTTATAGATATTTGGAGAACAAAGAACCCCTTGGAAAGAGAAGGAACCTTCTTCTCTGAAGCTAAAATGACATGGACAAGAATAGACCAAATTTGGATAACTAGAGGATTGGCCCCGAAGATAAAAAAAACGGTAATTTGTCCTAAAATTTGCTCTGATCGTAACCCAGTGAAGATGGAAATGACATTAACGCCAATTGGAGCTTTCAGATGGAGGATGAATGACTCCTTGCTTAGGAATGAGGAAACTATCAAAAAGGCCCAGAAAAACTTGAGAGACTACTTTGAGATAAACATGAACACTACGACCGAGAAAAGAGTGATTTGGGATGCAAGTAAAGCAGTTATGAGAGGGTTCCTGATACAACAAAATGCAATCAGGAAAAGAGTCCAAAATGAGAAGAGGGAAAAAATTTTGGAGAAAATAAAGGATGGAGAAAAGAGACTGAGGACAAAACCGAATTCATAGGAGATTTTAAAAGAGATAAAGTTATATCAAGTACAATATATGAAACTGACGAATCAGGAAATAGAATGGAAGATCAAACAGATGAGACAAAGGACATTTGAATCAGCGAATAAGTGTGGGAAGTTGTTGGCATGGCAAATGAAAAAAGACAAAAGCTTAATACTATTACGAACTTGGTAGTAGAAGGAAAGAGTATACAGAACCCTGTGGAGATTAGAAAGTGTTTTCAGAAGTACTTTAAACAGTTATACACGCAGGAGACTCAGAAAGAAATAGACATTGATCGGTTTTTGAGAACAAATGGATTACAAAAAATCTCTCAAGAGAGTAAATCGATGCTAAACTCTATAATAACTGACCAAGAGGTGGAAGGAGCCACTCAGGACATGAAATTGGGCAAATCTCCAGGGCCAGATGGTCTGACTGCAAGGTATTATAAATCTTTGAAAGAAGGTTAATGCAGCCTCTGAAAGAAGTTTGCAATTAAATATTAGGGGGGGAAAGGCACCCGAGTCGTGGAAAGAAGCTTATATTACACTCATACCGAAAATAGAAGCGGAAAAGACACAGCTTAAGAACTACCGTCCCATATCCCTACTTAATGTGGACTACAAAATTTTTGCAGAAATTATGGCTAAAAGATTAAAAAATGTATTGGTGAAAGAAATCCATAAGGACCAAGCGGGCTTTCTCCCGGGGAGGCATTTATCAGATAATACGAGGAATATAATTAACATTTTAGAAAAACTACAAGTTAATATCAATACTAAAGCAGTTCTAATATTTGTGGATGCGGAGAAAGCCTTTGATAATATTTCTTGGAGTTTTATGAAGAAAAATTTACAGGGAATGGGGGTAGGCCAAAGTTTTGAAAACGGTATAGGTGCAATTTATTCGGAACAAAAAACCAAGTTGATTGTAAATAATGTAGTTACAGAAGAGTTTAAGATTGAGAAAGGAACAAGACAGGGTTGCCCAATCTCCCCATTGCTTTTTATATCGGTCCTGGAGGTTCTGCTTAATATGATCAGGAAAGACCAATTGGTTAAAGGTATACAACTCGGAGCCAAACAGTATAAACTGAAAGCTTTTGCTGATGATCTGGTTTTGACATTACAGGAGCCAGAATCCAGCACTAAAAGAGTATTGCAATTAATTCAAGAATTTGGTCAAATAGCAGGATTTAAATTGAATAAGGTGAAAACCAAGGTGTTAGAGAAAAATCTTACAGAGATTGAGAAAGAGAGGTTTCAGAAGGAGACAGGATTAACATTGGTCAAGAAAGTGAAATATCTAGGGGTTCACATGACTGCTAAAAATGTGAATTTATTTAAAGATAATTATGAAAAATGTTGGATGGAAGTGAAAAAGGATTTGGAAATATGGTCAAAATTGAAGTTATCATTGTTGGGCCGAATTGCTGTGATAAAGATGAATGTATTGCCTAGGATGTTGTTTTTGTTTCAAACATTGCAGATTTTGGACAAGATGGACTGTTTCAAGAAATGGCAGAGATATATTTCGAGATTTGTCTGGCAGGGCAAGAAGCCAAGAATAAAATTTAAGATTTTAACTGATGCTAAAGAAAGAGGTGGATTTGCCCTGCCAGATCTTAAACTTTATTATGAATCAGCCGCATTTTGCTGGCTGAAAGAGTGGCTGCTTCTTGAAAATACGGACATTTTGGACTTAGAAGGTTTTAACAATGTCTTTGGATGGCATGCATACTTATGGTATGACAAGGTTAAAGCACATAAGGCCTTTAAGAACCATATTGTCAGGAAAGCATTGTTTAATGTCTGGGTGAGATATAAGGATTTGTTGGAAAGTAAAACACCAAGGTGGTTGTCACCAATGGAGGCTAAGGCTCTGAAAAAACTAATATGGAGACAAATTGGCCAAAATACTGTGAAATTTTAGAACAAGATGGAGATAGACTAAAGCTGCAGAGCTTTGACAAATTAAAAACTAAAGTTCGAGACTGGCTTCATTATTATCAAATAAGGGAGGCTTATAATTTAGATAAGAAGATTGGTTTCCAGGAGGAAAAATCAAAATTGGAAACAGAATTGTTAGGTCCTAAAACTAATAATTTATCAAGAATGTATAACTTGCTGTTGAAATGGAATACACAGGATGAAACGGTCAAATCTGTTATGATTAAATGGGCACAAGATTTTGGACATAACATTATGTTTGCTGACTGGGAACAGTTATGGACCACAGGTATGAAATTTACGGCTTGTAATGCCTTAAGAGAAAATATAATGAAAATAATTTACAGGTGGTACTTAACCCCAGTCAAGCTAGCAAAAATCTATCATTTGCCAGATAGTAAATGTTGGAAATGTAAAGAGACGGAGGGCACATTTTTTCACCTTTGGTGGACATGCCCAAGGATTAAGGCTTTCTGGGAAATGATATATAATGAACTGAAAAAGGTATTTAAATATACCTTTCTGAAGAAACCAGAGGCCTTTCTTCTGGGCATGGTCGGCCAGTTGGTGCGAAGGGAGGATAGAACTTTCTTTATGTATGCTACAACAGCAGCAAGAATACTCATCGGGAAGTATTGGAAGACACAAGAATTGCCTACCCGAGAAGAATGGCAGATGAAAGTGATGGACTACATGGAACTGGCTGAGATGACCGGCAGAATTCGAGACCAGGGAGAAGGGTCGATGGAAGAAGATTGGAAAAAATTCAAAATATATCTTCAAAAGTATTGCAATATAAAATAATGTTAGAAGGAGGTTGGGAAAAGAATATTAGGTCGTTCTGGTAGATATGATATAATGGAATAAGTAAAAATGAGTTGATGAAATTGATGAAATAGAGGAGGTTTAATTATATTATTTGAATTTTAAAATACGTAAATGAAAATAAGGTTAGAAGGATTTGCTGGAAATACGATCTGAACTAGAATACAAAATTGGGAGGTGAGAGGAGGTCATGGAAATAAGTAAAGGGAAAAGGTTATGCAAAGGTTTAATCTGTTTTTGTTTTATTTCAACTTAATGTATTTTTATATTTTTTGTTAAGTTTTCTTTTTTATTCTATCTTATTGTTCTTTTTACTTGTTTATCTTTTGCTCTGTTATGGTTAAAGTTTTCTTTGTATTTTGTATGGTTTTTCTTTTTCTTTTTTGTAACTTTAAACTTGGAATAAATATCATTTAAAAAACAAAACAAAACCATCATTCTCAAATTCTCCCCTTTCAATACCTTCTTTCTTTGACCTCCTCCTCCTCCCTTTTCTTGTATCCTGATTAATAATAATCGCAGCAAATCCTTTCCATAATTCATAGTATTCTGTCATTACATTACCTTAATCTATTTTCATCTTATCTTATAGAAAACCTTAAAGTTTAAAACTTAAATCTTATTTAGATATCTTCATGGTTTCTTTAAAAAAGAGAGAGATTCCTCTTCCCATATCATGGGATGCATCCAGTAAAACAACCTCTCAAACCCTTCCAAAGCCTAACAGTGGGATTTCAAAATGGTGGTGAGGGCTGTCACATCCCCTGGGAGGATTAAGCCAAGGGGACCAGAGCCCAAGCAAGATCCCCTAAGAGAAAGCAGCTGGTTTGTCCTTCTCCCACCCCCCACCCTGCCCTGTGGCTTCCTTTGTGTGCCTGACAATGCATGTCAGATGCTCAGTACTTAGGCCTTAGTTAAGGGCATATCAACCAGCTGAAAATGATGGCAGAACTGAGATAAATTCAACAGAGTAAATAATTTTTGATGGTGTAAAAGTGGAAAACTGATTTGAATGGTTTACTAAAATATGCAGGAATGTATAATATATAAAATGAACCATGGAAGGAGAAGAAGGGAAGTGACTGGATATTTTACAGTTTGTAAAATGTTTATTTTGAAATGTAAAATAGAAAACTTAATAAAAATTATTATAGAAAAGAGCACAGCAACCTTCACCAACCTGGGGCCCTATAGGTGTAATGGACTACAACTCCCATCAGCCCCCAGCCAGCATGCCCTCTGATAGGAAACAGGAATAAAATACACAGATAATCAACTAAGATGTTGTAAACATGCACACCCATGGGGGGGGGATTACATTTATAGAACCTTCCAATGTGTGTGTGGGGGGGTCCTCATTAACACACCATTTCCTTGCTACATTTTCACTCTAAAACTATTAATGAAAGAACCTTAAAACTGCATTTTCTTTAAAAAACAACAACACTTAGAAACCCATCTCAGAAGTCTATGCAAGCACAATATAAAATGTTAATTACTCGTAGCTACTGATGATATGCTTTTCCTGTGACACACCGTATTTTTCCATGTATACGACTAGGCTTTTTCTCTTAAAAATAATGTCAAAAATTAGGGGGGATCTTATACACAGATACATTTCCCCCATTTTCTTAAATCTAAGTCCCAAAAAATAGGGGGGCGTCTTATAGACTGAAAAATATGGTACCTTTATTATGTGGGAGCTTTTGAGTTTCTCAAAAAATGCTCACCAATAAGGATCCTTCTCTCTATGAGAGGACCAAGTTACTTCTCATTGCTTTGGTTACATTCAACAGGAACTATACAATCAATAGGAAGATTTGGCTCCAATGGGGACTTACCGCTAGCTGTTTGCTAATAGAGCTTGATTTCGCATGCACAGCTGGCTCCCTGCAGTATGGAAGGAAGGGAGTTAACAAACCTGAGCATAGTAGGAAGAGTAGGAAGAGTCTATTAAGGGGTAGGATACTCAACTGACCTTTGGGACTCTGCCTCGGTCAAGCCCCTCACCAACCCAACCTCATGACCTCCCCAAGGGAGCTTTAGCCTGGCTGGAATGTGTCCTTGAACTGTGACAGTGCACCTTGCTTCCCTGGACAGGGAGAGGTGTGTGCAGAAAGAAGCCCCACATGGTGTATTTTCTGGCTGCACAGAAGGCAGGAGCAGCATCTGTTGCTCTGTCCACTGGAGCCCCAGCCCAACCCTGGAATGTGGCCCCTGCCAGGTTGCCTATGAGACAAGGTGGCCTCAGGATTCTTTGGAGGAAGCCACAGCTGTTGAAAATGGCATGGCGCTATTTATAACATATAATTTATCGTGATTTATTGAATTTGTATACTGGACTTCATCCGTAGATCCCAAGGTGGTACAATGCAGATGGAGTCTGAGTTATGCAGCTGAGGTGAAGGCCGAAAGCCTCAAATACAGAGGTGGCAACCTATTTACTGCAGAGTTAGGATTCGACAACTGGGAGAATGGAAGGCTTAAAAGCTAAGAGCACCCTCAATTTATTTCTCACCCTGGCTTTGGAGCGGGAGTAGGAGGAGTCAGCCATGCTGGGTCTGTAGCGGGGCTTTCTGATTGTGGTGCTGGTGAAGGTGTGAGGGAGTCCCTGGGGCCCAGGTTCTGTCCGGCTGAATCAGCGCCCTTTGCAAACCTCACCTAAGGGAGCAAAAGAGGGGCATCATGGAGTCTGGTCAAGGCAACCACTGCCTCCATTTGTAGAACTTTATCCAGGCCGTAGACCTACCACCCAACAACCTTCTGAGGTTCTCTTGGTCGCTAACATGTTGGGAGGAAGACACACTCACCCGTTTGACTTCCACCTCAAAGGCCAGAGTTGAGTCCGGAGGAATGCGTTCAGCTTCTGCCAAAGGCCCGTAAGCCAATGCTGGCGGGACAAGGAGGAACCGCCTGCCTCCTCTCTTCATGCCAATCATTCCATCTTCCCAGCCCTTCAAGTTCCAGAAACGGAGAACCAAGCAGAAAACAAGTTTGGGTGACCGCCTTCGCTAAGTGCCAGAACCACACAGCCTTCGCCAACTTGATATCGTCCAGACACCTTGGACTCCAACTCCAATCAGTAGGCGCTGGCTGGGGCTGATGGGAGTTGGAGTCCACAGGATCTGTGTGTGTGTTTGTCAGGTTGGTAAAGGCTGGTCGAGAGCAGGGCACAGGAATACTGACAGTTCTCTTGCAGTCATGAGGAACGAACTGTAGTTTAAAGCAGGGATGAAAACCATTCCCTCTGGGGCAACCTTCTTGGTGGGGAGGAGCATGCCAGGAGTGGGCGGGGCTAGAGGGGAAGTGGGAGGGGCAACAAATGTAATTTTTACCTTTGTGCAATAGGCTACTTTAGAAACCAACTCACACTCCCCCCTCTGTCTCTCATCCAGGACAGCAAGAGGCAACATTGGAGGTCCAGGACTGTTTTGGTCCAGGCCACAGAGCAGGCTTGGCAAGGGGCATGGCCTGGGGTGAATCCTGAGGGCCAGTTTCAGTCCCTGCTGGGCCTGAGATTCCCCACCCCTCCTGCAAAGAAAGGGCAAGCCTGACTGACCAGTAGGGCAGGATCAGGAATTTTGCAGGGATCAAGGGACCCTGTTTGGGCCTCCCACTCCAGCAGATCATGGCAGGCGTAAGACAAGCTAGGACAGCTACCTGCCTGCCGTTCTTGAGGAAGCCATTTGATCAGGGTTTGAGCTCAAAAAACATCACTGCTATTTAGCCTTCCACATAGCCTGGGCTGCTGAACTCTGCTTAGATGTGGAAGTGGAAGAAAGAATCCTTTCAGTGCGGTGGGAAGAGTAGCGCCATCTTACCTTGATGACTTTGCCAGAGCCTAGCTTCAGACGTAGTAATTTCTCTTTATTTATATTTGAGTCGAAAACCTGTTCCAAAAGTGGAAGGTCGATGGGGTGAAATTACTTTTAACGCGAAGGTAATAGGTTCACGTTCCGCTACTCCCACTGCTGAGCCAAGAGCAATGAGTATTAAAGGACGGGGCACAGCTCAGGGACACAGCACCTGTTTTGCAGGCAGAAGGTTCCAGGTTCAACCCTGGCATCTCCAAGTAAGGTCAGGGAAAGGCTTTTGCTTGGAAGCCTGGAGAGCTATTGCCAGTCAATGTGGGCGATGCCAACCTAGACCGGTGGCCTGATGCAGTGCAAGGCAGCTTTCCATGTTGAATCCCCTACCTAGCGGTGCCTCCTATGTTGCAGATTGGGTAAAATGAGGTTAAGAAATAGGATCTAGTCCTTGGAGACAGGTGAAGCTCAGGGCCTAAGAGCATGTGCTTCCCAGGAAGAAGGTCCTGGGTTCCCTCCCCAGCATCCCCAGTTGAGAAAGGGCAGCAAGGCTGGGCAAGGCCCCACCTCTGGAGAGCAACCAATGCAAGCCCCATGGAAAAGCACTGGCTAGAGCTCATTGGGGTTGGGGTCAAATGCACATTGAGCTGTGAAGCAAGCTGGGTGAGTCTCATCAAGTCCCTCTCCTGTTTCAGGAGGAATTTCCTTGCAATGTTATTGAAAGGCAAAAAGACAGGGTTGTGGGAGAAAAGGGCTGTATGCAATCTATAAACCAGGAGTGGGAAAGCTGTGGCCATGCAGTGCTGCTAGAGACTTCAACCCCCATCATCCCCAGACACCCCCTCTGCCAGGTCTCACCTGCCCAAGACTACCGTTCTGGAACAGCCAGCCTGTAAAAGTGATCTCCAGGACATCTCCAGTCGCCACACCTTGGCCGTCTCCGAGAACAAGATCCTGGCACAGCACTGAGTCAGGAGAACGGCTGCTGTTATACTTGGCAATGCACAGCTGCAAAGAGGAAGAACCAAGCCATTTGTGTCATTAGCTACCATTGTCATCCGCACCTATGCAATCTGGCCCAACGCAGCACTGGCTGAAGACCCCAGGGGCCTGAAAAGGCCCCAACTGGCTACACCACCATTCCTTGCCCTCCCTGGATGCTTCTTAGTGGTTGGCAGAGAAAGCATCTGGCGACTGATGCAAGAGAGCTGACCTCCCGCGAACACTAGTTCAGTGTCTGCAGGAGAGCCACCCCCCACCCCACAATGCAGTGCACGCCTCTGGCACCTGCTTGCTGAAGTCCACAGCTGCCATTTCTGATTCAAACATGATGGACCAAATCTGCCTCTGATCATCATAAAATGTGCAGTAGTTGTTGGGCTGCACCTGCGGAAAGAGAAAGGAGAAAGTGGAATTCTGAGCAGCAGACAGCCTCTTCTCAAAACAACTTTCTTAATGATGGGTCTTGCTAAAGACTTTGGGTTGTGTCCCAATGTTAGCCCTACTCAGAGCAGACCCATGAAAATTGATGGACATGATGAACTTTGGTGCATTAATTTCAGTGAGTCTACTCTGAGCACACACACACAAACATCAACGTCTGTAGTGTGTCATGTTTAGAAATGGAAAAATGCTATAGGATTTCGGGGTGGAGGGCTACCCCAAGGGATGTAAGCTACAGTAGGACAGAGGGCAGAATGTCATCTATTTTACTTTGTTACCTCTAGGTAAGCGTTTTAACCATAGAGGGGCCCCTTGGATCTAACATTACTCAAATCTAATGGGTTGCAACAAGCATTATCCCTACTCAAAGCAGACCACCTGAAATTAATTGACCACAGCTGAGACCTCATATGCAATGTGCATTTCAAACCACCAAAGAATTCTGCTTAGCTTCAGCCTATGCCATGGTCCTTGCAGGTCTTAACGTCAAAGCTTACCGTGAATACAAACCAGGCATGGATGCTGGCAGTCGCAATCTGCTGCAGCAGGCTGATATAAAGAAGCACTCTGTACTGGATTCCACAAGAGACAGAAGGACAGAAGAAAACAGGAGCAAAAGTGAGGAATCAAAAACTACGGGGCTGGCTGTTTTCAAAAGCACCTGGAGCTCTTCTTATACCAGGTGGCATTTCCACAGCACCCCAACCCCCAAATGACACATTAACATACAAATACATCAGAGGTGTTCATCGTAGGAATTGCTTTGGTTGCAGGTGCCTGGCTTAATTACATGTGGAATGACTTCGTTACAATGGAGCAGGCGTGGGGAGCCTTTGGTGCTGAGCTACAACACCCATTGGCTCTTGCCAGCATGGCCAGTGGAGAGGGGTGATGGGAGCTGTCGTTCAGCGACATCTGGAGGACCAAAGGCTCCCTACACCTGCAGAAACCAAGGGGTGAGATCTGTCCTTTTCCGCCCAATCAGCTAAACGGGAATGACAGCCCAGTGTTTTATCCTGTCCCCACCACCCTCACCTGCAACAGGGGAGTGGGACAAGGCAATCATACCAGAGTCTTCCTGGAATAAACGCATATGTTTCCTGACATATTTTATCCAGTGCTTGTAAAACACCTGTGAATCCTTTCATAGCAAAGTGGGGCAGAACAAACCACTGAAGAGCTACCTGACTGGGCTGAAAAGGACAGAGGCTGGAAAAACTGAATCCCTTTTCCAACATAAACTGCTGAAACCCCCTTCCTTTTTTGAGTGAGGCAGAGAACGTTTATTGGTTTTTCAAGCCACGACAAAGTTACTGTCTCACCTCCCTCTATCCACTCCGCACACAATACCCCCTAGGCCCTTCTTTTGTCAAGATGCTAGTCCACATGGTTCTAGAGCACAGGGAGCTGCCTTGGACTGAATCAAACCACTAGTCTCTCTAGCTCAGGACTGCCTACTCTGACCGGCAGCAGTGTCCCCAGCCCTACCCAGGGGAGCTAGCGATTGGATTTGGGAGCTTCTGTCTGCAAAGTGGATGCTGTGTTACTGAGCGACAGCCCCTTCCCTGCTATGAATACTTTTTCTAGAGAAGTGAGGTCAGAATAAGAAAAATGGGAGCTATAACCCTTGTGAGCTGATTGGGCAGAAAGAGACAGGAGCCAAAACAGCACCTTTGCTTTTTCCAGAGTAAGACACCATCAGGAAACCAGGATTCAGAGAAAGGGAAGCATTTCCTTAGCCCAACCTACATCAACCCGGTATCCTCCAAATGTTTAGAACCAACAGCAGCTGTAGCCCCAAACATCTGGGGGACAGCAGGTTGACAGAAGGCCAGGCTACTTCAAGACACCACACCTCCTCCTCTTACCTCCTTGGTTGCATTGCTGCCCACTACAGCTGCTCCATACTTGCCATGTTTCACATATTTCCCATTGGTACTGGAATGAGAAGAGAACATCTCTTAGCTTCCCACAATTGTTGCCACCATGCCAACCCCATGGGTTATATTTAGCAGCTCTTTACAAAGACTTCCCAGGGGTTGTTTGATCAGCCCAGACCATCTGGCCAGCAGTGAGGGGCGATGTGGGGGGCGGGCAGTAGCAGCAGCCCAGTAACATTTTATCAGCCCACAAGCTCCCCATCCCAGGAGGTCTCTGTCATCATTTCAGTTCAGTGTTGGCTGGTGCCTCATTGGGGTGAATGCAGGGAGCCCAACTCTAGGTGGCACCAGAGCCAACGACAAGAAGGGCCAGCTAAGTCTATGGCTGTCCCCATCCTCCTCCTTGCTGTGTTCTACCATGGCAGCATGGAGACTGAGGGGGAAGAGGAAGCTGACAGGAAGTCCTGCCCTCTGGATCGGTTGGACGTAAGAAGGCAGGCAGGTGGGAGCCAGCTGAGGGCAGAATGAGGGGGTACCTTCCTACTGGACCTGCTTTCACTGGTGTGGCATAAGGCAAGGAAATCAGCAGCACATCGACCAGAGTCAATGATATCCACAGCCTGATTGGCTGGTAGTAAAAAAACAACAACAGGCAGGTGGGGGCAGGCTGAGGTTGGAGAGTCGGTGCCCCATTCGCCCCAATTGACCCCCCCACACACACTGTTGCTCCACCTCCATCGTCCAGCCCAGACACTGAGGTCCAGCCCCGAGGCCCTTCTGGTATTACCCTCGCTGTGAGAAGTGAGGTTACAGGCAACCAGGCAGAGGGCCTTCTCGGTAGTGGCACCTGCCCTGTGGAACGCCCTCCCAGCAGATGTCAAGGCAATAAGGCAATGAGCAACTATTTTACTTTTAAAAGACAACTGAAGGTGGTCCTGTTTAGGGAAGTTTTTAATGTCTGATGCTGTACTGTTTTTAATATTTGGTTGGAAGCTGCCCAGAGTGGCTGGGGTATAAAAAATAAATTATTATTATTACTATTCAGCTGCAGCTCTTTCCAAACAAGCCAGGCAAGATGGAGAGATGATTGCAAAAGATGTGAGCACAGGACTTAGGTAGCAAGAACACACTGCAGCTCATCCCCCCTACTGTAGTACTCACAACAAATATGCATGAACAACTGTAGCGAAGAAAACTGAATGCACTGCTGCAGTGGATGCAGGAGCAGCTGCGGCTGCAGGAGCAGCTGCAGGAGGATGCTTCTGGGTAGACAGACCTGCAGCTGGAGCAGCACATGAGAAGGGTAAGTGCTCTGTTGCAAACAGAACATTGCTTGCAAACATCAGGCCAAGTTAGCGACCTTGTCTGAGCCAGTTGCTCAGATTAATGGAAAACAGGAAGTTGACCTTTTTTTTCTTTTAATACTTTTATTTTGCTTTAAACAAATACAGATAAATATAAACAACCAAAATTACAAAAGAAAAATTATTAATAACAATAATGGAAAAAGCTAAAAACCTACAAAAAAAAATCAAAGTACATGGCATAGAACATAAGCCATTATGGGGAAGGGAAAAAAGAGGAAAGGAGGAGGAGGAGGGAAAAGAAAAAAAGGGGGGAAGGGGGGGGGAAATGAGCCAAAATACAAGAAGGCTCGTCCATTGTACGCTTCTGTCAAGATCACAACAGATCATTATTCTTATCAATTCTCTCTATCTGCATTCCATAGAATCCCTCATCTTGGTATCAGGGAACATTTCCCTAAGTGGTATCATTCTAAACATAACCAGGTCTTTATTGATGTACCCTTATTGATGTCCCCTAGATAATTATTTAAACATTCCCATTCTTCTTTCGCCATCTTTTTAGGTTTATCTCTTATTGCATCTGTCAGCTTCACGAGCTCCAAGTACTCGCACAATTTGACTCCACATTCATCTTTAGTGGGTGTATTTTTATCTTTCCAGTGTTTTGCCACTATAACCCTTGCTGCTGACATTGCATACATAAATAACCTGGTTTTGTTTTGGGGAATATTATCTGAAACCATTCCTAGTAAAAAAAAATCCAGATTCTTGCTAAATGTAGTTTTTATCAATCTCTTTATCTCTTCATAAATCATATTCCAAAATCTTTATATCTCTAGACAGGACCATCACATATGGTAGTATGTTCCTAACTGTTCTTTACATCTCCTGCACTTGTTATTATATGATTTATTTATTTTTGCTAATTTTATGGGGGTCAAGTACCATCTATAGTACATTTTCATAAGATTTTCCCTTATAAGGAAGCAAGCCATGATTTTTTAGTCCATTATTCATTCCAAATACTGGGTTTGATCATATGTCCCAGGTCCCTCTCCCATTTTACTGTAATTTCTTTGATATCCTCCTCCTTTCTTTGCCAATTCAAAAATAGTTTGGCGGCTTTTAGTTGATAATATTCCAGCCAGGTTATTCCCTTCTGTTTCAGTTCTCTTAGGTCCTTTATTTTCGGGTTGCTACTTATTTCCTCTACTAAATCCTTGTATGTTAACCAATCACTGTTTATATTTTTCCTATGAACTGTCATAGATTCCATTGATGACAGCCACCATGGTGTTTTGGTCACTACTGATTTTTTACTTCTCTCCCATACTTCATATAATGCCCTTCTCACAATATGATTTCAGAACAGGAAGTTGCCTTGTATGGCGTCAAACCACTGGGTCCATCTACCTCAGTGTGGTGAATACAGACCACCAGCACCTTTCTGGGGCCCCAGGTCAGGGGTCTCTCCCCAGCACTACTCAGGAGTTGACCAACCCAGTTGATTCTGTGGGGCTTCAGAACCAAAGGTTGGACTAGATGGTCCACAAGGGCTTGTCTTATGTTCCTAGGCATTGTGAACAGTTTACTTACCAGTAGCTAGTTGACCTTTTTTAGGCTGCTTGGGTGACATGTATTGGAAGAGCACATTTCCAGATTCTGTAGTTGTCTGATCCTGTCCAAAGAGAGAGGCCAGCCTGGTCCTGGGCAGAGAGAAAAGTAACCATTCACTTCATTCACAGAGAGAGGCAAGCGGGTGGGAACAAGGCATGTATCTGCAAGCACAAAGATGCTCATGTTTCACTGCAGGTTGGCGATTTTGTTGCAGCCTTCCCCAAAGACCAGAGAGTAATGGATTCAAAAACTAGAATCCAGTCAGTAATTAGGATGTTGGCCACCCCACTAGGGGTGCTTGCCGAGGGGAGCTTTGCCCAGTCTCTCTTGGGGTAATAAGCCTGGAAAAGCTGTTGTAAGAAATTAATGCACACAACTAAAGGAGTAGACACATTGTGGGTCTTCTCTAAGCAGAACTTAGTTGGAGACAATCCCTTCCTTTTCCTATTAGTTTCTATAACCTCTCTTAAGAAGAAAAGAAAAGCCTGCAGGATCTGGCCAAAGGCCCAGCGAGTCCAGCATTCTGTTCTTACAGTAGCCAACAGAACCCAAGCACAAGAGGCCTCTCCCCTCCTGTGGCTTCCAGCAACAGTTGTTCAGAAGCCCTGCTTCCGCCAAAGTGGTGAGCATAGCCACCATAGCTAGCCTTCTCCTCCCTGAATTTTTCTAATCCTCATTTATTTATTTATTTATTTATTTATTTATTTAAATGATTTTTATTAAGGTTTCAGAAAAAAAGTTAGACAGAAAGACATAAAAGAAGAAATACACAAATACACTATACATAATCCAAAAAAAGGAAAATAAACACACACAAAAAAAACAAAAAGCAAATAAAACATATTAAACAGAACAATTAAAAACAATATCACTTTTTCATTTCCGTTTCTAAATTTACTTATTTTCTGGACTTCCTCATACCTCCCTCTTTTGTATTCCAGTCCAAATTGTTTGTCCAGCAATTTCTTTTCCACTTTTTTAATCCCAGTCTTTAATCTTAATATAATATAACATCAAAATTTTACCTCTTTAGTACCAAATTTCCATTTCCTTAAACTTCTTTAATCCTAATCTTTAATCTCACTATAATATAATGTTAAAATTTTACCTCTTAAGTACCAAATTTCCATTTCCTTATACTTCTTTAATCCTAATCTTTAATCTTGATCTATCTATAACTTTATCCTGTACAGCTGGAAACCACTTATTTTCAATCCAACATCACTCTAACATTCATTAATTTTTCTAATCCTCTTTTAAAGTCACCCAAGTTGGTGGCCATTCCTGCCTCCTGCGGGAGAGTTCTGTAGTTTAACTGTGCATGAAAGTACTTTCTTTTGCTTTTCCTGAAGGTCTTCCAACATTCAGCTTCATCGGATGTTCACAAGAGGGAGAGAAACTGTTCCCTATCCACTTTCTCCATGCCATGCCTAATTTGATAAACTTCTATCATATTATCTCTTTCTTGCTTTTTGTCTAAACTACAAAGTCCCTAAAACTGAAAAGGCCGTTGCCCAATTATTGCACCCAAGCTTTTACAGAACCTAGTACAGTGGTACCTTGGTTTTTGAACAGCTTAGTTCACAAACTACTTGGAACCCGAACGCTTCAAACCCGGAAATGAGTGTTCAGGTTTTCAAACTTTTTTTGGCATCTGGACATACTTCGTTGGGGGGGGGGGTGCACTTTTGTTTTGAGTGCCACAATTCCGTTGCCTGCTTGCTTGCTGCCTGACCTGGGCTTCCCTTATTCAGCACCAGCCGCACCAGCTACTGGCAACACCCAAAAGCGCAGGAGGGGGTGGCTGATGCTGCAAGGACAGTGGTGTCAGAGGGACCCAGAGGGTGGCAGCGACACCTCCTGCCTGCTTGGCACGGCCTTCCCTCAGTTGGTGCTGGCAGTGAAATCTGGAAGCAGAGAAGGGTGTTGTTGATGATGTAGTGACTTCGCCTTCTCTGCTTTCGCTGCCACCAATCCAGGCCCAGAAGTGGCTGCCGTGACAGGATGCTGGTGCCACCACTGCAGTAAGAGTTCTTCACACACCCAAGTGGCGGGGTGGGGGGTGGGGGGAGGGATCCAGAAAGGCTGGCATGGGGGGAGGGAGAGAAGCCAACTGGCTCCTCAGAGAGATGAATTTTGCCTTCCTTTCCATCCCTCCCCCCTGACAAGTGGAACTCCCCCATCACACACCCCGTGCGCTCATCCCTCCAATGGCAATGGGTAAATCACTGCCAGTTTTTAATACTGGGTAGCAGATAGCAGCCTGGTCTATTGCTTTCATTTTATGGATCAATAGTCTAATTAGACAGTCATTTTCATGCTAAATTGCTATTCTGGGAGTTGTTTTTAATTGTCTGGAACGGATTAATCCATTTTGCGTTACTTTCTATCGGAAAGTACGCCTTGGTTTTGGAATGCTTTGGTTTTGGAACAGATGTCCAGAAGACACTGTAAACAAAACAAAAATTTAAAAGGTATCCATTACAGTGGTACCTCGGGTTAAGTACTTAATTTGTTGAAGAGGTCCGTTCTTAACCTGAAACTGTTCTTAACCTGAAGCACCACTTTAGCTAATGGGGTCTCCTGCTACCGCCGTGCCACCGGAGCACAATTTCTGTTCTCAATCTGAGGTACTATTTCTGAGTTAGTGGAGTCTGTAACCTGAAGCGTATGTACCCCGATGTACTATTGTATTGCAAAGATACAAGCCCTGCCCTTGCGGTTTACCTTTCCCCACATACGGAGATTCACTGCCAGGAAGGTGGGGAGAGGGAATAAACCTGGCTGAACACAAGTGGTTTTCCCTACAGACATTCAGAAGTATCTCATCTCAGGGTTGTTCTGGGAGCTGAAACTTACCAGTTACCCCACATCCTAGCCCACTTCCCTGCACTCCTGAGAGCTAGAAACTTGCAGATTAAAACAAACGAACAAACACTAAGACCAAGTGAATTAAACAGCTAAGGTTTCTAAAGGCAATTCTGCGTTTGCACAACAGCAATCCTCTGGAATGGCTGCATGACCTTGTGAGAGATATGAAAATCTATCCCATATCATCCCTAAGCAGTTCTTACAGGATTCCAGCTAGAGAAAAACCACAAGTGGCAACATGCATGTTTGAGGGGCTCCCAAAAGAAGTGAGCAGAACAGAGATTGTGAGCTTGGCTTCCCCTTCTGGGGAGAGTGACATTCTGGGAAGACATAGGTCAGGGGGCAGCAAACGTTTTGAGCAGGGGGGCAGTCCACTGTCCCTCAGACCTTGGGGAGGCCGGACTATATTTTGAATATGGGGGGGGGCACCTGCAGTTCTCCATAAATTTCTCAACTCCAAAAACTACAACTCCCACTGGCTATATGTCACTCTGACCTTTGCTCACTGCCAGTGTTGCCAAAAGCAGCAGTGCAGTGCCCTTATTTTGAACACCTAAAATGTCACAGTGTAAAGGGCACTAGAAATCTTTCTTAGGGTTCCTTTTGTAAAAGAAATCTAAGACCACAAAACACCTCCATTCAGTCCTGTTACAGGTAACCCACTTTAGGGCAGGAGTTAGAATGCCAAATTGTGACCTGGGAGATCAGGGTGCAGACCCCCACTTGGAGATGAAGCTCACTTTGTGACTCTCTCTCAGTGTAACATCAGCACAGAAGAAGTGGAAACAGAAAGCTAGAATTAGGAAAAGGGAAAATATTTCACCACAGCAGAGGCAACAGGCATTTGTATGCAAATCAACCCTATGCACATTCATGGGGAAGTTCAGTTGAATTCAGTGGAGTCTACTCCCCAATAAGTCTTGCTTTTTAAGAAAAATGCTCCTTTCCCCATTAACCCTTGGGCTGAACTTCCTAATTCCCAACCACTACTAAAACATAATGTATTCCCTCACTCTACAAAAGGTGTGGGGTTCCTTTGGCCCTCTGGATTGTAGCGCAAGCGTACTCTCATCTCCAGTGGTGTAGTGATCTCGGGTTGCGGAGGTTACTATTTCTGCAGCAGGGTCCCTGCCTCCCGCACCCAATCATCATGAGAGGCGAACTTTTTAGCCACTGCATGCTCCAAAGCTAAGCATGTAAGAAACAGTGAAAACACAAGGCACTTCGGTTTCAGCTCAGAGTAGGTCCACTGAAATGGGCGGGCATAACCAACGCATAGCTTAGTCGGATGCAAGCCGGTACCTCCCATTTCATCCTTAGCTGGACGAAACCCCGCCCATTTCATCCTCACCAGCAACGCTGTGAGGCAGAGAGAGAGAAAGAAAAGAAAGAAAGAAAGAAAGAGAGAGAGAGAGAGAGAGAGAGAGAGAAGGAACCCTGCTGGCTCAAAGACGCCTAGCTCTGCTGAACTTTACCTCTCCTCTTAGCGCATAATAGCACGTAATTGCAGACAAAGCCCTTTGCATGTGCTCGGAATCACCCTTCGCAAGCCTGCACCCACCCACCCCAGCCCAACATACAGCCGCAGCCCCACATACAGCCACAGAACCACATGCAGCCCCAGCCCCACATACAGCTCTAGTCCCACATGCTGCCCCAGCCCCACATACAGTCTAGTCCCACATGCTGCCCCAGCCCAACATGCAGCCCCAGCCCCACATACAGCCCCAGAACCACATGCAGCCGCAGCCCCACATGCAGCCGCAGCCCCACATACAGCTCTAGTCCCCTCACACAGCCCCGCCCCCTCACGCGGACCCAAAGACACTCGCACACCCCGCATCTCCCCCCACGCAGAGAGGCGCCGCATTCTCACCCTCCCGTCGGAAGCTGGAAGGCCTCGTCTTCTTCATCCATGTCCCCAACATCCTGACGGCCCCTCGCTCCCCGCGCCCCTCGGCTAAGCCCAAGCCGGGAGGCGAGAGCCGCAAAGTGCGCGGCTGCAACTTCTCGGCCATGGCGCAAGCGCTGGGCTGCGGAAGCGAAGCTAGCAAGCCAAAGCGGCCGGCGGCATTCGCGGTCCCCAAACGGGCCAAACTTGCACGCGGAGGGAAGAAACGCGTCCAGGGCAACACGAGCAATCAGCTGCTGCCGCAGCCGCGAATTTGGCGGCGGGACTCTTAAGTTTGACGGAAAGGGAGAGGGACACGGCTGGACCAATGGGAAGCTGGATTCTGGGAGAGGGAGGCGGGAGGGCGGGTGACGCTCGCTCGAGGCTGGCCAATGAGGTGGCGCCTCCGCTCGCCGGGCGAAGAAGGCACGCGCCTGAGGAGATCGAGGGAAGGAGGCGAAGGCGAGGAAGGCGCAGGTAGCTAACTTCCGATTCTTCTCATTGTGCTATTTACACTTTGTCTGGCAAAACACATTGCTTTCTTCTTATTTAGCGTTCTCGTTAATATCCATAAACTTTTACTATGTACATTCTCGATATTCCAAGATTCATTCTAGGTCTGTCAGGAGATTAACGTCGTCACTAATTTTTAAGATCTTCCTTAAATGTTATCCGATCTTGATTAACTTTTGGTATTGAATTTCCTCTTATTCTCCCTGTTTTCCTGGCAAGTTGTAGATCTTCTATCATTTTTGCTTGCCAGTCCGTTTTTGTGGGGATGATATCACTGTTACCAAAAACAGTAGATTCAAATTCTTTGTACTCATTCAAATCCTAACATATGTTGGTTAGATCGGACAAATAGCTGAAGAGGAAACTGAGCTGCTGTAGGCAATAATGTGGGATTTAAAAGGTTTTTGTGGTAAGGGGCTTTGTGGTAATTGTGCTTTGACAATGTAGTGTGTTCACACCCTCAGTTGCTTTACTCTGTAAGTCGCTTTGAGGTACCTGAATGCAAAGATAATGTGGGATTTAAGAGGTTTGGTGATGCATCTTACTCTAAACACACATGACATGTTGTAGAAAATAATCCAACTCTGGGATCATCTCTTGAGGTTGATTATTGTATTGAACAAGTGGTGTGCCTTTCATTCCCACACACTGCTCCAGTAATGTTTGCAGCTGAAGTCTACATTTCAAGAAAGTTCCAGGAATCAGTGAACAGAAGCATTGCTGGTTTTTCTACAATGTCTTATAACAAGCTTGTAAAGCTTGTGTAACCTGGGTAGCCAATTCAAAATTTGTGGTCACCAGAACATGCCCTTGCTACAAAAAGCCTACTGCACCACTGGAACATGGTGCAAGATGAAGGACAAAGATGCAAGGGTGTGGTATCTTTCCCTGTCTCTGTACCTGCATCATCTTCCTCCAGCTCAGAGCCCGAAAGGTAAGATAGAGGTTTGTTTTGGCTCTCTGTTCACACCTGACAAGTGCAGAACTAAAGCAAGCTGTGGGCTTCTAACCATGTTTGGGACTGTGGAGAGCGTAATTATTTCTATCCCTCAGCAGCTCTAATGTCAGAAGAAGGCCTCAGACCTCACTCACAAGAGCACATCTGACTCCTTGCCCTGATGAAGGAAGCAAGCAGACCTTTTTTCTTCTAATAAAGAGTTAACTTCTCTTAATCCATATGATTTCTTGCTGGCTGGCTCGCTGAGAACCAGCTACCACCGAAGGAGCATGGTATGTCCTCCACCAAAGTACTACCTCTCCTCTAACACCCCCCACACTAATATCACAGACACAGGGACTGTCCAGGATTCACAATGGCACCCAACATCCAAACATAAATGAAGACCCCCCCACACACACCTTGAGCACTCTTGAGCTGAATCTAGCGATCATATCTCTACTTGTGGCTTACCATGTGCCACAAAATGGGCAAAGTCATGCCAAGCTGAAATTTCAGTCTGCCATCTTGATTCAAAATGGCACCCAACATACAAACAGCAATAAGGTCTGCCGCCCCACCCTGGGAACCCTCATGCCAAGTTTGGTATTATGGATGGAGAGCTGTCCAATTGCATGGGGGGGCAGATGTTATAGGCGAAGGGGATTGAGATATGGATATGTTCGTACCCCTTCCAATCTGCGCCCCATCCCGAGGGACGAGGGTAGGGTGAGCAAGGATTACTCACCTCTGTCACTGGTGCTGTGCAATGCCAGGTCTATAGGCAACAAAACCGCCACCCTGCGAGATTTCTTTACCTCGCAGAGGGTCAACCTGGCTTGTGTGACGGAGACCTGGGTGCGCGACGGGGAAACAGTTACCTTATGAGAGATGACGCCCCCGGGTTTCTCCATCCTCCACCAGTCGCGGACTGTGGGCCGGGGGGGAGGGGTGGCATTATTAATCCAGGGAAATTGTTCTTTCAGGGCTCTACCATCGCCATCGATCCCCAGCATTGAATGTGTTGGCCTAGTGTGGGGCTCCGAGGAGAGCTTGGCTGTCTGGCTGGTGTACCGGCTACCTAGCGCACCAGCAGCCACCCTGTCAGGCCTACTGGAGGCGGTGGCCGGCTCGGCCTTGGAGTTCCCTAACCCATTGGTATTGGGGGACTTCAACATCCATGCTGATGCCACTCCCTCCTCACAGGCTCTGGACCTGGTGTCTTCCATGGCGACACTAGGGCTCTCCCAGTTTGTTTCGGGCCCCACACATCAAGCAGGCCACACGCTGGATTTGATCTTCGGCGTAGGTATAGATGTGATCATGTCTCCTTCGATGAAGGTGCCATGGTCTGATCACTATGCTCTGAAAGCCAGGATTGACTTTCCACCCCCACCCTGCTTGGGTGGCGAGCCGATTGGGGCTCGCCCGCAGAGGCTGATGGACCCTGATAGATTCCACCAAGCCTTGCGGGACCTTGCTCCCCCTGGCGACTCATTGACTCAGCTTGTTGAGGGCTGGAATACCCAGCTCCTGGCAGCCATCCATGAGATCGCACCTAAGCGCCCTCTGCGACCCCGCAGAAACCGGGCTCCCTGGTTTACCGAGGAGCTCCGGAAAATGAAGCGGGACCTCAGACGGCTAGAGCGAGTATGGCAGGGTGCCCGTGATGGAGCCTCAAGAACATCTTATAGGGCTTTTATGAAAACCTACGAGATGGCGGTGAAGACTGCTAAGAAGTCTTACTTCTTGGCCTCCATTGCATCCGCTAGCTCTCGCCCAGCGCAATTATTTAGTATAATTAGGTCTTTAACGTCCCTTGAGGGACAGTCAAATTTAAATAACAATTTGACACACAACTGTGAGGCATTTGTGAGCTTTTTAGTGGAGAAGGTCTTGTTGCTCCGCCATGACCTCTCTGCCAATTTGTTGTTTTTTTTAATAATATTTATTAATAATTTCAGAATTACAGGAAAAAAAGAATAAAGAACAACTGCAATACATAAAAAGAAAAAAACATAAAAAAACATAAAAAAACATAAAAACCAATACAACAATACGACAAAAAAGGAAATAAAAAAAGACACAAATCCCGGATTACATATCTCCAGCTTCCATTTGCTTGTTTCGTTGACCTCCTCACACCTCCCTTTTGTATTCTAGTTTAGTTAGTTATTTCAGCAAATTCTTTCCATCTTTCTCAATTTTTATTAAATAATTTATCTTATCAATTTAACCTATTAATTGACTCGACAGATCCTTTCCATCTTTCCCCGTATTCTGTTATTCAAATTACCTTAATTTATTTAACCTTGTCTTACCATAAAATGCCTTAAAGCTTAAAACTTAATACTCAGTTATCCATAACTCCTGATGTCATTTCTGCTAGAGTCATATAGTTTCATTCCAACATTTTCCCTAATATTCATTCATTTTAGGCTAATTCCCCAAATAAAAAATTTTCTTTATAAGTTTTCTTCCAATCTTCATCCAGCGTCTCTTCTTCCTGGTCTCGGGTCATGTCAGTCCTTACTGTCCATTCCATCTAGTCCATCAACCTGGAAGTCTTATGTCCGAGGCCCTTAAGTCTCTTCCATGTCCCTTCTGCAAATCTTCTTTTTGTTTATACTTGCCCTTTTCCTTGTCTTTTGTTGGTCTCTTTCTTAATTTCTTCCCTTTCTCGTTGGGGAGCAGATCTCTGGGGGATTCCAATCCAAAATTGTCTCCATCTCCCTTCATCAAAGCCGCCCATTCCCCACAGTCCCACTCCCCACAGTCATCAGTGTAATCCAAAAGGTATTTAAAAGCATATTTCAAAGTCTCTCCAAAGTTAAGAACCTCCTCAGCTCCAGGCTCCCCCTGGCCCACTCCAACTTCAATCTTCAATGACAGCGGCTTATGCTCCCGTAGGGCCTCGAGTCTCTCCATTTGTATTGTTTGAGGTGCAACCGCATCCTCCTCCATTATCTTCTGCACTTGCCCAGTCAATACAGGTTCATGGGTTGGTCCTTGAATGGTTTCTGTCTCAATGTTCCCTATTTGTCCACAGTTATTAACCACAACAGTCATCAAGTCCATTTTCTCATTCATCAAATCCATCTTTTCATGCATCTGTTCCAGCAAGGCACCTGTCTTGCATAAAGCAAGCACCCAAACTTCCTTCCAGCTCATACTTATTCAAGGTCAGACAAGTCTGGTCCCACGATCTTAATCTGACAGCTGTTGAGTCCTCAAGTAGACTGTAGCAACAATTTAACAGGCTCCCTCTAGAGGAGACAATTTCTATTTGTATCCATTTTTTTAAGGCAAATCCAGCAAAGGAAAATTACTTTCATTTTCAGATATTTTGTTTCATTAGAATGCAAAAGGCAACATTGGAATCAGTTTATTTCTCTTCTTTAGTTATCTGTCAAAGTATTCCATTCACAGTCAATGAACCTCTCCGACTATTTCTGTCTCTGACACCCCGTTCCCAGGTTAGAGACGGTGGAAACTTATCTTTCTTCACTCCCTCTCCTGCAGGGGTTAAACAAAGTCCCCCCCTCTTTTCTCCTGCTTCCAAGGGGGTTTCAGTAA